CGAAAAAAATATCTGAACCTGATATTTTTGAACAGCTCAAATTGTTGCCTCCGGATGATACCCAAAATCATTTTTATAAACCACTTTTAGAGAACACTCAGTCGCCCACATGAATAACTTGAAATTTGCTGGCCCTAGAGTGCCTGAAGTTGTCTTTTGGCATCTGTAAAACCTCAGATCCATTTGACGTGTAAAATGAGAGATAAAATAAAGCCTTAGCCCACTGTGCCTCCTCCTAATGCACACATAAGCACCGAGCTGTGGGCTGGTTTATGGCTGTGAAGGTGGAATACTGGAGAAGATCATAATGCAAATGTTATGAGAAATGAAGAAATGAAAGAAAGGGAAAATGTCCTGAATTGTAAACCACAGCTATAACTTCAAATGCATGCACCTCATAGACCCATTGTAAGCACATTTACGAGACTAAAACCGGACCATATATACAGAAGTGTGTAAAATGCAGTGTCCACAGATCCACAGAGAGACACAAAGACTTTATTAATCCTGAGGGTAGTTTAAGTTTTGTTGCAGCAACATTTACACTGCACCTTTGTGTCTCAGTCAAAGGTCTCAATGCAGTTTAACGAGAGGGCTGGTCAGGTGGGGTGAACAGATCTGTGTCAGGGAAGTTTGAAGAGCCAAAAGTGTCCATCATCTGTGTCCTGCAGCATCACAGCAGCCTCCAGGGGGCGCCAGGTGAACACAACACCAAAGGCCTAGTTCTTACTGGTGTTTCAGTCGGTGACGAAATGGTTCATTCCCTCAAAGTGTTTCTTCTGGAAGGTCTTCTGCCACATTTGCTGCCACATATGGTGTAAAAAGCCTGTAGCATCTCAAATGTTCATTCACAAAGGTGCATACTGTTATTGCGTCTTTGAGCAAGACACACATGTGGAATACTGCCCTCGCCGGAGTGTAAAACTGAGAAAAATGACTCCAGAGTTTCTTTTTTTTGTCCAGACAAAAGTATAATATTCAATCCAATCCATTTTTCTTTCTATCTAACAAACAGTTTCCAAAGTGCTGCACAATTACATAACAATAACAACAACAACAAAATGATAAAATAAACTACTACTAAAATAATCATAATAGTCTTAAAATAATAAAACCAGTAAAATAAAATATGAGCAAAATCATGGAATAGCGATAAATAAATAAAACCAATAAAAATACACTGAAAATAAATAAAATAAATAAAAAACACAGCTCATGTGGTGTTAAAAGTGAGACGAGACTTTAAACACTCCACTGTGGGGGCTGACAATAGGTAGGGCTCCCGAACTTTGACAACTAATTGCTATAATGAAGAAATATTTGTATGCGAAAAATATTGAGCACAAAATTGACCTCTACGGCAGTTTCTGTACTCAACTTTTGTATCATGTGCCAAAAATAAGAAGTCATGCAAAGGAAAAAGACTGTAACTGTGTCTGCACGACTCCTTATTTTTGGCACATGATACAAGACGGAGCACAGCAACTGCCAAATAAGGGTCAAAGGCCAATTCTGAGCTCAATATTTTCCATGATATTTATTCACGTGTCAAAGGAGGTCTCAAATACCCCCAAAATGACAATAACTCATTTTTGGCCAAACCTTGTGTTACTGCCTTTTGCCTTTGTATAACAGAATGCCTAATGAATGTGGAAAAGCACTAGATAAATGTGAACAATTATATGAAGTGATTTTTCCTCATCACATTCTGTACCAATGACTGAACAATATAAGTTTAACTGAACTCGAATAACTAACTTTGAAAATGTGAACACCCACTCTCAGTCTGAGCACCCATGAACCTCTCCGCCGGTCTAAACTCAACAGCACCTGTACTCTCCAAATACATAAGTGCTTTGAAATGCAGCGTTCACAGAGGGGTCCTAAAAATCAGCTGGTTACCACGGCGATGAGGAGGGAGAAGGTGGGTGGGCAGCGGCGCCCCTGGGTGACCCGAAAGAGGCTGCGTTTTGTTATGTGATGCACTGTAGCCAGGTGCTGCTCAGAGAAACGACGAGATTGCATAAAGGAGAAAAAAAAAAAAGCGTTATGTAAATTATCTGGATTAATATGCTTTGACTAGCAACATTAACTACACCATTGTTATAACATTTCTGCCTGTGGAAATCCAATACCATCTTCTATAGTATGTCAACTGAGACTGCATTTTCTGCTATAACGCTCTCCATCTGAACGCTTTGATGGTCCCACATGTGCAAGACTGCTTTCCTAAACACAATACAAAGTTCCTGAAACAGTCATTTGCAGCAGAAGCCTGGAAATGCTAATGTGCTGTCATAGTGCGTGCGAGTGTGTGTGTTTGTGACTGTCTATCTCGGCACTGCACAGACACAAGCAAACAGCCCAAAAGGAGGAGGAGGAGGAGTAGAGGAGGAGGAGAGAGGTGTGGGAGGAAGAGATGGATGATGGCATTCAGACACTTTGAATAGAGCCAGCAGTCAGATACGCCACTGCAGAGACTCGAAAAAGACTTGACTACATTTTTGTGTCTTGGTGCAGGTATATTAGAATAACAGATAACCAAAACTACTGTCTAAGATATTTATGCTGGAAGCTGTGGCAAATTTGAGCGTAAGACTCGACTCAAAAAAAAAAAAAAAAGATTCTGAATTTAAATATTTCTCGTAAAGCGCCCATATTATACAATTTTATTTTATGATCTATGTTATAATATTATTTCCTCATCAAAAGCATACCTAGAGTTGTGTTTTGTTTTGTTTTTTTTAACACACAAATCCTGCATATTTAGGCTGTGTTCATCTCGCAAACAGAAAACACTTAATGCCATACAGGAAGTGCTCCACTGTGTTTTTAAACTCCACACACCTTCACTAGAATAATTTGGACAATTTCTGCCTTGGAATCGCCAATCTTTACTGAACTAAAGGTAAAAGGTACTGCTGCACACGGAGGAACATTTTGAGTTTGGAGATGTAGATAGACTCATAATAAAGGGTTACTGAAATGAGTGTGAAGGAAACAAAACACAGCTCTAGATTTATATTTGATGAAGCAACAACATTTTAACATGGTTTGAAGCTCACAGGAGGCAATTTTGCGAAATATAACTTCCTTTCATATGTGACATTTTGATGACTTTTGACAATTCAAAAGATTGCCAAGGCCACAAATCTACTTTTCATCACCTTGAAATCTATATCAGTCAGGCATGAAAACTTAAAATGGCCGACAGGATGAAGAACACGTGCGCATCCTCTGTCTGCTGACCTCTGACCTTTAATGTCAAAAGTGGTCATCCCTGAAGGCCTCAGTAATAACAATGATATCAGACTGCAGTGCGCCGAGAGGAGGTCAGGAGGGCAGACTGCTCCAAAAGTCTGTCCGACCCAAACTCAAACTCCAATGTCATTGTGGTTTGGGCAATGGACCGCTGCAGAGGAGCAGTCAATGTCACAAAACTTTTTAGATTGCAGCCTATTGTGAGTTAGAGATTCGCACTTTTTATTAGATTAAACTGATTTCAGCATCCTTGCAAAACGTTACAACACAAAATAATTAAATGCGTTTCACAGATTTCTATCTTTCTGCTCAAGAAAAAATATAAAAATGCAAATAAAAAATAAGTTGCAATTGATTAACATAAAAACTATTTGCTGGATTTGAATCTACATTTTTGTCTTCCATGGATTTGTCCTTATTTCGAACTAGTGCATAGTCCCATTTGAGAAAGCACCAGGCACCAGTTAAACACAATTGCTTCTTTGTAAATTATTTGAAATGAATGTTTTCTCCTCCATGGCAAATCTAATAGTAAAGTGTCTTTCACAAATGGCTGTGCTTAGAGAGAGTCTTTTGAAAATACTTCAAAACCCAAAGGACGTCTGGCCAGTCTCCATGTGTCTTATGTTGCTTTTGTGGTGGCAGAAAGAGGCTTTGTAGAGTAGAGGCTGCGCTGATTTTGCCTCCTCTAAATACTTGAAATCTGAATGTGAAGGCTGCTGAGTAAATGTTTTAATCACATCTATTGTCATGTTTCAGTAACACCCACTATACATTTTCAGCTGTTGTCAACCATGGATCAAAGTATATCCTCTACAAAGGGCTGATCTCTTCTACCTTTACCACTACAGCGTGTCGTGTGACTGAGAAGCTCAGAGGGGCGTGACATGTGATGTATGACTGTAATTAGTTTGGGACATAACCTTATTTTTCACCTCACTGACACTTAGAAACAGTGAGCACTGAGCTGGTTTGACTGAATATCACACACTGTGGTATCATAGATTTAGTTTTATAGGTTTGCACAATAATAGCTTGCGGGTCTTATAGCCGAAACTAGAGGCACGTTGTTTTGTTTTATATTATACACTGTATATATAAAAGACCAATATATCTCTGCATATTTTTTATTGTATTGACTACACCCCAGGGACCACGTCGTAGCCATATAACTGATCTATCAGGCTTATATTGCCCTCTAGTGACAACTTCACAAAACTACCTAACCTGTCTCTTTTAGAACGGCTGTCAACATAAACTTTGGCAACAAGTACAACATAACCAAATAATTAAAACGTATCATGGGTAGACCTATGTGCATATGGTCAACATGGTTATACCGGATGGCCTTTTCATGTCCCGGGATGGACAACGCGAGCGAAGAATCAGGGACACAAGAACAGTGCATCGAGATATTTCAACGGGCTGCACAGTGGCAGGAGAGTGGTAACCGAATATGCCACTACGGCTCCAATGGTTAAAATGTTATTATTGTAGTATTGTATTGTATTGTATTGTATTGTATTGTATTGTATTGTATTGTATTGTATTGTGCTATCCTCAAAGCCTGCTGTGGGCTATTCCTCAGTACACCAACTGTGAATCTCTCCATAGCAAACACCTCGTCTCTCTCCTCTTTTCAGAGCGAGACTTTTACAGCTGCTATAATGAGGAGTAAAGTTGAAGGAGGCAAACAGGCACAAGCATCAGGAATGGGATGCGCCCCTGGTGCAGTCTGCTGGAGGCTGCGCATGCGCACTCACAGGTTTCCGGGTAGTCAGTAAAGGCTGGTTTACGAACAGGGCGTCGGTGGAACACAAGGAGCCAATGATTCCAATTTGTCCAGTTGTTTCTTTTACTTATGGTGAGTACTCTTTATATGTTATTGCTGAAGAAGAGATAATGATTTAGAATGTATTTGTTGCAATCTGTTATGAGTCCGTGTTAAAAACTGAAAGCCCTATTTAGCCTGTGCTAACAGCTTAGCTTCACTGTCCTCTGCAGTGCCCAGCCGGCTTGGGGAAGAGGCCAAAATGGCTACCGGGAATTATTTTGGCTTTACCCCTGGCGCTGCCGCGCAGTACAGGTTTGTTCATCCTTTTCTTATTGTTAAGAGTGATATGGACGTTATTTTCTGCACCGATCCTTGTGCAAGTGTCAAGTGATCCAGTGCGTCAGACCAGCACCATTGTTGGAGCTGGGGGAGGGGGCGCTTATCTTCCCATAATACTGCAGGAGCCCTCCATACGGACCGTCACAACAGATTACTGTGGCTGCTGTTATATGGACGGGCTGACCTTGTAGACTCGCACTACATCTTCGCTTGATCATCAGTTAACACGGGGACGCTCACACATAGCCATCAAAACATTAGCACCATGCACCAGAGCCCTGTCAACCAACATGAGTTCATATATACAGCTACGGGTCACTCATGTACAAAACACTCCTCACATGTGTATATTGTTTAAGATGGTCAATTATATCAGATCATTAAAATATTGGATTTTGCACCATCTACAATTGCTTTACTTCAACCAGTGATCTGACTGAGAACAATGTCTTGCCTCCTCCTCCTCCCCTGGAAAATGTCTTTATTTACATAGGAGGTTATTTAAACTGCTAATACCCCTGAGTGCAATCAATATCTCCCCCCTTTTTATCTGTCTGGCCAGATGAATATATATACTTTGTGTGTGGGTGGTTGTGGAGTGTATAGAGAATGATTTAGTGTCTGTCTTGTTGCAGTCAGCAGCCCACCGCAGGAGTAGCTTATACTCACCCCACCACAGTTGCCAGTTACACAGTGCACCAGGCTCCAGTGGCGGCCCACACAGTGGCCGCTGCCTATGCTCCCACAGCCGCCACAGTGGCTGTAGCTCGCCCTGTGGCTGCTGCTACAGCTGCTGCTTATGGAGGCTACCAGCCCACTCACACCGCCACAGACTACGCCTACACTCAGAGGCAAGCAGAAGTCCCTCCTCCTCCTCCGCCTGTCACCTCACAGAACTATCAGGTAAACAAAGTTACATTTTAAGAGGTGATACAAAGGCACATTGTTTTGTTTTACTGAACCTGTTTTAACTAATATATTTGATCCTTTTCCTTGCAGGATTCGTACTCGTATGTTCGCTCCACTGCTCCTGCTGTAGCTTATGACAGTAAACAGTACTACCAACAGGCCAGTGCATCTGCAGGTGTAGCAGCTGCACAGTCACAGCCCACTGTGGCAGAGTCTTACTACCAAACAGGTTCGTACTCAAGTACGAGCTTGTAAGATTGTAAGAAGTAAATCATTGTCAGCCCCAAAGCTGTCATTAATAATGTAGTACAGAGTGTGATTCTCATTTCCTTTTTGAGTTGTATTTCTGGCTCTTATGGCCTCTGGTGTTATTGTATTTTCAGCCCCAAAGTCGGTGTACAGTCAGTGTGCGAGCTCGTACACACAGACGCCGCAGAATCGACAGGTCACAGTGATAAAACCGGCCGCTCCAAGTCCCGTAGCCTCGTCCTTCATTTACCCCGTCACCTCTACAGTACAGCCGGTCGCCGCTGCCGCCTCTGTGGTTCCTTCGTACTCCCAGAGCTCCACCTACAGCACCAGCGCTGTCACATATTCTGGTAAGGTATTCTGCACATACGAGTAGGGCTGCACAATATATCATAAAAATCTCAATATTGCAATATTGGCTGATGCAGTAATTGAGATCACAAGAAAATAAATATATCAAAACTCAACACAAAGTTTACACAAATGTACTCTTTGGGAAGTAAAGGGGAAAAAAGGCAGATTTTAGTCCTGCCTTAGACTTGGTCTTGGGTTTTTTATTTGGATCCAATTTGAAAGTAAATGGATACATGTGCATTTTCTGTTTTAATTTTAATGAAAATATTGTGTGCCAGAAAGTATGTTAAAATGTTGTAACAATATCATTATTACGATACAAAACAGTTATTAAATTATTGCATCTTTTTCTCATGTCCTGATGCCCTGCATGTATTGCATATAACGGATGAATAAACTCAACTGCCTAAAGTAATGGTGTTTTTGTCTTTCAGGAACGTCGTATTCTGGTTACGAGGCTGCCGTGTACTCTGCAGCCTCCAATTACTACCAGCAGCAACAGAAGCAGGCAGTGGCCGCTGTAGCAGCAACATCGGCCTGGACTGGAAACACTTTCACCAAGAAACCTTCATTTCCAAATAAACAGCTCCGACCCAAACAGCCACCTAAACCGCCACAAATCCACTACTGCGATGTGTGCAAAATCAGCTGTGCAGGCCCACAGGTGAGCACTGTCATATTTACCTTCCTTATTAAAAGACTCACTACCACAGGCTACAGTTGGACAAGGGTAAGAGAGACCTTCTAAAGACAAAACTTTTTTCTTCCTAAACTTAGACGTACAAAGAGCATCTGGAGGGGCAGAAGCACAAGAAGAAAGAGGCAGCCCTGAAGGTTTCTCAGAGCAGCAGCAGTGGCAGCACTTCTGGAGGGTCTGTCCCACGAGGAGCACAGAACCAGCTCCGCTGTGAGCTTTGCGACGTGTCTTGTACTGGAGCAGACGCCTATGCTGCTCACATCCGAGGAGCCAAGCACCAGAAGGTAGGTCTGTCACCGCACCTCTAAAAACAAAACTCTTATGGACACACTGGACAGTTTTGATGATTTTTCCATGGTGAAAATGTTTGACATACAGCCACAGAGTTTGACTCCAAATGCGTTACTGTTTGTCTCTCAGCTCCAGTAGTGACTGTTGCCTCCTCTGCAGGTTGTGAAACTTCACACTAAACTGGGGAAACCCATTCCCTCGTCAGAGCCCAGCCTGTCGTCCAGCAGCTCTGCCACAGGCCTGAAGAGCAGCACCTCCACCTCTAGCACCTCGAGCTCTTTCTCTCTGTCCACCACCTCTTCCACCTCCTCCACCTCCTCTTATCTGAAGCCCATCAGCATCGTCGGTAGCGTGGGCACTGGCAAAAGCCCGACCTCCAGCATCTCTGTTACCTCTGCAAAGAAGGTCATCACCCCCAAGATCAACTTTGTGGGCAAGTAACAATACTACTTTGGTTGATTGATGACGTTTTGTTTTTTTTACATTGGGTTTACATATGAATGTTATTGAACTGCAGTATGACTCTTACCTTTATTTTACCACCCAGAACAGATTCAACTTTTCAATGATGACCCAGATCCAGCTGTAAAACTGAATTGTGATTTGTTTCATTACAGGTGGAAATAAGTTACAAACAACACTGAAACCAGAAGAGATGAAAAGTGAAGTCTCAAAGTCACTGACACCCATGGGTGCTCAGGACTCTAAAGGGGAGAGCATGGACACTCTCTCCTCGTCAGCACTGGCTGCTCTGCAGAACGAGGTCCAGCCCGTGGGCTATGACTATGTTGAAGAGGTGATTTTTTTAAATTTCTCAGACAAATAGGTTTCAGTGAAGAGGGATAGTTTTCATAACGTTGTTCATGTTGTAACGTTGCTTGTTCTCTTTTCTTAGGTGCGGAATGATGAAGGCAAAGTCATCCGTTTTCATTGCAAACTGTGTGAATGTAGTTTTAATGATCCCAACGCCAAAGAAATGCACCTGAAAGGCCGGCGCCATCGTTTACAGTACAAGGTCAGTGCTCACCATGTCTGTATGAGCCAATAGCCTTTGCTTTGTAAAATGATTAGAGTAATAATGAACTTGATTAAATAAATTGATTGATTGAATAAACTGTTTATATGTTCATGCAGAAAAAGGTAAACCCAGACCTGCAGGTGGAAGTGAAGCCAAGCATCCGCGCCCGTAAGATTCAGGAGGAAAAGATGAGAAAACAGATGCAGAAGGAAGAGTACTGGAGGCGGCGCGAGGAGGAGGAACGCTGGAGGATGGAGATGCGGTAAACACATTCATTCATATTATAGACATTAAACAGTATTGGACACATTTTTACACATATTAAGATTATAGTTGGCATTTGGGTAATTGGCTAGAGATCTAGTTGGGGGGAGTTGCTATTGTGGGCTGCCGTATCGATATGCTGTGTATTTTTTGGTATCTTTTACTACATATTTTTAAAGTTTTGTTGCCTGTTTAGGGTAAGGAAACTCTTTTATACAATACAGTTGACATAATTACTGTCTTGATAATTAAGTTATATTAAGTTTGCACATGCAGTGGTTTAACAAAGTACTAAATACTTTTAAGATGTATTGTATAAAATGACGCTTATCACATGTGTGGCCACATCGTAATCCCAGCCCCATTCTAACCAGAGCTTGGGCTTTTTCTTGTACAGGCGTTATGAGGAGGACATGTACTGGAGGCGTATGGAGGAGGAACAGCACCACTGGGACGATCGGCGCCGCATGCCCGACTCCGGCTTTCAGCAGTGCCCCCCTGGTCTGTTGGGGGTCAGGCCGGGCATGCCTGGGATGCAGCCTCAAGGACTGCTGGTAGGGATCTACACACATGAAACTAGTCTTAATTGAAAGGTACATTCTGTAACTTTCTGGAGATAAAGTTAAAACCATACTCCAGAATATTGTCCATGGGGATAGCTTACATTCTATAAAAAAGTTAATTAACAAAAAACATACATACATTTTATTTTTGGCATAATAGTTACTTATTGTGGCTTTAACAAATAGAAACTTCTTTGGCATTTTGTGTTTGGCAGCCTCAGCGTCGCCCAGACTCTTCAGATGACCGCTATGTTATGGCAAAGCACATTGTCATCTATCCATCTGAAGAGGAGTTACAGTCCATCCAGAAGATTGTGTCCATCACAGAACGTGCTCTGAAGCTCGTGTCAGACATTATCAGTGAACAGGACACAGCCAAAGAGGAGGACAAGGACAAGAAGGAGGCTCCGGCTAAAGACAGGTCAGTGTGGGATGTCAAAAATATCAAAAATAAGACACTGATACTAAAACTAAAATCGAAACTAGATATTTCATATTGCAAAAATCCCAATTAACAGGACACCGTTTTAGCTTTCCTGAAAATTTTAGTATAATTTTGAGGGTTATCATAATGAATGTAAGACCTCATGCTGAGCTAAAGAAAGTATTGTTTTGTGTATGAAAATTTCATAATGTTACTAAAAAGCATTTTTAAAATCTTTTTTGTAGTATTTTAATAGGCATTGAGTATTGAGTGATTTTGTTAGTATTGAAGTATTGAGTTTGAAATTGTAGTATCTATTCATGACAACACTAGTGTAGCCTTACAGTAGATTAAGACTGTATAGTACACTCTGGAAAAACTCTCCCAGCCTAAATAGCACCATCCTTCTGTGTTTCAATACGGTTCGCTGGACAGTTAAATTACAAAAAGGCATTAGACACAAGCCCACAAAAGAACTAATTGTGTTAATATCCTTTGGACCAGCTAATGTATTTTTCTTTTAATCCTACAGAACTCTAAAAGGAGTGATGCGAGTCGGGGTCCTGGCCAAGGGCCTGCTTTTGGGAGGAGACAAAAATGTGAACCTGGTTTTGCTGTGCTCCGATAAACCCACCAAGACCCTCCTGAACCGGATAGTGGAGCACCTCCCAACGCAGCTTGCAGTACTAATGCCTCACCTCTTTTTAGAATCACTGTTTTATTAATATTACTTACTACAGAGCTAATAATAATTTAATCATTCATCTATTTCAGGCAATATGGTAACAGATATTGTATTATTTTTCCTTTACCATTTAACGGTAATACATCATCTCTTGCCCACATTGTCTGACATACATTGGTCTAGAATAAACTGTAACCTGAGAGCACCCAGAGACATGAACCCTCAATACAATCTAATAAAAGTTCAGAGTACACTGAGCTGGCAGATGAACGATTCAATTATTCTACTAAGGAGAAATGAATATTCCCAAAGATGCTTTGTTTGTGTGTGTGCGCGATCCTTGATGAATGTCTGGTCTGATGTGGTCCCATGTTCTCCTTGTTTTCTAGGTTGTATCTCCAGACAAATATGAAGTGAAGGCGTGTGTGTCAGAGGCGGCCATCGTCCTGAGCTCCTGCACCGAGCCCAAGATGAACGTGCACATCACGCTGACGTCTCCTCTGATGCGTGAGGACGGAGCTGAAGGAGGTCTGCCACACTGCACAAACTGATCTCACTGTGGACTACCTCAAGAGCACTCCGCTGCTGGCACTGCCCATCGCCTTTCATTTAAAACCCCTCACACACACTCCTCCTTCATTCTACCCACTGCTCTTAGCTTCTTAGCTTAGTCATTTTTATTCTATACATTATGTCTAGTTTACATCAAAACGAATGCCAGCAGTTCTGCTCTTCGGGCCTGTTGCTCAGTAACTATCCTCAATGCTCTTATTCTTTGAAAAAGCATGATCATTGTCTGCATTGTATTAGCGATTTCTAGTTAAGGTTTTATTTTGTTTCCTGTGTGTAGGGCCTCAGTTTTTTTTTTTTTTGTAGTGACACGTGTACACAAAATTATGAGTTACACAAAGCGGTGATTCTGTTTCCCACAGTATCATTCCACTTTTTAGTTACAATTTGATCCAAGACAATCTTACACAGCAAGGTAAAACTTTTCACAGGAAACAAATAATTCTCAGTAAAGTTGATAAGCCTATGCCTTGAGCCCACAATCTTCACAAAATGTTGATGATTAAAAAAAAAAAAAAAATTGCAACATGATTTTAGGGTAAATTCAAAATCTGGCTAATCAAACACTGAAATGGTCCTTGTGTAAAGGCTGTAAGAATGGTCTTGCTTCTTTCCAGCCTTCTGAGTAGGCTTGCATGAAGTGGTATCCTAACCTGTTTGCTGGTAGTTCTCGTGCCCTATCCCTCAGTGCTGTCTCCAATATAAAAGCAGCAGAGTTTTCATCTTTGAGAGAAAACTTTTCCAACAGAACTTGTGTACAGCTCCGGAAGGATTTTTGACCAAGCCGTTCTCACACACCAAAAACCTTGCCACACCTACTAACAGCCATGCCACTTTATTAGGCACACTTCGGTCTGATGCAGGCGCATGGTGTCCTCAATAAGAATAGATTCATCATAAATTTGGAAGGCTATCCTATGATACAGAATGAGACATGTATTCAGCAGAAGTTGTTTTCTAGTCATTCCAGGTGAAGTGGTATGTGTGGCAATGTGTTTGTTCTCTGGCAGCTTGCTGACCTGGTCAAACACCCATTCCTCACCAATATTTTGACCTTCAAATCCATTTTTAGATATAACCTCGGGTATGATGAATGACCCAGCGGACGTCTTGGACAGACAAATTTGCCTTGACGCTCTGGCTGCTCTGCGCCACGCTAAGTGGTTCCAGGTTCGGAACATCATTTTACTCTTTTATTGTATGTAGCCTTATGAGACTGTGATTACTTTTAATTTGTGCGTTACACATTTATTTTTTATCATAAGACACCTTCAGTAAATCCAAACCTAATATTCAAGGATGTCACTTAATCCTACCATTTGGTCTCTCTCTGATCCTAGTTAAATTTTCTGATAATACTATGAAAACTGTGATATCTAACACTGGCATCCTTGTCTTGTATTTTGGCTGTGCCCCGTTAGCTAATTCCATAAGGCTGCACAATAAGCTGCACACAGTGTGCCAAGTGTTGAGACTTGTACTGTTTTGTATTTGTAGAAAGGGGATTGAGAGAAACAGGAATATCAGAGCTGGTCTGTGAGCACAGACTGTAGTGGATTTCCTTCCTCTCTCAGTCCCTGTGCCTCAGGTGTACTCCAGTACCTGCAGAGTCACGGTTTAGAAGATGGCAAGAAAACAACTGGTTTCTTGTGCATCTTGCAAACTCTGATCTCTGGCACTAACTTTGAGGTACAAGACTACTGGGAATGGCAGCTGATTGTAGGCTATTTTTGCTCATACACAACATGGAGCTTCCATTACACACAGTAGTGTTTGAACCTCTGTGACAAAGCTGATACTAATGTGTTCAAAGTGCCATTGTCCTGCTCTAACTCCCTGTGCTGCATTAAAAGGCTAGGGCCAATGGTCTACAGTCCTGCGTCATCATCATCCGCATCCTGAGAGACCTGTGCCAGCGTGTGCCCACTTGGTCTGCTTTCCCTGGATGGGTGAGTGTACCTGGTCTGCAGATGCCAACTCCAGCTCATAAAAGAGGGCAGCAGTAACTCATCTTGCCTAATGTAGTGTGTGCGTGAGTCTTGGTGGTAGTGAATTACTTTTGTAGGCCCTTCCGAAAGTGTGGGGTGAAGAATAATGATTACAGTGTTGTACTTTGAGGGACTCGACAAGCCTGTAAAGCCAATTAAAAGTGTTCATATTATTGAAGGAGGACGTTGTCCCTCCTGCGCTGAGAAAGCATTTGAAGAAATTGACAAGAATATCGAGAAATTGGATTTAGTGTTTGTGAATTGTTAATTTATCATTATGTTTGTTTATTGTGATGTTCAGGCAATGGAGCTGCTGGTGGAAAAAGCTATCAGCAGCGCCTCGGCTCCACTTGGACCAGGAGACGCCCTCAGACGAGTTCTGGAATGCATTTCTTCTGGAATTTTACTACCAGGTATAAGTTAAAATGGAATTTTTCAAATTAGAAAGCAACTTCATGGAGTGTGTTAAGAAATGGCAAGGAGGGTTTCTTGCAAAAGTTATGAATGTAACTGTTCTATGAATCTTGAATGCTCTCCAGAGCACATGCGCAGGGAATTAGTGCGTTCAGCACTGCCCTCTGGTGGGCAATAAGGATGAAACACAAATGTAGCCGTTTCATAGATTTCTGAGTGACCTTTGTCTTGACTTTCCTCTGTTCCAGGAGGTCCAGGGTTGTTAGACCCTTGTGAGAAGAACCCTGTGGATACTCTGGCTCCTCTGGGAGAACAGCAAAGAGAGGACATCACGTCGAGCGCCCAGGTAAACTGTCTGATGTCCATGAATCAGTCTCCAATCATGTGACTGACATTGAATCACAGGTTCTAGTAAAAACAAAACTCTTAATATGTATAAAACCTGATAACACTGTGTAGATTAGACCTCTACCATTGTTCAAAAATACATGTGATTATTGTATTATTTTAGCAGTTCATATTTCCTTGTTATTGGGCTGGACATGTTTAAAACGTGTCTTTAACTCTAAAACATGACATTTAAGCTTTTGTTTCTTGAATTATTCCTTTCTCTGTTAAAAGTGTATAATCCCATCGTCTAATGTCAGTATCAGTATACGAGTGCACTAACCACACCTCTCTGTCTCTGGCATCAGTTTGCTTTGCGCCTGCTGGCCTTCCGTCAGATCCATAAGGTCCTGGGGATGGACCCTCTGCCACAGACCAACCCCCGCTTCAACGTGCACCCGAGCCGCAAGCGTCGCCACGACAACAGCGACGGCACGGACAGCTTTGAAGGAGAAGGCAAGAAGGACAAGAAGGACTACGATAGCTTTTAGAATGTGTATCACCACCAGAAGGATGTTGATTTTATGTATTCTGTTTAATTGTACTGTAATCAAAAAAAAATCTGCTCTGTTGTTGTAACTACAAGCATTAGGCGGTCTATTTGAAATTTTAATGGAGCTTATGCGTCTGTGTTTCTGTTAATTGTGAGCCCTGACTTGTCTCGTCTGAAGCTACCCTTGTTTCTTGACTTAAATATTTATATAATCTTACTTACAGTATTGGTTTGCAGTAAGCATGGCATTGTCTCTTGGCTTTTTCTGCAAATGAAGGGAATTTGAATGATATTTTGACCATAACAGGATTGAATGGAAGTTTATTTTGGGTCAGGGGATTTGCAAGATCTTGAAAATGTTGGTATTTCCTTTAGCTGAATAAATGTACTAAACTAACATCTCTCTTAGTCTTTAATGTGGGTTCAATTAACCCAAATCTGTTATAATGAGACTAATATTATCAGCAAGCTAAACTTAAACTTGACTCACTTAGCTTTTTAAAGCCAATGTTTCACATCCAATCAGATATCTTCATCAGAGCTGTAATGTGTGTGCTATAATCAGTTTCAATGCAATAAGGCCAGAAAATGTATTAAATAACATAAACAGTGAGCTTGCAATTTGGCTACATGGTTTATTGTAAGGCAGTGGTTGTCAAACCTTTCATATAATGTACCACCTAAATGATAATAGGGTACCAGTAGATCTGTACCCACACTGTATCGAGGTCTAAAATAAAACTTGAATGTACCAGTAGTACTAAATTATGATTAATTCTAAAGATGACAAAAACAAATGTTTGTCTCTATAAGGGCCTGAGAAAAGAACGTAACATAAATTACCAGACGACCAAATGAACCTCATTGGACTGTAAGAGCCACAGTTTGAGAAACACTGCTCTAAAGCTGCCGTCATAATCTTGCCAGTAAATATGCTAAAATCATTCAATAAGGCAATAACTTCATGCTTTTTATTGTATTAAGGTCTTCATAGGAAAGCCTTAATTTAAAGTTTTAGCTACTGTGTATAGTACAGTTAATAATTGCTGATTTTTATTTTTTTTTATAATCTGTTAATCTGGCTAGTTGTTGCAGCCATTGTTGACACCTTTTCAAGTTTTGCATCTGAAAGATACAGCTCAGACCATCTCTTGCACAAACAGTAAAAATGTAAAAATAGTTAACCACTGCAAAAAAAAAAAACAGGAACAGAAATCACAATAAAACACGAATTACCAAATGTATGAATCTTTATTGATCACATATTCATTGAGTTATCACATATTGCAGCATTAATACCTAATGCCATGTCTTGTGCTTTTTTAACAGAGGAATATTTACAATGACAATCTGATATAAGCCCAAGACTCAGTGGGCAAAATTTACAAGAAATGTTAATGTTGTTAAATCTTAAAGTTGTTTTCTCCTTCACGTCAGTCTTGTGTGCAGCTACAATCTTTCCATCTTTACAAAACTTTTAGCGGTAACTTTCGATGTTATTGAAATCCTCAGAGAAGCCAGAATATGACTCTGTAAGATCTGCAGAGGAAAAGGTGCAATTAGAGAAACCCAGGTAATTTATTGTCAGAATTTTCAAGTGTGTCTGTGATTTTAATGTGACAAAATTAAAAAGTTATTTAAAAGTATTTAAAGGGTCTATATTTCCTCATCAAAACACATATATAGTTGTGTTTTATTTCTTTCACACATGTTTAACACAAACCCTGGATATTTAGGTTCTTCTCTCAAACAGAAAACACTCTGTTCCACCTTGTGATGTCATGTGGTAATACCGGAAGTGCTCCACTGTGTTTTTAAACTCCATACATCTTCACTAGAATCATTTGGAGCCCTGGAATTTGCAGTCTCTTGTGTGAATTTGGTAGAATATAGGACCTGTCATATGATGCTAAACCAAAAATGCTTTCTCCATCTTATATAAGACACAAAACATGTATGAAATAAGGGAATAACTCTTACAAGGAGAATTTCTGTTCTCATCTTGAATAAGTAAAATGAATTATGCTTTGCACACAGAACGTTGTTCTTCAGAACTCCACATAATTCTGTTTTGTTTCTAAAATCAGTCTGTAAAATTAAGCAATACTGACATTTTAAGTGCAGACTGCTCACGATGTCTATATCAAAAATATTTGGACAGATTTTGATTCAGCTGTAAACAGTGAATATGTTTGTGCATTACCTTCACATGGCCCTTGTTTAAACTCAATGTCGTCTAAAGCAATGTCACTCCTGAGGGAAGGGCCCCGAGTCGCTTCAAAGACAATCTGTGAAAAATAAACACAAAAATGCAAAATTATACCATATTTTTAAAGGCACACTGTAACTTTTTTTTAATGGAGGGTAGTACACAATCTGACTGTCCCATGGATATTTTAAGGCTTTGTCTGGTATGTTCTACACAGTAAGGCAATGAACATATGTTTCGAGCATTTACTTTGTTTTGGGTGTATTTATTGTTGAAAATACCTTAAAAACATGCATTCATATGTCTCTCCACAGCTCTGACCTGTAACTTGACCTAGATGAGCTACTTGCTTGTCTCCATGGAAACAGACAAGTTCACGCTATGGAACATTCTAGGTAAAGCAATAGCTTTTCCATAGAGACAAGAAAGAATCGCACCACACACTCCCAGGCAATTCAAGAAACCATTATGTTTGGCATAATTATTGCAAAGAGGAAAGAGGACCATTATGAGGGAATGGAAGACCACAACACTTCCCTGTTTCCATAAATGAAAAGATATGATGTCTTGTTTGTATTTTGAAGAGATTCTCAAACGTCAAAGGACTGATCTCTCATTTGAACTCTCCAGACATTACAGGCTGTTTTTTTTTATTTTTTATTTTTTTTATTTTTTACATATACATGGTTTTATGTACATATGTGCACTGGGAGTGTTTGTTTGTGTGTATGTGTTTTCAAATGAAAAAATGGAAAAATGGAAACCAAATAAACAATATATTGAAAAAAAAGAAGGTATTGTACCCTCTACAGAAAAGTTACACATTTCACAATCTTCTCCAACTTTTTCTTGCAATTGTGATGTTAGTCCTTTGCCTAGAATGTTTCACAGTATGGCTTTATAACTCATGCAAGTATTAAATTAATGTTTTTTTTATTGTCAAAATAGCTTTTTGAAAAACATGCATTCTTACTGAGCACCAGCAAGTTTAATGCCATTTTGCGAAACATTCCAACGCAAATCAATCACATGGAGAAAAGCAGATGACAGACCTGACACTGTACATATTGTATAAATGGACATAGCTAACCCGCTAGCCGCTGTGATCCAAATAGGAAGTGATCATGAGCGTGCTTTTGTCTCCATCGAATCTGGCTCCAATTGACTTTACATTGAAAAATGGTCACTTCTCTCTCTGAAACTGCTGCGGTGAACCTCAACATTTTGGTCTTGAAATGTTTGTATTAACCTTCTCTACATGATCCTGGTGTTATTATTTCACTATTTTGTCCATAAATCAATTCCTGTTCCTAATATGGAACTGGGTCCAAATTTGTCCCTACAGTCCTTTACTCCCTTTGTCCACTTCTTTACAGTGTATGGTCGTACCTGATGAGCCTGATCACTGCGATAGTCGACTGTGGCCCTCATCCAGCCGATGCCCTGCTCCCCAGTCCTTTTCCACAGAGGAGAGTCCCGTGCGTGGTCTCTGCGCCTCAGAAGGACCCTGAGGATTCCTGTGCCGGAGCCGTACATGTGGAAGTGAAAAAGCAAACACAGAGGAGAGGAGGAGCCACGCATCTGAGGACTGAGCAGACGAGCTCTGTGACCAGGACGCATCAGAGAGGCCTCGATGTACACAAAGTATCCTACAAATACATGTATGGGGTTATATCATCTTTGGTGACATTCCACTGACTTACATGCATTTCCTGGACATTGATCTTAACCATATTACTACTTGCCAAATTTTAACCTAAACCCTAACCCAGGTTTCAGTCATAACTATCAAACATTGCCTATTTAATGAAGAGTTAGAGTCAAGGAGTTTAGTCCCTTTTCCTTTTGGATTATTTTAGAAGATTAAAAACAGTCCAATAACCTCATGTTCCCAAAACAGAAATTAAAGTGTGCATCTCAAGTTTTATTTGCGATTTGGTGAATTCAAATAAGTTTTACTGGTATTATTATGCTTAGGGTTATTTTGCCGATTACACTAACAAAAAGCAAAAAAGCAGTCTTCAGTGTATTGTTAATTGTGTAATAAAATATCACACTTCAAAACGTGTTATAAGCCCAGGAACAGCTCATGTTAAAAAAAAAAAATACGTTTAACCTTCTGTATTGACAGGCTGTAGGTGCAGATTTAGACCGCTCACTCACCCACCCCTGTGCTGTGGTCTCCTCTGGGCCCCGTGTAGAAGGTGGGGGTCATGCCTCGGACTCTAAGCCAATCAGCACTGTCGTTTTTGTCCTGCATGTAGCCACACAGGTCCTGCTCAAAGTCACACCGGGCCGCCAATGAAACTGAAGAACAACACAGAGAACATCTATGCACAGGTAGGTAAAATGCCTTTGCCATACCTATTATGATCATCTGTGGGTAACGTGATTAAAAACTACACTTTGATTAGCCTTCATAACTGAACTTAATTCATAACGAACAAATAGTTTAAGACGTTTCAGGTTTAGTAACTACTTAATTATTATCAGCACCTATTATTACCATAACTTCTTATCCTTAACTGTATAGTTACTTAGCCTGAATCATTCTTAATAAGCTTTTTGGTCATTATGAATTAAATGGTCAATATCACCCTATTCTCTGATCTATATTATAATGTTTTCTCATCAAAAACATACCTAGAGTTGCATTTTGTTTCATTCACACATGTTCATTTAACACACAAATCCTGCATATTTAGACTGAGTTCTTCTCTGTTCCACCTTGTGATGTCACTTTGTTTTTTAACTCCATATATTCACTAGAATCATCTGGATGATTTCAGCTCTGGAATAACAAATCTGTACTGAACAAAAAGGAGCTGTCAATCACCACTTAATGAAATAAATGAATGAGAATTTCGCTTCAGTTTCTTGAAATGGCAAATGATGAAGGCCTAGTGCCGAAACATTGTTCATGTCCTAATAAATTTCACAATTTGCAAGTAAGATGTTGTGCGGGATTTTTTTAATCTATGTTCTTGAACATAGACAGACTAATAATAAAGGATTACTCAAACATGTGTGAATGAAACAAGTATGTTTTTGAAGAGGTAATAACACTATAGCATGACTTAAAGCTCACAAGAATCTATTTTGTGTAACAGAGGACCTTTAAGTGTTCCATGCTTTATTAAGGCATTTTTTAGCCTTTATTAAGGCTAAGTAAGGTGTAGTTTATAAAGGGTCTATTGATTTGGGTTGTTACATAGCAAGTTAAAGAGCGTATTTGCTTCTATACATGGCCAGGTTTAACATGTGTGGATTTTCCTTTCTCACATTTTTAAAAATAAAAGTCATCGCTTTCAAGTGTTATCAAATTTTGACTGTAGCAATAATCTTAATCTATTGCATCTATAAGGAATTCAAAACATTGAAATCCTATCTTTTGAATGGCCTATAGTTCAGAAAAGTGCAAAGATTCATGAATAAACCCAGTAGCTTACCTGAGTTGATCTGGCAGTCCCCCACATTCACACTGATGTCGTCCAAAGCCACAGAGCCACAGTCCCAGAAGGTCTTACAGAGGCTCACAAACACCACCTGAGCACACACAATATGCACACTAATTCACTGATATAGACTGTATTTTTAGCTAATTCTGTCACAATAATTACTATATTGACTTATCCTTCAATATATGAAAGCTGGAACAGCGACTAGGTCAGGAATGGGAATACACTAGACCCTTGCAAGAACCCTCAAAGTTGTAGACCGCGCACCGGCCAATCAGAAAAGAGCTATGAAGCCATGATGTCAAACTCAAGCGCCTGTCTGAGTCCCTTTTGTGGTACAGCACACAAAGCGGTCGAAATAAATGTAGACGAAGCCATACATTCTGTGTTGGCAGCGATTCCCGAGATTGAGAAATTAAAGCTGGAACAAAGAGAATGTTTGTGAATTTTATCAGGGGGAAAGATGTTATTGCCCTTCTTCCTACGGGATTTGGGAAAAGTGTAATATACCAGTTAGTCCCATTAGCAGTGCATTACATACATCATTACCAAATAGCAGCGATTGGTTAAATAAAAAAGTACCCATGTACCGTCGAGTGAACGAATCCTAACGTTGTGAGTCAGACGGTTTCCATGAAGTGAAAGCGGCAGATGAATCAGGCTACTATTTTGGCACCTACAATTTAAAAGTAAAAATGTGGACCACATTTTTACTTTTTCCTGCCTTTGTCTGTGTTTTTAACCTTCCTCACTGAACTTCAAACCTCTAATGGCTAACCTACGTCACACTGTGGTGGGTTCACATGCAAACCAATTCAAAACTGAGACTAAATCTGGAACAAAACCCAGACTAAACCATGAGTAAACCAAAACTAGAACAGAAGCAAACTCAGTCTACACAAGTGTGAAGGCACCATTAGTCAACTAAATCTATAATAGTCTGACAAAAAAGATTATGAGGCAAGGAAGTGATACCCCCACCAGAAAAAAATGACATTGTGAACCGATCAGAAAAATGTGTTTGGATAGCGTCTCCCTAGTGTGATATCATCAATATGGGACTCTCTTAAACAGAACTTACTTACTGTAATTCTCAATATCTTTCAACAACTTTTCCTCACAAATTGTTTCTTGATTGGTGGAAAATTATAATTTTGTATTTACAGCCTTATATTTGTACCTTTGAGCGCATTGGTTTCATGTAGGTGAGGTCCACTTTGTGCCACACTGATCTGGTTGTATCAGTCAGACTCCAGAGCTTCTCCAGGATCACGTTATTCTCATCGTAAATGTAGACGGACAGAGCGTGGTCCAGCCCCCTGAACCCGTGCAGCAGGTAGAAGAAGTTCAGGCAGTATTTTGTGTTTCCAGGCAACAGAGGGCCATGGAGACGGTCCATGTAAGACGCCCGGGACGAGAACGGGACATGGGTCTGCAGGAAGTAACCTAATAATAAGAGGGGAAAAACTGCTTAGGTTTGGGTAAGTAAACCTTTGTTTTTTAAAGTGCATTGTGTAAATTTTCTGATGGAGGTTCTGCCAACTGTTCCCATAGAGTCAGAAATATCTTTGCTTTTCCTGGAATTAAACATATCCACCCACAAGGCCGAGTTACAGGTCAGATCTGTGGAGAGGTGACTACACTGACAATGAGAAGGCATGTTTTTAAGGCATTTTTGAGCAATAAAAATAACTCTAATTTACTTAATGTAAGGCAAAACATTCCAGGCAAAGCATCAACATCTCAAATAGGTGGGGGACCCTCTAGTGCACCTTTAAGATTTCATTGGTCTATATGTTTTATTGTACAAGACAGTGAATATAGTGTACTCTATATGATGGGAATGAAGAGCGGGGAGACATTCAGCAAAATGTAAGAACTTGGAATCAGTAGAGGATGCAGGGACTGTGTACCTTGGCCCTAGGGTACAACTGGAACTTTACTCCCTGTATTTGCTCTGGTGAATACTGTTGCTACTGCCAGTGGTTAAACAGAGCAGGTCTTAGACTTAGACGCTAGTTAACATCATATTTCTGTGATGATCTAATTCATATGTACCTTGGCCATAGAGCAAGAGTGGAACTTTGAATTCACACTGATTGCTGTGTCCTTGAGCAAGATGCTTAACATGCCCCTCAGTGTTTGTGCTGTATGAATGGATAATGTAAATGGGTTTGAGTGTCCAGCTAGAAAAGCACCATTTACATGTGATCATTCATTATTTTTGCGCTGATTGTTACTTTTCATAGTGTAATATTAAGTTGACTGTCATGAAAGTAATGTGGGAAAACTTAACAGAACAACCAAGATCAAAACAAATGATTGATTGATACCAGTGGTGGAACGTAACAAAGAAAAAGTCATAAAGTACTGTATTGCTTAAGTATAAATATTAGGTATTTGTACATTTTACGTTTTACAGCAGATTCTTTTTACTTTTAAACCAATACATCTGAGAAAAGGTATCTGTACTTTTTACTCCACTACATTTTTTTAACTGGACTGAAAAGTAAAAGTATTTTCTATTATTGTGTGAGATCTATTGAAAAAGGTGTTTATTTTTATTATGTTCATAGTTGGAGCAAACAAAAATATACAACCAAAAACAGCTAAGAAAAAAAATTGTTTCAGATAATTGTTTTTGTTGAACAAAATTCAGCACAAATCTTTATTAAAATCACTACATTTGAAGCTTTACTAGACCTCAAAATCTGTTAGAAATAATTTTTACTCGTGAACTGCATTTGTAAACAGGTATTTTTTGCTCCGGTATGTGTACAAAATTGAGTACTTCTTCCACATCTGATTGATACTTCACTATAATATGCAGTATGTAAATTCCAGAGTAAAAGAATAAGAGTAACAAAATAATAATTATTTTTCAAATTTTTTGGATTTAGAGCAGGATTTTGTGAACTCACTCAAAGCCTGAAATAACTTTTTAGGTCATGAATCTCCAAGGAAAGTTTGAGAACCTCCCCTGGTGTGTGTCTGACCTGTCCCTGTGGTGTGGTCTCCGGTCCGGTACATGTTGGCCTTCACTGATGTCCTGCTCCAGACTCCAAACTCCAGAAAGTACTGACACAGCCCCTCCTCGAAGTCACAGTTAGCAACAGAAGGGTCGAAGTCTGGCTCTGAAACACAACACAGCCCACATGTTAGACTTCCATGGAGTGTGGAGTGTTGGAGACGTGTACAGACACTTTTTAAATATTCCATCCAGTCCTTGTATTTGCAGAGGTCGCTGGTGCTAGGCTAGTGCATGTCAATGGTCATAGTTATCCTGCCACTAAAAACAGTCTTATCCACTCCAAAATTCCCATCTGTCCCTTTAACTTGGAAACTACAGCTTCATGACATCACAAGTTGAAACTGAGTATTTTGAGCTCTGGAGATGTAGAGAGACTAATAATAAAGAATTCTTCAAACGTGTGAATGAAACAAAACACAACTCAAGGAATGTTTTTGATGAGGTAACATCATCATGAACACAATAACATTCTCACATGGCTTAAAGCTCACAAGAGTCAATGTTGAGTAATACAGGACCTTTAATGAATCGACTGTTGCACTGTGTAACAAAACACTTTAAAACTGACATTGTACTATCCAGTTCTCAAGTGAGATTTGTTGATTGATATAACAGAACACATTTTCTTGTTCTAGTGTAAATACATCATCTACTTAGCCTCCTCTTTCCCATTTAGCAGATAAACAGTTATGTCCTCTTGTAAATATTATTACAGCTCATTTCAGTTTTCTCACCAGTGTCATTGTGGCAGAACACTGGAGAAAAGGAAATATCGTCAATAGCAACGTAACCTCCTCTGGCGCTGTTGAAAGCCACCTCATACACCACCTGCACACACACACACAAACAGAAAGCACAATGTCATTTCATTTATGTCAGATCTGTGTAGATGTTATTGTTAATCTTCCCTGTGCGGCGTGTCAGTACCTTTGTCACTTACAGATTTTGTGCATTATTTATTTTTTGTCCTCCAAGTTCCGTTAACTTAAAATGAAAATTCATGTGCTAAGTACGGACAGTTAAAAATAGTAGTAATGCAATTGTTGTTAATGCCGTCCCTACAGACGTAACAGTTTGCACTAGAGCCACTTCTTCTCCATTGTAGTCATAGACTGTAGAAGAGTGGTCTCCAACTTTTTTCCTCAAGCGAGCTATGTTTACAAAACAGAGAGTGAGAGAGCTGCTCATTTTAGCGACCACAATAAATTGAGACGATTAAAATAAAGAGGGCAAGCCTTGGGGTACAGTTAGATACCAATAAAACATTGTCCATTTATTAGTGCAGAACGTTGGGCTTCAAAATTACACATTTACAATGGAAATGGTCATTTAATTAACCAAATTTTCATCACATTCAGCAAGCACAATGGTATAATTCTGAAATCCCTTGGAGAACTACTTGGAATGGGGTGGAGAGCTACTGGTAGCTCCCGAGCTCCAAGTTGGAGACCCCTGGTGTAGAAGAAGAAAAAAGTGGACTAAGGCAGTGTTTCCTAAACTTTTTTTCTGGGGATCTTTTGGGGATATTCTAAAAGTCACAAACCTTCGCGACCCAAGTCAATTGACATTATTCGTAAATCACAAATTAAAGGTGGATTTGACCATTATTGAATATATATTATGTTTTATTGAGTGATCATGTCTCTCTGAACAATTAGTATTACTCAAACAAACAAAAACAGTAATTAAAACAGCAATAAAAAGATCCATAAGTCACCTATTTGATTATTAAATGTAGCCCATATCTTTTTCTTTTCAACATTCAATTGAAACAGCAATATTGGAACAAAATAGTCAATAAAATAATTTCAAAAAGATTAGAAATTATACAAAACATGTCTTAACATTTCAACATTTCTAATGAGGTGGGCCTGTGTGTGGTTTTGTAGAGCATTCCAGTCCAGGGTGTAGGAGGAGAGCAGAACAAGCAGATCAGGTGTATTGGCCGAACTATATATTGCAGATCTACATGCAGATTGTGACAAGGCAACCCAAAATAATCCTGGGAAACAATAGACAAGGCAGTGTCACATCACCCATAGTGTTTGGCTCCAGTCAAATGAAGCTCATGAGGCTTGCCATTATGGGAGCAAATTTGGAGTTTCATATTAGGAATAGGAATTTATTTAAGGACAAAATAGAGAAATAAAAAGGCCAGGATCATCTAGAGTGGGTTAATACGAAAATTTTTAAGACCAAAATGATGAGTCTAACAGCAACAGTTAAAGAGAGAGGGGTGCCAATGTAAAGTCAATTGGCACCAGAGTTGATGGAGCCGGAAGCACCCCCATGCTCAGTTGCTATTTGGGACGGTTAACAGGTTAGCTATGTCCATTTACAGTATGTATAATACATGTTATTCTCAGTGGTTTCCCATCCCGACGTACTAACCTGACCCATCCCTTCTTATCTTCCAAGATCTGATGAGGCAGATCAAGGTGGTATGGCCGCTATGTTAATCTTAATTGATCAGGAGTTTTCCCAAATACATTTTTTAGTAAATTCTCTGACCACACCTTTGTACTTCTATTTAAGTAATATTATTTCTGGTGTCATGACAGTTACATACATGTCTCAGCTGCCCCGGGCAAAAACATACCAGAAACAGATGCTGCTCTTCACATGTTACTTCAGTTTTCTGACAGCATCCCAGTGTCCTCATCACAACACTCACTCAGACCCGGCTGAAGAGGAATTCAAGTTTACCCTCTAAAAAGCCTGATGTCCACCTAAAAGCAACAGAACTACAGATGCATACTAGTCCTCACCGTGTGTAAGATAGAAATAAGTAAATCAGACTAAGTAAGTAAATAAGTATAAACATGCCCTATGTCGAGCTGCACCGATCCAGCTTCTTCACTACACTGCAGAGACTGTTCCAAACTAAAATAAAATAAATCAAAACTGATCCAAATGTGTTATGTAGATGTTATTTATCTCTCATAACTACAGAGCAGCTCTGTATAAAAAAGCTAAAATATTCTGGGACAACTATGGCCAGGAAATAGTCTTATTACTTCAGTGTATATGTTCAGTCCTGATCCTGATATCCAGGATATCAGCTGAACCGATATTTGGAAGCTGATAACCGATCTTTGTGTTACATTATTTGTATGACAAGCACTCTATAAATAAAGTTTGATTGACTGATTGATTGATCTAGCAAATAATGCTAATACTCATAATGACACACAGATATAAGATCTGCAGTATGTGAACCAAATGAGTACAATCTGTAGCAAATGTGATAGATATGAGCAGTTATAAAGTTGAGGACATGCTTTGACAGTAAACTCACGTCTAGAGGGCGCACTCACCTGCAGAGGGTGGGGGGCCTTGATGTCCACACTGACATGAGTCCAGCCCATTGACACATGAGCCTCTGGTCTCCACAGCTCCTCATAGTGTCCCAGCTGGTCCCTGGTGAAGACGGAGAATATATTGTCCCTCCCCTGGTTTCGGAGGTAGAAGAAGGACAGACAGCCGCTCATGGGTGCTGTTGTCATGGGAGATGTGAGATAGGCCACTTCCTGGAACTGCTTGGCGTACACAGAGTCCACATACATGTACTGTCCTGGAACAGAAGAATGACTTGATGGTGCAGGCAGCACATAAAGCAACAAATGTTTTAATGATCAAATCATCATCAAAAGTCAACTGGTTCCATTTATCTAATTGTTACCTGGCCAGGCAGCCTCTTTTTACTGCTACATCATCTAAATATAATAGTAGCCTTGAGTCCACCTGACCTCACATTCAGGTTTCAAGCCCAATGATGGCTTGATCTAGCCAAGCCGGTGCCACCAAGTGCCTCTGCTCAATTTCATTTCTCTCCAGCAACTAGTTCAGGAATCGGAATACACTAAACATTTCACAAAACCCCTGGAAATGCAAGTTTGGGCACCAGCCAATCAGTGAAGAGCCATACATTCTGTGTTGACAACGATTCCCGAGATCAAGGATTTTAAACTGGAAGAAAGAGAATGTTTGGTGAATTTTATCAAGGAGAGAGACGTTATTGCCCCTCTTCCTATGGGATTTGGGAAAAGCTTAATATATCATTGAGCCTCGGCGCATTACATACGTCATGACCAAATAGCAGCGATTGGTTGGATAAAAAAGTACCCGCCTACCATTGAGCGAACAAATTCTAATGCTGCAAGGTCAGACGGTTTCCATGAAGTGAAACTGGGTGATGAATCAGGCTAGGCTTGATCTAACCTTTGTGAAATCTACATATTTCATTATTCACTCCCATCAGTTTATGGACCCATATGTTTTCAATATACCACCTTTGTTGAAAAGATAAATAGTGAAATAGTAATATAATTAGATAGAACCTTCAAGTAGGCAGTAAGCCCCCAGCTCATGTGTCATAGCCTTTAATCTGATGCCAAATATCAGTTATACAGGATAAAGCCAGTGTGAACGTGCTTCTTCACCTGAGTGTGGATAGTGTCTCTGAGCCTCCAGCAGGTTGGACTCACTGGCCAAGCTCCCGCCCACGTACCAGTTTACGTTTGGATTCCAACTGTTACTATAGCCACACAAGTGATGCTCCTCAAAGTTACACTCTGGTGAAAGAAACCTCAATCAATTATGAACATCTACAAATGTTATTAATATTATGTTAAATGAAACACTGACCAATGCAGTAACCAGGAACTATGTGTATTTCAAATATGGCGGCACTGTTTTGTGGATCTCTGTCAGTTTTCCCCTCCAACAAAATCTGTGAAGTGCAAAATAAAACAGCAGTCAGCTGAGTGCTGACTGCTGAGTGAGGACAGGAGCCACATTAGAACAAATGTGGCTACTGTGGCTGCTTTGAGTTGGGCTGGTTTTAATGATAGACTTTAGAGATTCATTCAAACACAGTATTACTTTTACCATTAACATTTGAAAAGTTTTATACAATCACATATGATTGTGTTTTTGTGGTGGTAAATTGGGTGCATTTTAGTCTTGATGTGGTTTAGTCCTGTTCAGTCCTGGTCTAGTCCAGGTTTTGTTTTGGGTTTAGTTTGGTAGTTAGTTTAGTTCCATAGTTTGATGTGGTGGAGTGTGAATGCACCCTATATCACGACCATAGACTGTGTAAAGAAGAGGACTAAAGGAGAGTGACATCACCCATGGCATTCGACTCCAGTCAAATGAAGCTCACAATGTTAGCAGTTATAGGAGTCAATTTGGTGCCAATTCCATATTAGGAATAGGAATTTATTTATGGACAAATTGTGAAAAAAAACCACCAGGACCATGTAATTACATAAATGCCTCAACTAAAATGATGAGGCTCACAGCAGCAGTTGCAAAGGAAGGGATGACAATTTTTCAGTGTAAAGTTGACGGAGCCAGAAGTGTGCCAGTGTTCACTTCCTATATGGAACGTGGCAGCTAGAGGACAGGGATGAACACATATGATTTTCTGTAGCATGATATTTCTTCAAATAGATGTTTTCTGTGAGAGACTAATAACAATAATTGAAAAGGATCAGTCTACAGTGTTTCCCAGTTGCGGGATGTTCACCTGGTATGGCTGTGTGGTGTTGGGCAGGTCCACGCTGGCGATGAGCCAACTGTCTGAGGCTGTGTGAGTCTTCCACAGAGTGCGGTCAAATGTGTGGTGCTTTGGCCTGAGGTGGAGCAGGAGAGAACTGTTCCCTGTGAGCTGATAGACCAGACGCACACAGCTCCACTCTTGATGCTCCAGGAACGGGCTCAGCAGGATCGCTCTCTCCTGAGGGTCCTGGAGGTCCTGTAGGTCTGGGTCCAGAGTGATCATGTGTCCTGAAACAGAAGGACAATATTATACACACCACAAACCTGAAGTTGTGTTAAACTTCCTGTTATATGGTGCTATTTTGAGTATGGTTGACCATTTAAAAGAAAAAAAAAAATGTTTTGAATTGTTATTTTCTATGGACACAGTCCTAATTTTCAGCATTTTCATGATCCCTTGCTGAACTCTACTTTCATATTGCTCCCTCCTAAAGCTGCACTATGTAAGTTTTCTAGTGCCGGGTCTACCACCTTATCTCCATAGGAATGTCATTGTTTTGCCTGTAATATTCCACGTTGTGGCAGTAAATATATCTATATATTCATGCATATCTTGCATCCATTCAATTACAAATGTTTTAATGCTCAAAAATACTTGACAGACATTCTTACAGTGAACAGTGTTGCCTCAGATCTGTCTAGTAACTTGGCCTGGTAGTTTTACCTGGTTGTCTCCATGGAGATGGTTAAGTCTATTGCCAGATTATGCAACTTTCAGATAACGCAATGTGATAACAGATGGCAGGCCTTCCACCAGAGCTAGGACATAGTGTACCTATAAAGCCCTACAGTAGAATATTTCATCATGTTTGTTAGTCTGTCAACATAAAAAAAATCGTATTTCTACTATTTGAATTAATTTTGTAAACAGTAAATGTTCTACGGAATATAGCTTTATTGTAGTCACGCCAGATCAAATATTTACAATACAGATAACGATTTGCTATAGAAACTTTATGTCCCCAAATCCCCCTCACATTTCTTCAACAGTGGGCCATGAAACATTCGTACTGTGGGACAAATGAAGGTTCTCTTATCTTATCTCATGGAGACTTTTGAACTATTCTTGTTCTTTATCCTTACAGGGATATTGTTTCTATCCAGCTCATTTGAAGTTGGTTCTATTCCTGATGTTTGAAAGTGTTTAGTACAAAAGAAGAAAGCGATCATAAACCACACTGTTTATGGCCATTCACAAATGTACCGCTGAAGCAAAACAGTGTCACAGCACTTGGATTAGTCTTGGAGATAAATCTGTTTGTTGTATTGGTCCCTATAAAAATTAGGGTTGTTGTATAAGTTATTGGAAATATCTGAGGATTTTTCCAGATATCGTATCAGCTTGATATCGAAAACATAGCCCATATTTAGCACCAGTATTATTTTCTGCATCGCCCCAGTCTCAGTTTGTCCTCAGTGCATCAGATTTGTCTTAAATGAATGAAAATATGAATGTACTGTATATCCCAGACAAATACATTATATTATTTTTACTAAAGTTGAAAATTCAATTGTAAACTTCATTGTAAATTTTAAAAACTTTACATTGGTATCTGCAAATATGGGTAAGACAAATATTGGTATCAGTACCTCCATATCAGACCATCCCTAATAAAAATGTATCTTATGTATCTAACAATCATTATAAATTGATTAACTTTGTGTATTTGCAATGAGAATATTTTTTTTATTTTAAGATCATGACTTGAGGATAGGAACGTAAATCGAGCTTTGCTTTAGGACTCCTTTTTCACCACAACAGTCTGATGCAGCTTTGAGTAATGCCTGAAAGGACAAGATGATGGATACAAGCGATCAACATGAGTTTCCTCTAAAGCAGGGGTCTCTAAACAAAGGATTTCTGAATTACACATATTGTCCTGAATAAGTAAAATTTGATTGATTAGATGTCTATTACCATTGTGCATACATTTTTTTGATATCTGACTAATAAATGGATAATGGTTTATGTTTTATAAGCATCTAATTGTACCTCATTTAAGGCTCGCCGTGGCACTTTAATATAATCCATTTCCTGTGACCGCTAAAACTAGTAGCTCTCTTTCATTTTTGTTTTGTAAAGGTAGCTCACCGGAGGAGAAGTTTGGAGACCCCTGCTCTAAAGAGTTGCTGGGGAGCTCCCTTAGAGATAGGGTGAGGAGCTGAGTCACATGGGAGGAACTCAGAGTAGAGCTGCTGCTCCTCCACGTCGAGAGGAGCAGCTGAGGTTGCTTGGGCATTTGTTCCGGATGCCTCCTCCTGCCAGGCATGTCCCAGTAGGAGGAGGCCTCAGGGAAAACGCCTCGGGGTCCCACTGGAGGAGCTGGAGGAAGTGTCTGGTGTGAGGGAAGTCTGCGCCTCCCTGCATGGACCGCTGACGCCATGACCTGGCCCCGGATAAGCGGAAACAGATATTTTTGAAGCATTATATACACATTTTTATCTTAATTTAAGTCACACTTGAACATTCTATTTTCCTTTTGTGTTTTGTCAGCGAGCCAATATAGTGAAGGACACTATATTTGGCTCACCCACTTTTACCAGAGTTACAACTCCCCACCAGCAATAACTCATTGAAGGAGCAATAGAGCAGGAACAACCCATTTCAGAACCTAAGCAGCAGCCCAAATCTATGCTAAATTTACTAAGGAAAATAAGCTTGGGAAGGAGTATTATTAAATCTGACTTTTGCACTAGTCTTGTATATTTCTTTTGGGGATGTTGAAGTCTTTGTTCAGAAAGCACAGGACATAAAAACAGGGCACTTAAGCCACTCGCCTATAAACAGTTGTACATCTGTGGGCGGATGGGGGCCAGGATTTACAACTGTTTGAGGGAGTCCTTTTTTGGGCAAAGGCTCTTCCCGTCTGCGGTTAGGCCAGTGGTGAACAGTGGAACATGTGTCAACAGATGAGATCATGCCAAACTACGAGTAATGGACATATCAGAAGTTGTATAGGAGTAGGCATACAACATCAAATACAATATATCATTTTACTCTTTTTTTCTATCATACAACCCACTTTATTTATATAGCACATTTCATAACAGTTTCCACAGAGCTGCCCAGAAGCATAGCAACAACAATAATAACACTAATAATAAATTAAACAAAAAGCTCAGATTAATCATTCTAAAGGGCACATATTATGCAATTTTCTGGTCTATGTTAAAATTTTGTTTCTTCATCACAAACATACTGTACCAGGAGTTTTGTTTTGTTTCATTCACACACACCCTTCATATTTAGGCTGAGTTCTTCTCTCAGAAAACTCAACAGAAAACATTATTCCACCTTGTGATGTCATGTGGTGATACAGAAAGTGCTCCACTGTGTTTTTTCAGTTCCATACACCTTCACTAAAATCATTTTTTAGATGTTGAATTTGAGTGAATTTGGATGATTTCAGCAATGGAACTGACAATCTTTACTGAACCAAGGTAAAAGGAAGATGTTAAACTAAGGGGGCAGAGTCTTCCAGAGTTTAGCACTGGCCACAGAGAAGGCCCTGTGTGCCCTGGTTTATTAACATGGGTGAAGTGGTACCTTACAGCTAGCCAGGCTGGGGCCACCTAGTGCCTCTGCTCAATTTAATTTCTCTCCAGCGACTAGGTCAGGAATCAGAATACACTAGACGGTTCACAAAAACCCTGGAAGTGCGAGTTCGGGCACCAGCCAATTAGCGAAGACCCAGACATTCTCTGTTGGCAACTATTCCAGAGATTGAGGATTTAAAGCCGGAACAAAGAGAATGTTTGGTGAATTTTATCAAGGGGAAAGACGTTATTGCCCTTCTTCTGATATACAATATAATTCTAATATACCAGTTAGCACGGTTAGTGGCACATTACATACATCATGACCAAATAGCAGCGATTGGTTAAATGAAGTAAGTGCCTACCATCGAGCGAACAAATTCTAACACTGCGAGGTCAGACGAAGTGAAACCGGCCAATTAATCAGGCTACCTTACAACTAACATCAGTAATAATATTAGCCGTCCCCCCACTGTTGTATTTCAACATTCCACCACTAGATCCTATCTATGTTACTGTTGTCTGACTAAAAGTTGTCATTGTATCCTTGGGCAAGAAACTTTGCAAGATAAGACTAATCTGGTTCAAGAAATAACTAAATAGTATTAACCAACACAACATATAGATGCTATTGGGGTATGCAAAAAGGACATACAGGTAACTGGTAAAACTGAAAACATGTGTTTAACCATGTCAAAATCATAGTTGTGTGTTATTTCTTGTTATTTATTTATGAGTTGGTAAATGTTCTTTAAAAAAACATACTAGTAATATTGTAAGGTCTTCAGGTCTGTTTCACTATACAACATTGAGTGCTGATAGGGGATTATTAAACAACTTCTAAATGGTATAATTCTGGCCAGTTCACAAAGAGCCCTGAGGACTAACAAAACAGTTCTGAGGGCTGTATTTACCTGGATTAGTATAATTCAAATTGAAGATCTCATCTATGACGCATGGTGGTGGTTGTTCTGGGTCTGTGCAGTTCACTGACACAGAGAACTCGTTCAGATCTGATGGAACCACAAATGCAACACTGGTATCCACTTTCCCACACAACAATGAAACCAAAAGCCAAGCTGACATGTCTGTGGCTCCTGCAGAACAAAATGAAGGCTCACAACTGGTAATTCCTGTGACTGTCTCCTGACCTCACAACCCCCAACCGCATTGGACATCTCTAACGTGAAAAAAGTAAATAAAAATCAGAATAAGATTTACTGCCATCATGCTCCTTAGAGCCACAGTATGGACATGCATCCTAATTGTGAAGAGAGCTGTACCTCCACAAACCTGACTCTTAGTTGACCTGGAGGAGGACATCCTGCTGAGTTCCATGGAAATATGTAATCTTTCACAGTTTGACATGGACATTCTCCAGAGAGAAAGTTCCAAAGTATTGTTTTAACTTGGATTCATCATGCAGATGACACACATATTGCTCATACTGGGCCTGAACAGTAAAGGTGCACAGTAATCTGGTTTCTGATGGAGGGTGTAAGAGAATTTAAGTAATTTATCTTCCATGTACATCTCAGTCTAACAGTGACACACAAAAGCTATATTTACACCATGATCTTCCCTTGGCATACCATTGGCATACCATTATCTAAATTGTGGCATATTGAGGTCTAACCGGTGCCTACTGGCCTTCATAATCTCACCACTTGCTTTGTAAACCTTCTCCACCAGAAGCATAGTCAAGGGGCTTGAACACTCAAAGATCATGCTATGTTGTCTTTTGAAATCATTCTATGTTGACTTCTCAAATCCCCCCCGGGCCTGTATTATTGATGGTAAATAAACTTCCCTGCTTAAGACATCCAGTTGCTCTCCAGCCTTTTACTTCCACCCTTTCTTGGACAAGCTGAAAACTTCGACAACAGAGGGTCCGACACCTGCTTGGCTCCATGGAGATGTTATAGAACAGTAAAGGCAGGTGATACAGGTCAGATCTGGGGAGAGTCCACCCCTCAAACACTAATAATGCTGTTTTTCCATTTTTTCCCCCCTTTCCATGGAGACAGGCAGGATCATTGTAGGGAATTAGCCTTAATGTCTGTTGTCCAATCCTGGTTTACATCAACAAGAGCTGCCGTTGTGTCCTTGAGCAAGACACTTTACCTATGTATGAATATAGTGTATGAGTGATTAGTTGGAGAGGGGCTGACAGCACATATTGGAAGTCTCATCTCCACCAGTCATCCAGAGGGGCAGCTGTGGTTACAGACAGAACTAACTGATACCAGGTGTGAAGTGAGTGAGTAAGAAGTACAATGCAACACAAACTGAAAATGATAGCCATTAATATTACTAATCTATGTATGATTTATGGGGTGCAGTTTTGAGTTGTGAGCCAGTGAGACAGCTGCGTGCGCCTGTCTGCTCTCCACCACAGCTCACTCACTTTTTCTAACTTCTTTTTTGGTGCATCATTCTCGTCACAAAACCACATCTCCATGGAAACCAAACATAAACAGCACTTTTCCGCGGTGTGCAGTCTGTGTGCAGCTCTTTCCCTTCACTTTTGTAACTCATTTATTAAAAGTAGGCCCTGCAGCGTGTGGCACAGACGGAAAAATCTACATCGACACAATTCTACCACACGGTTACAAGTCTCCGGCTCCCTATTTCAGTGCACTAACAACTTCTCAGCATGGGCACAGCATTCACTATTGCTCAACTCAGTAAGAGCCTCTGCAAATGCTCTTACTAGTAAATCTGACTGTGTACATTGGCTAATCTTAAAATAAATTGTGGCTCCAATGAAAATCACGCCTTACAAATGTTAGCTGTTAATACGTAATGAAAGTGAAATTATTTGTTCTGATGATTAAGTGATGTTTACATTTTACATAAGCATGTTACTAGAGAATATAAATAATATAATAATGATAACAACTAAATGACAAAATGATGGAGGCCTATTAATGTATTATAAATTAATATAAGTTATTGCTATAAATGGCTACACATTATACAAGCATGGTGGCATAGTTGTATATCAGCCCCATAACAGAAAGGTTGAAGGTTCAATTCCTGCACAATCTGAGGGTTTCTCTGCATATAGGTTACAATTTTTCCCCAAATGCATCATGGGTCCCCTACAGATACAATTTTACATCTCAGAATATTAAAGGTGCAGAATCCTCCACCTTCTTGTCTCAATTCAGATATACAGGTAATGCCGTCAGGACAAGTTACAGGTCAGATCTGTGGAGAGGCAACCTGTTCACAGAATGCATGTTTTAATGTATCTCTATAATACTTTGAATATATGCAGGATTATGTATAAATTTAATAACACAGATAAGATAAGATAATCCTTGGAAAAGGGGGCCACATGTTTGAACACAGAGGAAAGATATTACAGCAACATAAGTCCATACAAACAATCACCACTGAACATAAACAAATACAAGACAGCATCATGGACCTTTCTGTCATTCTGTACAGGGAAGCCCTTCACAGTCTCATCGTATTCCCTGTGTGCAGTTTTAATGCCATGTCTTGAACAAAAAATTGACATAGTGCACCATAGTTAAAAAAGATTATGCAAGATTTGTCTGCAGATTTCATTTTTCTATTCTCTGCACAGTTCAGCTTAAATGCCATTTGCAGTTTGAAACCACACTAGAACACACATGCAAAAGCTCAAGATGCTCTGAATGAATAAGCTGAGCCGACGGTACCTTCCTCGTTGATGGTCCAGGAGCCATAGTGGGGGTCCGAGGTGTAGCCACATGCTCCCAGCTCAAAATTACAGGACCCGGGCAGCAGTTGTTGTGCAAAAAGTGTTTGAACTCCCAGTAGCAGCAATGCGGAGAGACAGCAGACTGAGTGCACACAGCCCAGCATACTGCCCACTGTCTCCACTGTCTGTACCTCTCTCTCTGCTGTGGCTGTGGATGCTGTCTGCTCAGGGAGAGGAGGAGCCTTGTGGACCTGACTGAGAACATGCAAAATCAACAGAGATCTCACTTTAGAACAAACATTTGTCATTGACTCCCATTCAGTCTTGAGTGTTTAAAGGTTCTATGTTACACCTGGAGTTATGTTTTGTTTCATTCAGACATGTCTGAGTAACCCTTTATTATTAGTCTGTCCACATCTCTAAAGCTCAGAATGCTCTCCTCCACCTTCTGATGAAGCAGTAGTTTTCAAGTTAACAGCTACCTTTTACCTTATATTCAGTAGACAGTGGCAATTGCAGTGCTGAAATTATACCAATGATTCTAGAGGAGGGGTATGCTGTTTAAAAACACAGTGGAGTACAGTGGAGCAGAGTGTTTTGAGAGAAGAAGTCAGTCTAAACATGCAGGGTTTGTGTGCTAAACATGTGTGAATGAAACAAAATACAACTCCAGGTATGGAGGTTGATTATGACCTGACGAAGACTCACTGGTCAAAACACGTTGGCATCCCTTCATGTAATAAAGGACTTTTAATATATTCAGTCGGGATGCCTCAGGTTTGTACCTTGCCCACTTTTACATTTTTCAATAATGGTCATTTTCAGTGAAGATTACAATTTTAACCCTCGTAGAGCATCTGTATTGCTATTTTTTAAAACTTTTTTATGACCCAGTGAAGCACTCTACCTCTTTTCTTCATCTGACAACTCCAAGTTTGTTTGTAATGAGGAAACAGAATTATAATATCGGTCAAAAAATAGTAACATGGGCCCTTTAAAGAATCACTATGTAACTTTTCTGGTGGAGGGTCTGCCACTTGTCTCAAAGCATATGCTACTACTTTGCCTAAATAGTTGCCAATTATACCATTAAATAAAGCAATCACCACAGCAGGTTAACAACACTAGATTAAGTTAAAGGTCAGATCTGTTTTCACTCACAGTAAGAATTCATGTTTTCCTGTGTATTTTTTAGCAATTAAAACACTTGTAGTTGAATGAGTACAAGATGGATGTGTATAATACCATACAGTGGAACATTACAGGCAAAGCAATAACATCTAAACACATGACGAGTGTGCAGCCGATTCTCCACCAGAAAATTCACGTGCATCTTTAAATCCTTGCTTCTGGACTTCCCCTCAGAGCAGATGCTTTGACCATGAATCAACTGAGAATTCATTCAACCACACTGCAATCTTAAATATAGTCCTACCAAACAAGAATATAGGCCTTTTTTAATCCAAATGATTGGTTTCAACGTGACCTAAATAGAAGAACATTTACCTAACTCAAGCACAAGGGCTGATTTTAAATGAGCGAAACGTATTGTTATTGTTGTCTTGGCTGTCACTTGCCATTTCAGTATCAGACCTCACTTTGTAATACTAATTTGTGCTAAGTTGTACTCAGTAGTGGAAGGTAACGAAGTACAAAAGTAAAAGTACAGTACTTAAGTACAAACTGTAGGCATCTGTCCTTTACTCAAATACATTTTACTTTTACTTCACTGTGTATTTGTATGTTCTACTCCACTACATTTTAGATCTGGCCTGAAAAGTAAAAAGTGATTTTCTTTATGGTTTGAGACCTGCTAAAAAGGCTGAGACTTTATTTTCTTAGCACATTTAATTTGAGGTTCTGTCCCCACTTTGAGCAAACCAAATACACAAATACACAAAAACAGCTAGAAAAAAAATAAGAAGTCAATTGAATCACTTAAAATCAGCTACAGAATCAATTTCTATTGGTGTTTTTTAATCATCAAGGCTACATCATTGTCACTCAACATTGTAATTTTTCATTTCCTCAAACATGGCATCACAATCAACAGTTTAAAACCAGATTTGTATAAGTTTCCATAGAATGTGCAGATTTCTTTTGAAATTGTATCTTCAAATAAACATATACATAAATATATAAGAACACACTAGGGGGCATAGCAACATAAAACTTTTTTTTTTTTTATCAAATCCATATAAAATACAAAAAAATATAAAAATAAGCAAATTTCATTTTTACATTGAGTATTTCCTCAGCATTTAGCAATCAGCTGGGAGGTGGATTGAGCTGCAAGCTAAACAATATTTACAACTATTTCTGTTGAAGAATTCAAATTGTCCATATAAAATAAAACGTAAAACACCTTGAATGTATGGATTTTCATTTTTAGATTTAGCCAGCTTCTGACATCTGACCAGAAGACTTGGGAGTGAGGGCATTCAAAAAACTAATTATATATATATTTATAAAAAAAATCTTTTTCAGAATTACAAAAAATACAAAATTCAACCTCAAATTTAAATCTTCTTTTAAGAAGAAGGCCCACAGGGAAGATATTGTTTATCATTTCAAAATGAGTCTCCTTCACTTTAGGAAAAAGTGCTAACTTGACAAATGTAGAGTATGCTTTCATTTTTGTAGACTGATTATTAGAGCTGGGTATGTCCTTAGAAGATATTGCACATTTTTGTCTCATACCCTCATTAATACATTTATTATTACATTTAGAATCTAATAAATTACAATAATTCACCTTCAGAATGGGTAAGGATATCCTAACATTGGAATACTGAAGTGTACTTTTAATTTTTATGAGTTAATGCTGGAGAAAGTGCTTTGCAAACTTTATGAAAAAAAAAAAAAACAAAAAACTGTACTTACAGCAAAGATGATATTTTTCAACAAATTATAAGAAGTTTAGAATATTACCATCACAATCCATCCAAATAAATAGAATGCTTTTGTCAAACCAGGCCAATTTCAACATTGTTTTTTCCACTGAGTATGGCTGTTATTCTGTTATTACTGTTATTTCATAAAGCTGACCCATGGGGAGAAATATTATGACCAGAATTTTGTTGATCTCATAATCACAACAAAATAGAAATTAGATTCCTTCCAGTTGTCTAAAGATGGACTTTGGAATGTGGTACCACAGAGAATTGATACAGTGATAAGAGTTTTTAACCATTTGATTATAAATTTACCAATCATTATATAATGCCCCCTAAGGGCTTGACCGCCCTGCACAGCCGGATTGTGGATATGTATTATGGATCATCAGAGAACTATAGACAGCCGAGTTCAGCTTTAAGGGTTTTATCCACAATAAACCACAGCCGTTTAATTTAAATGGGGAATCAACATATCACAAGGGTGGGGGAAGTCCGTTAAGGAGTTTGTCACAAGGTTAAAAAGATTAGAGAGATAGTCCAGAGGTTTGGGCATTTAGTCAGGTTAGCGTGACTCTGATGGCTGGCACGGCTGGTGAAGCGCCTTGTCCCCAGCGTGCCCCAGTTTCACCCTCAGAGCTGCTGACCAGTTTTAAGACTGCTTGAGGACCTCATCTGAACAAAGAGACAACAGTGTGAGAGAGAGTGAGGGAGAAGGGTTACAGGGTTTTTAATAATAAGTTAAGTTTATTAAGTAATAAGCACCGCCCCTTTCCAGCTGCCAATTATACGGCAATTGGCCCACACCAAACAAGGAAAAAAATCACAGAGAAAAAAGCATGCGCATTTAAAGTGGCAGAGGAACGATACTATTACCTCTGTTATAATTACCTCAAAATCTAATTCCACCCTTTATCTAGTTGGGACCTTCAACATAATGAATTTTGTTTTTCCACAAAAATTTTAAAATAACTGAATTGGCTTTCTTGATGTTTTGTGGTGATACCTATAAGGATATACACATTTGAAAACACCTTCTGCTTTAGTCAAATGGTTTCTCCTAAAAATAGTCACATCCCTTGTTAACCATTGACTAAGAATTTTTTTGAAATGTTAACATCTTCTTGCATCTTTATTCCCAATATTCCTACATATTTAACTTCATTTTCAACCCTAATTGATTAGATATGTTTATGCTGACACAAATGAATCGGGAGAATTTCACATTTGTTAATATTTCATTTTACCCTGATGCCTTTGAGAATAATGAAACGGAATCAAGTGCTTTCTCAACCATGAAACTGTTTGGAAAGAATAATACTCTGGCATCAGCAAATTGATTTATTTTATATTGTGTGTTAAAAATGCATATTCCATGTAAAGCTTGGGTTACTAAAGTACACAATTTAGGTAAAATAGGGCATCCTTGAAGAATACCACACTGTACCTTGAATATGGAAGTAAGACCAGTATATGTTTTAAGGACACAGAACTATAAATATCATTATAGAACATTTTGGTTGTATTACAGAAAAAATCTCCAAAACCAAACACTGTCAAGGCTTCAACCAGAAAGGAGTGTTCTAGTGTATCAAGCGCCTCATAAAAATCTAAAAATAACCCCAAACTGTCACTGTCAATATACTCCTTATAATCCAACATATCAAGTATCAGTCTGGTATGTCTGTGGATGTTTCTGCCCTTAACAATATTATCTTCTATTCAGGCGGTCAGCAAACACATGAGCTAAAATACACTATCATGTCATGTCAGTTTGGGTTCAAGAGGTTTGACTCCCACTCTGTTCTTAATACTACTAATTTTCTTCCAGTTTGATATTTTGCATTGAATACCACATGTTTGTTTTGTTCTGCTTTATTGCGGCCTCTCTCGCTTCCCGTAGCGCTGTTGCCTGCCCCGGAAGAAGAAGCATCATAGGAGCTGTCAAAGATGGCGGAGTGTGAGGAGGAGGTGGACGTTTTGGTCCAGAGAGTTGTCAAAGATATAACAAACGCTTTCCAGAAGAACCCCAACATGTGAGTAGAGTTTGCGGATGATCTTAGCGCCGCTCTGAGCTTTGCGTCTCCTCTCTGTGCGCTTTATTCGTGCTTTGGTCCGAACCGGGGCAGTGTACGAGAGGGACCCGGGACAGACCGCTGTGCCTGCTCTGTGATCACGGTCCTCTGCATGAGTCATTTTTACACGCTCATAATTCTGATTTAGTAAAGAATATAGTTGTTACTTTTCCTGGGAGACTATCACGTAAAATAACTGTAACTCAAAGGAAGTTGGCTGGAGCTAATCACTAATGTCGACAGTAGTTGTAGTCCACAGCGCTCCACAAACACGAACGATATCAGAAAGGTGTGTTGTTGAAACTGTGAAAGTCTTACAGATATGCTAATGTTTGACTTTAGGGACGTATATTTTATCAGTAAGCACCAAAAGGTTGAAAAGGGACAGATTTTGTTTAAGAACACCGTATAACCTTTTGGGAGCGACCTGCACGATTCTGTGGTAATTAAACTTCACAACATTCTTGATGGAGGTAGATGGGGTTTGTGCCATAGCTTAATGTGATATATTAAAGCCAAAAGGTGCAATATTTCCATGGAAACAAGCAGATGAAGGCCCCTCCTCTAGGCCAAATAGGTGTCAGTTTTGTGAAGATGCAAGTCTGCTCACAGTAATGAGAAGGATGCATGTTTATTTTTACATTTTCAGTGCAGCAAATAAAAAAATCCAAAATTTCATGCTTTTATTTTAGTTCATTTTTTTTAGTACAAAAGTTACACAGTGAGGCTTTAAATTCCACCAGAATCCACCACAACATGTGACTTGTGCTTAACAATCTGTCCTTTCTTACAGTGATGAAATTGGAGTGATAACATGTCCAGAAGCACGTTACAATCGCAGTCCCATTGTGCTGGTGGGGAATAAGCTCGGTGTGGAGAGCTGGTGCGTTAAGTTCCTGCTGCCATACGTCCACAACAAACTGCTACTCTACCGCCAGCGCAAGCAGTGGTTGGACAGAGAAGGTAGGATCAGCTCATTATATGTCACTGTAAATGACTAGACGCATGTTTACTGACTCAGACAAACCGAGAGAGAGTGAGCAGAAATAATAGGGATGTAACAATAACAGAAATATCGGAGGACTACAGATGAAAATTAGGCTGCATAGGTAACTCTGGCATAATTACTGTGTAATGCTGTACTAACACATGTTGATTAATGTGCACTGTCCCATATTTAATAAATAAATATAAACATCGAGATATTGAGGTATCATGAAATGTTTCACAGTAATATCATGTGCTGTAACAATGTGTCGATTTACAGGTCTCTTTTCTTAAATTGATAGTTGTAGTGCAGCTATAGCTAAAAAAAAAAACTGAATGAAAAACTTATACAGTGATCCTTTACTTCATTTCAGGGCAAACAAGATGAAGAAAAACTGTTATTAAGCACTTTTAACTTTTAATTACTATTATTTCTGTTATTACTAGTATTATTATTATTATTAATAATATTAATAATAATAATAACAATAATAATAATAATAATAATATCTTACACTTGCAATGTGGTGCCCTGAAATAGAATCTCATGTAGAACAGTTTAATCTTTCATCTATTTCTCATGTGTTCAGCTTTAGTAAATATCACATCCACTCTCCTGCTGCTGAACCCAGACTTCACCACTGCCTGGAATGTCAGGTAAGATCAGATATGATCTTTGTTTTTTTATTGTCAGAGTTTGTTAAAACAAAGGTTAGATTAAAGTGTAACTTTAGTATGAGAGCCTCGGACAGAACAGTGCCTCCAAGTTCAATTTACAGACTGACTTCACTGAACTGTACCCTGGTGTTGCAGGAAGGAGCTGCTGCAGTGTGGAGTGCTGTGTCCACAGAAGGACCTCTACCTGGGGAAGCTGGCCCTCACAAAGTTCCCCAAGAGCCCTGAAACCTGGATTCACAGGTCAGCTGGCTCTCACGGCAGACTTCTTATTCGAGTGTACTCAGGGCTATTGTCTTGTCGTTGTTTCCACCGGAGTAAATTGAGTCAGATTAGGGTTGTACACAACAAACCAGTATACCTCAGTTAGGGAATAGTTGTATCATCTGCTGAAAAGGCCAAAAATATGCAGAAAAATGTAGACTGTAGGTTAAGAGGGCCTTATTTACATGTTATTACACTTGTTAAATTGTTAATTTAATAATGTTGAATTATGGGTAGAGCAAAATATAGAATACAGGTTTATTGGATTAGCTGAAGGTTCACAAGTGTAATAGCAGAATAAATTGAGGCTAACGTGCATGTTGACAGGCGCTGGGTCCTTCAGCAACTCATGCTGAGTCGACAGAAGCAGCAGGGGGCGCCAGAGGCTGATGCTGAGAGAATCCAGCAGCTGAGTGAGCAGGCGGCTGAGACAGTTCAACAGGAGATGAGAGTGTGCACAGATGCCGCCAACAGGTATCCCAGCAACTACAACGCCTGGTCACACCGCATCTGGGTCCTGCAGCACATGGCCAAAGGCAACATCAAGGTCAGACTAAGTTTTATTCACACCCTAAATCCTCCCAAACATGGTGCTCATGCATTTGTCCCTCTGTAGTTTCTCCATGATGAGCTGGCCTCCACACGCCCTTGGGTGTCCATGCACGTGTCCGACCACAGCGGCTTTCACTACAGACAGTTCCTGATACAGCAGCTGCTCACAGAGTTGTCTCCACCTCAGGGCAGCACTAAGGTCAATGGGGGTCCGGCAGGGCATGGGCTGGAGACTGAGGACCTCACTGCGCTGCTGCAACTGCTCCAGGAGGAGATGGAGCTGATCTCTGACCTCATCCAGACTTTTCCTGGACATGAAGCCCTCTGGTGCCACAGGTGACTCACTCACATAATGAATATATGTCATATTTCTCATTTAGACTTACTGTTGTTTTGTATTGTTGTTTTCTCCAGGCGACATGTCTTCTATGTTTGGCAGAGCTGGTGGAGAGAGCAGCAGCTCAGCCAGAGCTCCTCTGTGATGTCCGAGCCTAATGGGGCGCAGTGTGACGAGTGCGTGCAGGGACACAGGGCATCAGGGGAGGCCTTGGAGGAGGGACTGCCTCTGCCTTTAGCACAGGACCGAAAGCGTCTGAAGAGGGCGGTCCTGGGGCTGCCTTCAGTGCCGTCAGAGCAGAGCTTTGTGAGCTCGCTCCTCGACAGCTGCTCCTGCCCAGATCAGAGACGCCTGGCTCTGGCCTATAGGAGGTGGCTACACACAGTGCTCCAGCTGCAGCTCTGACTCTCTTGCAGAGACCTTTAGACCTGTATCAGAATCAAGATCCTATTCACCAGAAGTGTAGTCGTACGCCACTCCCACCAGGACCACGCCCCCGGTGTTTAAGTACGAGTGACCCTACAGTGAGCTGGACTAAAGGTCAGACTGGTTTAACAGCCGCATTAGTTTGACAGTCATGGGATCTCTGTCTTCATAAACTATTAACATTATTTGTGCACATTAGTCTTCTACAAATTCTTCAAACCTCACTCCGTCTGCCTTTGAAAGCGTACTTCAAAAGCAGGTGCTGGACAGTTCATGTTTCTTTGTTGGATTTGATTTTCATATGCGTGGGATTGTTTGGGTGGCAGTGTGGACTATGAAGAGTTTCTTAGTTAAAACCTTCGTCCACTGGGTTTGTGTTATTCAAATGTTGTTTGTCTTGGGTGTAGAAAAGGTACTTTAAAGTCTATTATACATTTGATCATTTATTATCCTAATTTTTAGGTAGTTATTAACCTCTTGGGTTGAAATAATTTACAGAAAGCTAATATATTGTTCTTGAAAACTACCTATGAAACAGTAGGGAACCAGACCAAAGCAAGGTCAAGTGTTCTCTGGGGATTTGAATGGAGCATACACATTACATTATACTGGATAGAGGCTCCTGTTCCAATGTCAATGACACTACATTCAGGCTCTGAAAAACTAGGTCACAGTGATGATAGTAGATTTCACCTGTTCCTTTCCTGCATTGTTTCTTAACACAGGGATAGAAAGTAGGATTCTAGTCAAAGTTCAAATTTTTAAACATGTCCAGAAGAATTAACAAAAGACTGAAATATGAACTGACAAACAAATACACAAATCATGTTTCAGAATATGTTTGTTTTAGCAATTTTTATGCAGAGTAAGAAACTATATTCTTGTGAAAATTATGATACTGGTAAAAATTCCAGCCTTAGAAATTTGCTTATTGCGTCCACTCAAATTGCGATTTTGATTGTATTGCAATCAAAATCGTTTGTGTTAAACTAGATATTGGAGAATTAGTTTAGAGAGTTAGTTGACTTTTCTGATCACATTTTTAAGAACAGCCCGACTAATTCTGACGCTAGTATTTGGGTGCAGTGCAGTTCATTTCTTCTCATGATCTCACCTACCCGACTTAGAGGGTGATTACTTCATCAGTACGATTTCACTTTAGTCTTCTACAACAAGCACAGTGGACTCAACTTCCTGTGTCCAACCAACCAAAGAGCGCGTTCACACTACACTGGCATTCTGCGACCACAAGGACATGCCTGGGCCTGTCTTTATGTCACTTAGTATTTTCCAAATAAACTGGTGCTAATTAAAGATACACATGATAAATAATAACATAGAACCCAAAAATATTGTACATCATTTACTGAACAGAAAGTCCAGTTACAAGCTACAGTAATAATTACTGTGACAGGCCTAGACTTGTCCTGTATTCCTTTCCCTGATCAAATGTTTGGAAATTACTTTAAAGGGTCCATACACAATTTTACACAATTTTCTAATCTATGTTATAGTTTTGTTTCCTCTTCAAAAAACCTGAAGTTGTTTTGTTTCATTCACATAGTTAGGACACAAAGCGTGCATATTTAAGCTGAGTTCTTCTCTCCAACAGAAAACTCTATACACCTTCACTAGAATAATCTGAACGATTCCAGCTCTAAAATTGCCCTTCTCCCTTGAATTTAAGGTAAAAGGTTGACGTTAACTTGAAAACTACCGCTTCGTGACATCCCAGTGTGGAACAGAGAATTTTGAGCTTTGAGATCTAGGCAGCCTAATAATGCATAATAACTCCAACAAGCGTGAATGAAACAAAACACAACTCCAGGTTTGTTTTTGATGAGGTAATGACATTCTAACATGATTTTAAGCTCCCCAGAGTCCATTTTGCATAATATAGGACCTTTAACATTGCTCATTCACCTTTGTGTATTGTGCTTCCATAACATCCACTGACAGGGAAGGAAAACCACTGTGTACATGACTATTATTGATAAAGCAAGTATTTTTGAGCCATGTAAAATGCTTATGAAACCAGTGTGGACTTAGACTATCAGAAGTGTATGCAAGGATAGTTCCATTTTACTGCAGATCTACAACACAAATAACTATGCAGAAGTGTTACTGAGATTCAACAAGTGATTTTTGACTCAAATGTAGCTTGTACATTTTTCCTTTATATTCTCAAATTGTCTTCAGTGACTGTAGTCCTAGCCTCATCTCACTGAATCTGTCATAATAAAGCTAATTAGGATAAGCCCGTCTCTGTCCTTTCCTTATCATTTGTTCGAGGCTGTAATCAGTGGGATTTGTGTCTTTTGGCGTTTATGTAAGTTTTATCCAACACATCTGTAATGCAATGATGACAAGATCACAACATTTTCAAAAGAATGTAGTTTGTTTAAGTTAAGTAAACTATTTCCTGATAGAATCTACACAAAGGGCCGCCGTGTTATACTCCCATGGTCCCATGGTCTCCATGGTCTTGGGAAAGGGCGGGCCTTAGCGTAGAATATCCAATCAGACATGACTTTCTCTGTCAAAGCATGGCACTACTGTGAAGCTTTTGTGCTGGGAGACTTTTCACCAGCATCTGTGTTGGTGACAGTTATAATTTGGGACAAAAATGCCGCAGTCCTGCGCAAAGCAGGACGTGATTGTGACCCTATATTTGGTTGGTCCCTCCTCAAGTCCCTTTCACATGCTTCTGCAGTCTTGAAGTGTTTGTTTGAACAGGGCCATTCCCAGGGCTAACTTCTCAGTGTTAGGATATTTGAGTAATCCTAATCGTAACAAGTGTTTCCCGTACACAGTGTAGAGTGTAGACTACAGTCTGGACTAGTGTTTGTGGTCGAGGGAACAGTCTGTGTAGATGTGACGAAGAGGAGCTGGCACGCGCGCGCATGCTCGCAACAGCTGAAGAAAGATGGAAGACTGCGAGAGGAGACGGAGCGCAGCACATCCCGCAGCGGCCAGAGCCCGGAGCTGGTGAGTATCTGTAGGAGAAAACGCGGTGAGAGGCAAAATGTGTGCCGGGGGGAAAGGGGGAGAGCGGGCAGGGCTGTAGCGTGATGCCCTGTCGCAGCGCGCTGTTCTCGGTGTGATGATGTGAGGAGCGCGGTGATGTTGCGGAGACTGTCTGCTCCTGGAGACGGAGGAGGCCCTTTGTGGTGCAGACGCGGGGGATGTGCCTCCGCGCACGCATGAATGTGGATGCAGCTCGGGCTCCAGACTCACTGTTTATAAACGCAAAGATGCACCGAACACTGAGGCCGTGTGTTCAGCCAGAGAGCTGAAAACAATCAAATGTAGGCCCATGTAGGCGGCCTATCGCATATTAACGTGCTATTATGCGATTATATAGGTCTGTATAGGCGTAATTAGCATCTTGTAGTAGGCCTGCGTGTATTGTAGAATATACTGTTTTCAGCCTATACAAATGTTAAGTATTTGCAGAGGACTAACACAGACCTGAAAGAAGCACATTTAATTTTTTTAGTGAGTAGTGTTTACAAAAGAGATAAGAAAAATAACTTGGATGCAGCTAATGAATAGCCTATAACATAATAAAATTGCCTTAATACTGGGTCAGTCACAGCAAGTGGAAAACCTAGAGCCTCGGGTCTAGATTAGACTATAGTTGATTGCTCTGTGCTCATGTCTGTAAGAACTGAAATCTTTGGTGAATCAAGAACCCTCCATTATTGAAGAAAAAAAAAAGGAACAGTTTTTTGGCTGGTAACATTTGTAACCTAAAGTGTTGCATTTAACCTATTATTAAGCTTTAAGGTTCAGTTTGTGCATTACTTAGCCTTTCATTTGTTCTATTGTGAACACATTTGTAAAGATCTGTGTTAATGAAGGACATGCTCTTCTTTCAGATGCACTCCTGGAGGTGCCTTAGGACCCAGTCACTGCCCAGGACACTGACAGCATCATGGAGGAGAAGGAGGCACCCACTCCTCCTGATACCCAAAGGACCCACACCCACAGACGCACAGAGGCTCCATACGAAATGGAGGCGGAGCCCAGACCCCCGGCCCGAGTGGGGACCACCCGCTACCGTCGTCAGGGCGACACAGAGGCCCGGCTGAGAGCACAGCAGCACAGACAACAGAGAAGGCAGCAGAGAGAGGCCCAGCAGGAGCAGAGGAATCAGGAGGACGAGAGGGAGCGAGATGACTCTGCTCTAGCTCGATCTGCAAGCACTGAGAGCGGCTTCCACACACACACAGACCGAGCTGAGGGAGACGACAGCCTGGTACAGAGCACAGAGCCTGAAGATGAGATCCCCAGAGCCTCTGCCTCTGCCCTGCCCCAAGACCCCTCTGCTGAGTACTCCAAGGTACAACTTTACCTCACAAGAGTTACTCTCAAAGTTAGCACAAAGAGATGAGAGACATACTGATTTGCTTTTAATGGCTTGAACATTTAGCATTTGGGCCATAACATCCACTCAACAGTAACTGTTTCCTCCCCCAGCCTTTCACAATAAAATTGCATTTTGTGAATGAGGCCTAAATACCACTTGTGTCTGCCACAACTGTTAAATTATTAAATTGCAATTATTAAATGAAGATTAATTAACAATCTTACTGTGAGTTAAGGTTCATTAAGCTCATGTCCACATCAAAATTACAATTTAACTGGGAATAAATCTGGAATTATAGCTGGACCGGAGCTGGACCAAACCAGGACTAAATTTAAAGTAGGACTCAAACCAGGATCAGACCAGAACAAACGTTGAACGCACTTCTATACTTTTTCACTGGGTTTGGAGTAAGACTGCAACAATTAACTGACTAATCATGATTAGAGGACTCTAAAATTTATATAACAAAGACGTGGCATTATAGAATCAAATGTCAAAATGCAATAGTATTATTAATGCTATTTCTAATTTTCATCAATAATACATTTTATTGGTAAATGTTCTCTATTTAGAAGCCTTTAGGCACCCTTATTCAACCTGTTATTTGGTTAGAAGGTATTTAAGGTACAATTGTATTAATATGCATTCATTGTTTATTTGAGACTTCCAATAGAAATAATCGTTCGTTGGTGAATAAACAGTTTCACTCTGTTATTTGCTGTATTCCAGGTGCTGGGCTGCTCTGACTCTGAGGAGCTCAGAGATGAGACCTATTGTGAGCCCTATGAAATCTACTCCCCTTCAGAACACGTGTACGAGGAGATCTGTGAGGCAGCAGGCTTTTCCAATCACCTGCCCCAGAGACGAGCCAACTTCACACTGGAGGCCCAGTCAGACAGTGGGGACTACCAGCATGCCGTGGGGTCCCGGCTTCACCACTATGACGAACGCTCTGATGGAGAATCGGACAGTCCAGAGAAGGAGGCGGAATTTGCCCCTTACCCCCGAGCAGACAGCGGCGACCTGGAGGAGGACGGAGATAGCATAACAGTGGAACTTCGAATCAGTCTTAGCTCGCAAAGCTTAAATTGTGCCAAAGAACTGCCCAGCAATGAGGAGAATGTCGTAAGCTCAGAAATACCCCCAGACCAGAGTTCAGTCCCAGCAGAAGTGCACAAAGTAACCCCAGTGATGCGGAGTTTACAAGAGAAGAAAGATGCAATATCTCTGGCTATAAAGGACATAAGGGAAGCTATAGAAGAGGTGAAGACACGCACAGTGAGGTCTCCGTACACTCCAGATGAGCCCAAAGAGCCAGTTTGGGTCATGAGGCAAGACCTGAGTCCCACTGCAGACTGTGAGCTGCAGCAACCACTAGAGGGCGATGTGAGTACCCTATCCTATCTGCCATCTATAAAGGTGCTTGTTGTTTTTCATGTCACCTGGGGTTTCTTAAACTAAATTATATATAGAAAATTATGTGGTATTGAAATGTATTTGATTTTATTTTTTTTAGTGCACACTATTTTACATTAGGTCTTTCCATGCCCTTTTTGCACAGAGGTTACTGCAGTAAGAGTACAGTTACTTTAAAGTAATATTACTGAAGTAGTGGTAATGGTGGTTAAAAAAATACTATATATATATATATATATATATATATATATATATATATATATATATATATATACTACTATTTATATTTTAAGTTAATGTAATCATAAAGGGACCAAACATTAAATAATGCACAAAAACAGATTTTCAAAGGCAAGGAAGAAAATGTAATCTGATGGAGAGGTGCAAGAAACACAAATAATTGAATTCAGTCTAAATAAGTTCTTTTTTTAAGTTTATGTAATGTAATATAAATGTTTTTATCATTGATATTTCATAATTTATAGAGGCTTTACAATTAAAAAAAAGCTCAGTAGTGATGTAATGATTTTAACAGAATCTATTGCCATTTGTAAAGGAAAAGTAAAAGCACATGGTATTTTTTGTGCGTTTCCCCAACACCAAGGGAAGCATTTATTAAAACCAGACAAACAAGTGAGCATAAAAAGATGAAAATAGTAAAATGAGTGACAGCACGGCGCCTCTGCTCAGTGATCTTTTATTCATGGGGCTGTGAGGCAGAGAAAGGCAAGTCTTAAAGCGTTCAATAATTCAGGGAAGCTCCAGTGTCTGCAGCCTATTTTCACGTCATGTGACCTTTGCAGGAAAGAGCTACGGATGAATTCTGATGGCTTTATTGACACACAGAAGGAAGGCTGTTACAAGTTATTGATCTTAACAAATCCCTTTAAAAAATAATGCCAACTAATTTTGTAATGGAAAAAGTGTTATCTAGATAATTTAAGATCACCTTAAGAGAAGAGATCATGTGGCATAAATAAATCAGCGCTAACATCAAAATGACATAGGAAATGTATAAACTTAAAAATTTTCATGTAAAATCGATTTTATTTACTCTAAAAATATACTTTATTTATTATTTGTCAGTTTAAAAGTCCTATTACAATAGTATGAGCTGTTGCCTGAGGTGGATTACAGTAGTTTGGTCACACAGTTGTAGCCAGACAGAAAAAAACTGAAGAGGACATTTCCTTAGTGACCTGCTGCAACTGGAACTCACGTTGGCGGCCATGTTTTGACTGTAGGTTCGACTCAAACTTGCCAGTAATTAAATAGAAATATATTCTTATTTATCAATTAATTTAGCTCATTTTATTTTACTTTTATGTGCTCCATCCTACATCTAGCTTGGTCTAATGTGAACCAGTATTGCATAAAAATATTATAGTAGCCAGACAAATAAAATTGATAAATGGATCATTTCCATATGGCTTATATAAAAATAAACCGAGACTTGCTTAACTAAATTGACTAAATATCTTAATCAATAAATTTCAATGATAATAATTGAGGCAAATGAACAGTTCAAATATACAAAAAACAGGACAAAATTGTACTTGATTACTATTTGAAGTAGCCTTACCCTACTGTTTAAAGATGGCTGTTGCATTTGCCATGGCAGCGGTTGCTATGTCCACTCTAGTTTGTCTCGTCTCCCTGTATGAAGCTCGGTGACAGGACAGGTGCTCGACACCTGTCACCTGAGCTGCTCACTGAGAACAGCTCAGAGCAGAGTGAACAGGGCTGTGTGAGGGGCTAGAACAGAGAGACCATGGAAAACTTTTGGATGTACCAGGTGGAGAAGCTGGAGGAGGAAGAGGCAAAGCAGAGCCACCTGCCCCCTGACCAAGATGTGGAGGATAAGGTTTGGAGCTAGTCTGTGCTAACGCAGATGTATGTTATACCCACAGTCTGTATACAGTCTGTGCGTCTGACCTGTGCAGAGGAGCGCTGTCCTGCTTTTAGATTATGTAATAATAATATCTGGTCTCTTAGAATATTATAAGATCTGTTTGTGCTTTGCTTTTATCCAATTTGTGGTTGATATTTCTTGTTTTTTTTTTGTATTTCTGATTCAAATCGACTGGGGTTACTGTATATGAAATACAGCTCTACTGAAGCAAAACAAATGCCTTTTGCTAACATGAAAATAAATGAGAGCACATGTTTAAAAATGTGTTATTATTATTAATAATAATCATAATAATAATACCTTACACATGTAGTGCTATTATTGTGACCACAGTTGCCCTGGGGCAAACTGACTGAAGCAAGGCAATCTGTGACAACGGCCTCTTTAGCCACCACCAGTCACTCCCACACACTGTATTCACACCGTAATGACAGAACCTGGTGCCCATTAACTAAGTGAACCACATTCTTACCATGTATTTTTTAAAGACTTTTAAAATTCTTTTAATTCAAGATAAAGGTTCAACACACTTTCTTGCTTATTGTTTTGTTCAGTCTCCTCGCTCAGGATCCCCCTCTCCTTCTGGAGCAGAGGGCTCCAGCAGCCAGCTCCTGCCTGATGAAAGCCTGCAGACGCCCTCACCCAGAGAGGTGAGAGATACGAACTCTTTACCTTTGTATTTACTGTACTCAAACTGCTGTGTGTGCGCCCACTAACATGTCCTGATTGTGGTCCTCAGGCCGGCAGGAGCAGGGTGTCCTTCCCCACGTATGTAGAGGGTGAGTTCACTCATATTTAATTCAGCTGTTTGTATCCCAGTGTCACGTGACCAGTCTCCAGTCTACGGTTACATCAACAACAATGAGCTCACACAAACATTAATCACCTCATCAGTAGTTAGTCAAAAATACTAATAATACACAATGAAGTTATAAAAGAAGGTAACATTTAATACTAACTCTTTGTTCATGCTTTATTAAGGCATGATTATGTGTACTCATGAAAAATAATGTGAAAGACAGATCAGAATCAGGAAGTGTGCAGTTAACATGCTAGTTGTTTTTATCATTGCTCTTACAGCAAAACTCTGCTCTTGTCTGTGAAACTTTGAAAAGCACTTATAAACTGATCGGCATGAATAATAAGCATGGTCAGAATGCAAAAGGAATCATTCTGGACGTCTGCAAACTGTTTAAAAGGAGCTAGTTCTGTTTTTCACATTTTTAAGACTTTTAATATTTTTAAGTAAATATCAGTTTTAAAGGTTGTATGGAGGATTTTTTTTTGTTTCAAATTGTCAATGATAGCATTATAGAGATGCAGTAGCCTTGTAATTATGATGACCAAAAAAAAGAGAATAAAAATTCATCAACTCTGGACGTGGTGGGGCTAAACATTTGCCAATAGATAACGACATTGCCTCGTTATCTGTTAGCTGACAGGCTGTCAATCAATCTCCCTACGTTTCTAGCGTAACTGACTTGCCTGCGCACCGCCGGTACGTGGTTTACGTACGCCTGTCACGCAGTCCACAGACGCAAGCCGCACAGACGCTGTTTACTCCACCAACGCAACAGTTCTTAGCGGCTTTTTTTGACCTATATCTTCCTCGCAGTTCGCACAAAGTTTGTTGCAATGGCAGACAAGAATCCAGGAGCAGTTCGCCGCAAAAGAAAGTCCGTTTTGAGATTGATGAAAGAAGACGACAAGGGGAAAAGCAGTGAAGCCAAACTAAGGTGATTCTTGAAGATTCATTCCAGCGATGGCGCGACTGAAGCAGACGCAGGGTCTAAAGACTGACGCATTGGTCGCCAAATTACTCCTGGACAGGTCACTTCTGCTTATTATGAAAACGTACTTTATTTCCAAGAGCTAGACAAACGTTTTTCAGGACATGAAAGCGATATCCTATGTCTGAAAACGTAATTTTCAAGGCAAAGAAAGAGTCCACTTGCTGCTGCGTGTTGTAGCTAGTTCATTCGCACGGAATCTCCGCGCATCCTTCTCTGCACCCCTTTCCTGCTCCTCTCACCGCTGCCCGATCCGCTCTTCCCCCTGCTCCTCACTTCTCCGGGCACGGAATCTCCGCGCACCGCTCCCCTCTTCTCTCTCCTCTCCCTGCTCCGCTCTTCTCCCTGCTCCTTACTTCTCGTCCGCGAATGAAATGTCCGTGCACCCGCTCCCCCCGCTCCTCACTTCTCCACCTTGCCTAACCAACACTGTAGTTAGTTGTTTACAAGTCACAGCGCACCGGCTGTAAACAAACCTGTTTCTGGCGTAAAGAGGAGGCGGGAGGAGGCGTTTCTACGTAGGGAGCTGTAGGGGAGAAGGGGTGGTTTCACGCATGCGCAACATTTGAAAAAGGACAAACAGTCGCTGGATTTCTCGTTCCTTGGAAAATCCTCTATACAACCTTTAACTAAATAGTTACTAAGTGTGTTTATGCTTGATTAAGGGTAATTAAGGTGTAGTAAATGGAAAGTGATGTTGGTAGATTTTCAGTTATTTATTACAAAAACAAATACTGTGCAGTTTAATCTTCTTGAGGATGTTTTATTGATCTATTTCTAAGTGTTAAACATGTGTCCTTTGCAGTCCCAGGCCCCTGTGACCCAGAGGACCTCATTGATGGCATCATTTTTGCTGCAAACTACCTGGGCTCCACTCAGCTGCTGTCAGACAAAACCCCTTCCAAGAATGTGCGCATGATGCAGGCGCAGGAGGCTGTGAGTCGTATCAAGGTACGGCCTTTTTGGTTTTGTCTTGACACCTCTATAGCCCTAGCAATTTTAAAGTTCCACTGCATAATTTTCTATTGGTTTTATGCCACCTTGGAGATATAGGGAGCGTTCACCCTTGTCCCTGTTAGTTCCTAGAATGAGCCCAGTTTAGTCCTGATGGTAGACCTGGTTTGGTCCTGATCTAATCCTTGTTTGGTTCTGATCTAGTCCTTGTTTGGTCCTGATGTAGTCCTGGTTTGGTCCTGATCTAGTCCTTGTTTGGTCCTGATGTAGTCCTCGTTTAGTCCTGATATAGTCCTGGATTAGTCCCAGTTTTGTGCATTCACACTTGTACTATCACCACAGCAAAACAGGGACTCAACTGCGAACTAAACCTGGACTTCACCATAACTAAACCAGGACGAGAACAGGATTAAACCAAGTCTAAATTAGGACTCCGTAGTGTGGCATTAAATGTATTTATCTAGCATTTATTTTGTTTTTATTGCTCAAATATTCCTTGTAAAACATGCATTAACGCTGAAAGCAGGGTCACCTCTCTACTTAGCCTAGCTGCACCACCTGCTTGTCTCCATGGAGATAGACAGGTTTAATGCCATACTGAACATCTCCATGGAGACAAGCAAGTTGAGTATCCTCCACCAGAAAAATTACACACTGCAGATTTGAAAATGTAGCTTTGAAATGATCCTTCATGATCTCAGTATTGGACATTCAGTGATGATTTTCTATCTATAACTGTTAATAATTGTTGATAATTGTTTCTGTTCTTTTGCATTTTTATTTTTTTTTTCTCTTTATTTTTATTTATTGACATTGAGATGTTTATACTTTTAGTTAATTTGTCAATAACTGCTTCTTGACATTTTTAGTGTATGCATATCTCTGTGCCTCTCATTCTAACCTGTCTGTTCTTAATCCACAGGCAGCCCAGAAACAGGCCCAGAACAAGAAGAAGGTACACTGCTTTTTACTCTAAAAATAACTAAAATATGTGAACATTTTGGAAATAAATTTTGCTTTTCATTAATTTGTTTTAAAATGTGATTATAACTAGATAATTATAACCACATTGCCTGTTACTGTGTTATCTCATTATCAACCTCCAATCTATGTTTATTGTGTCTCACTTTAAAGAAAACCTATATCTTGTGTTATATAACAGTTGAAATCAAAATATTGACAAAAAAATATAGTTGGAGAATGGACTAAGTACTGAGCAGTGGGCCTACACTGGTCGTGCTGAAAACGGGGGATTGACTGGCAATATGGCAAAATAAGTGATTACAGATTGCTCAAACCTGCACAAATCACTCCAAATTAAGGATAGGACAATAATATCAAATAGTATAGTAAATAGTAAAATAGTAAACAATAATAACAAAATAGTAAACAATAATCATTTGTGAAACATTTTATATAATCGTGATAATCACCAACAAAGATAATTTCCATTTTATCACCAGGATGTGCAGAAAAAGCAACTTCTCCATGTTGTTTTCACTTATAACAAAGCTACTCATGATATTATAATTATAATTCTTATCCATAACATTTTAAAACTGTCATCAACTTTTATAATCGTTAATTGCAACTCCTATACTCCTATACTCCTACTCCAAATACAACTTCAAGTGAATAAATGGTAAAAAGAAATAAATGTATAATGGTTTTAAAAGCTCTAAAAAGTTGATTTTGTAGAATAGATTTGCTTTAATAGAAATATTATCTGGATTATTATGTATGTCAAATTACTTCATGAATACATGTGACTGTGTTTGTACAGGCTACTGAAGATGAGGCTCACATGACAGAGGTGGACCTGTTCATCTCCACTCAGAGAATCAAAGTGCTCAATGCAGACTCACAGGTAAAACTGGATTTTTATTGGTAATGTGATCGATATAAAAAAAAATAAAAAAATAAAATCTATATACAATGATCTATAGATTTTAAATAATTAATTAAAATATTAAAAAATAAAATAACATAATCTGAATTGACTTTACAATGCTGTTAAATAAATCAGTCCATCTTAAAGTTTTTTAAAGGTGCACTGTGTAACTTTTTGGATGTTGGCTCATTACCTGCTTGTGTCTATGGAAATGTTATTGCTCTGCCCGAAATGTTCCACAGTATGACATTAAGCAGCTCAACTTTACATTTATTCAGTTAAGGTGGTTTTATAGTAAAAAAAAAAAAAAACAAGCATTCAGACTGTGAGCGGGGTTGCATTTCCACAGATCTGACGTGTAACCTGAAGATATAAATGTTTAATGCCTTACTATGAAGCATTTTCAGCAATAACATCTCCATGGAGCAAAGCATTAGATGGACCCTCCACCAGAAAAGTTACACAATGTACCTGTAAAGACCTTATTTTATTAGTATAAAAATGAATGAATCTGGACTTTTTGGATATTCATAAAATAAATTCCTATGTCATCTGATCAAATTTAGTTCATAATTATTGTCTCTCCAGGATACTATGATGGACCACCCCCTGCGGACCATCTCGTACATCGCTGATATCGGGAACATCGTGGTCCTGATGGCGCGCAGAAGGATGCCTCAGTCAGAGTCAGAGGAGAACGCAGAGGAGGACAGCAAACGCCAGTACAAGATGATCTGCCATGTGTTTGAATCAGAAGATGTGAGTAAAACATTCACATAAAAAAAGTTGTTTGTTTGGACTGCTGTAGCGAAGATCCTCTTGTGGTATGTGTGGGGTAGGATCTTACTGGACCATAGGCTTCTCCTGTTGTCTCTTAACTTGCGGCCTCTTGGATACGGGTGGGTTATTGTGACAAAATAAAAAGGTCCTATAACGCAACATTGACTCTTGTATTACCTCATCAAAAGCAGACATGAAGTTGTGTTTTGTTTCATTCACATGTTTGAGTAACTATTATTAGTCTACATCTCCAAAGCTCATTATGCTCTGTCCCACCTCGTGATTTTTCAAGTTCACAGTTGCCTTTTACCTTTAGTTCAGTAGCGAGAAGCAATTCCAGGACTGAAATCATCCAAATGATTCTAGTGAAGACAGTTTCCTATTTGTAACATAGATCAGAAAATAGCGTAATATGGGCCCTTTTATGTTTTAAATTTAATTTTCATTGTCCTAAAAATAAGGATCAGATGATATTTGATGTGGTAAAATGTGTTTGTTAAAGTTTTGGATAAGGTTCCAGGGAATGCAATGCTTGCCTGACAGTGCCATCCGTCTAGTTCTTTGTATATTACATATACAGGAATTGTTATTAAGCGATTATGATGGCATTTTCAGGCAACCACAATGCGCTTTTTTAAATAGTATGCTGCTAGTTTCTTATTTTTATTATATTTATTCTTTTCTTATTTTTTACATTTGAAATTTTGAAATGATGGTGTATCTGCTAAGTCTAGTAATCTAGTATTGAGTAAAGACAACCTCCTGTGTGATACCTGGTGACTGGTTAGAGCTGTTCTCAGTGGAGTTTGCAGCATCTCTGTTTCTGGGTTGGTTACTTGTGGTAACCTGCTCCAATTTCCCATATTACTCCAAACATGTGGGTCAGACTGGCACAGAATGGCATTAGATCACTCAGGTAGTTGTTACAAATTAGAACTTGAGAATATTGTTGCAAAATGTCCTGTTATATCTTGTAATGTTTCTGTTTTCAAGTGTGTGTAGCAGTGTGTAATTAATAACATTTACTAATTTTACAAATTTCTTATAGTCTAAAATCAGTTTGCTCATTTCTATTGAGGCAAGGCAAGTTTATTTGTATAGCACAATTCGTACACAAAGTAATTCAAAGTGCTTTACAGAATAAGAAATACATTAAAATCATAATAAAAACAAATAAAAAATAAATAATCATGAAAATTAATAAAAAAAACATAAATTGGAGAGAAGAGTGCAGAATGAAAACCTTTCAGTTATATGCACAGTTAAACAGAAATGTTTTGAGCCTGGATTTAAACAGCATCACAGAAGAGGCCTGTCTCACATGTTCAGGAAGACTGTTCCAGGGAGAGATCCACAGTTAATCCACTGTCAGTAAAAGTATGTGCTTTGGAGTCGAATTCAGACTTTATAGACAGATATTTTATGTTTGTATTGTTTTCAGGGCAATTATTTGATTATTCTATATTTAATTTGCCTCTCATCCCTTAAATTGTATCACATTACATCACTGACTGCAGTTACATGTGCACTCTAAATCTGGAAAAACTGACAATAAATATATTAAGAAAAAACTGAAGTTTGCCCCCAAATTGCTAACTCCGTCACTGTTTAAATAGTAAAATCATCTAATTTCTTTCTGATCACAGTCCCTCTGATTATTCAGATTTTGTTGGTTTGTGTTTCATTGAAAGATTCAAAATCAGATTATAAGAAGATTTCGGTGTGCGTATAAACAAAGACAGTATCTTATAGATATAAAAACACAATTGATACACTGAATTAAAGTTGGAGGTCCAGAGTTCTTCTTGGGGTAAGATTGGGGGGGTCTGTTCTGTAAATCAACTGTTTTATGAGCTAATTATTCCCCTCTGTGCAGGCCCAGCTCATTGCTCAGTCCATTGGCCAGGCCTTCAGTGTGGCCTATCAGGAGTTCCTAAGAGCCAATGGCATCAATCCTGAAGATCTGAGCCAGAAAGAATACAGCGATCTGCTCAACACCCAAGACATGTACAACGATGATCTGGTCCACTTCTCCAAGTCTGAGAACTGTAAGGATGTAAGTATCTTTTCTCTCATAATACTTAATTAGGTGGCGGACACTCTACCTGAACGGTTGCAAATTATGACAAAATGTATCATGTATCATATATTTATTAATCATATATATATGTGATGATGGGAATTCTTGTTTCTGTGTTCCAGGTGATAGTGGAGAAGGCCAAAGGAGAAATCCTGGGGGTGGTGATCGTGGAGAGCGGGTGGGGGTCCATCCTGCCCACCGTCATCGTGGCGAACATGATGCACGCGGGACCAGCCGAGAGGTCCGGGCGCCTCAACATCGGAGACCAGATCATGTCCATCAATGGGACCAGTCTGGTGGGGTTGCCCCTGTCCACCTGCCAGAGCATCATCAAGGTGCACTCAAAAACGCTCAAAACACAGGATTTCATTTACTTTACAGTTAGGGATGTATCCAAATATCTCAGTAGGATATTTTCACAATATGTATCTCACAGTACAATTTTTATTGTGATATTTTATGGAAACTAACAAAACTGTAAATATGCTACTTTTTCTTTATAAAATGCCTTGACAAGACTTAAAAGTGCTTATAACAGTTATTTCTTCATGTAATTTGCACTGAAATGGAGCAAAGGATCATGGGTTTATGTAGTTCTCTCTGTTTTTTTAGCCATTGCTGCAGTGTAACTATTCATTTAAGTGGAGAGACTTTCAATTCAATATATTGTGAGACTTACCAAGTTGTCTGTGTAATCCTTTACTTGTCCAGGGAGGGTTCATAAAAATATATATTATATATAAGAGTCAATACAACTAGAAATCCGAAGCAAATCCATTATTATGCCAGACTGTAAATGTAAATGTCTGTGTTAATAGAATAATGCTTGAAATAAAACTAACCTTGCATTGTATGAATCTTCACATTTCGAGGGACTATTTTCTTATATATCAGTCCGCCACTGCCAAGCTTTCTATCAGGAAGTACAACTCGCTTCTTCTGCTTGGACATAAATCCTTCACATGCAAGGTTGGTTTTATGTATAAAATTATACTATCGACACAGACATTCACATTGACAGTCTGGCATTAGAATTGTTTTGACTCAGGTGCTTTGTTGAGTGGGTAAGACTGTTTTTAGTGGCAGGATAACTATGGCCATTGATATGCGCTAGCCTAGCACCAGTGACCTCTGCAAATACAAGAACTAGATGGAATATTTAAAAAAGTGTCTCCACACGTCTCCAACACTCTGGCTCACTAGAAAATGAGGTCCTATGTTAAAAATTCCAAACTGTCCCTTTAAGACATTGTTAATATTCCTATTCTTATCCATCTTGATTTTTATTGCATGAGCACAGTGAAGTTCTGTTTTATCTGCTGTACTTTCCAGCCACGTGTAAGAACCATAGATGTCTTTTCTCCACAGGGTCTGAAGAACCAGTCTCGGGTGAAGCTGAACATAGTGCGCTGTCCTCCTGTCACCACTGTCCTGATCCGACGCCCCGACCTGCGCTACCAGCTGGGCTTCAGTGTCCAAAATGGCATCGTGAGTCCCTGCGCCTCTAGTTTTGGCTTTCACAAGACATCACATCACATTCAGTAGGCCAGTACTGTTTAATACAGATTGAAGATGGTTATACTTCAAAACATGTACATTTAATGAAAAAAGAGAAAAAAGGAGCAGCAAGAAGCACAGTTTATTTTAATCCTACCCTTAATTTACAATATTTCACATGATATTCTTTTGTTTGTTTTCACTTGTGTGTCTCTTTATAAGAATTAGAGAAGTTAAATGAACAAAGCACATACACTTTACAAACACACACATGTTTACAATATATTATCAACAATCACTTTTCAATAACAATTCATAAATGTGTGCTTTCCTGGTGGTACATCTCTAAAAGTTGCTTATATTATCATTAAGTATCATTACATTTTAAAACCACCACACAGTGAACTAACCACAATGAGTGTGCCCACAGATATGCAGCCTTATGCGAGGGGGCATCGCTGAGCGGGGAGGGGTGCGAGTCGGTCATCGTATCATTGAGATCAACAGTCAGAGCGTGGTGGCTACTACGCATGAGAAAATAGTCCACATCCTTTCAAACGCTGTTGGGGAGGTGAGTCCTGAGCTGTCGTAAAGCATAAATCTCATTATTTAACAGCTTCATGTCTGGTTCAAATTAATAAACTATTTGATAATATTAATAAACGCGCATTCAGTATAAAGTGCTTTTTGGACACATAATAATTACCATTGCATCATTCATTCACTCCACTCTTGGTGATGGCCAGTAAATACTTCTTCCCTGGGCAAGATTGATGGAAGCAAGAGTGCCCATCTGTGCCAGCAGCCCCTTTGACAAAAAAAAAATCTAATATTCTTCAGAAAGTTCTTCCAAACTCTGCTGCAGAAGTTCCCATAAATGTGTGGCACTTGTAGATTGCTTGGCTTTCACTCTTCTGTCCAGTTCATCCCAAACAAGCTTGATGGGGTTTAAGTCTGGAGACTGTGCTGGACACTCCATGTTTTTCAATTTTACCATCTTGTTCTTTTTTCCTGAGGTAGTTTTGGCAGAGCTTGGACTTGTGTTTTGTTATCTTTTATCTTTTTTTTTTTTTAACCTCTGGCTGTTCAGTACTTACCTTTGTACCATTTCAAGCTCTTCACTGGACTTGCACGACTTGAATTGCAATAAATAACTGGAAAAATTAGGGTGTTCTAAAACTTTTGACCAGTATTGTATAGTGCATATAGTAGTGTATTAAGGAAAAGGCTTGCTATTTGATACAGATTTAGATTTTCAAAACAGAATAGTAACAGTAATCTTAAATCTTATTTTGTGTTCTTATCTTATGCTTCTAATATAGATCAACACAATGACAAAAATATAGAAGGAAGGAGGAAGAATAAATGAAAGGTCCTATTTATTTCATTTCATCTGTATCAATACTTCAAATTGGTATCGAGTTTATATATTAGTTTTAGTACGGATAAGAATCTGGGTATTATTGATTGATTGATTTATTTTTTACCAGCCTAGTGTATTCTGTTCTTAATGTATTTTTTCTTCCTTAGATCCACATGAAGACCATGCCTGCAGCCATGTACCGCCTCCTCACAGCTCAGGAGCAGCCCATTTACATCTGAGCCCTGGTTCTGTCTGCAGAGTCTCACCTCACCCACCTGGACTCCTCGAGGGACTGTGTGTGGACCCTATCTGCCCCCCAAACGACCTCTCATACCCCAGGCCTAACAAAAAGATACCCCACGCAACTTCACTTGTAGCAAATCATCCTCCAGTACAGAAGTGTGTAGCGTAATTCAACCAAGGTTTAAGAAAGAGTTCGGCCAAAATATTTGAGCTGGTGCGTGAATAGTCTGAGTATATCTGAGTGGTATGTGTGTAAAGGGAAAGGATTGAGGAGGACCATCTCTGATTTTGTGTTAGCCCCAAAAGTTATTTAGTTAAAGGTGCATTGTGTAACTTTTTGTTGGAGGTCCGTCACCTGCTTGTTTTTCTGCCTAGAATGTTCCACAGTATGACATTTTAACAATTACTGATTGTTTTCTAACTCAAAAATACCTAGAAAACACAGGCATTCTGACTGACTGAGTTTGCCTTTCCACAGCTCTGACCTGTAACTTGGTCTGGTTTGGTCTCCATGATGATAGAAGGATTTAATGCCATACTCTGAAAGCAATAGCATCTCCAGGAAGAAAAACATTTGATGGACCCTCCACCTGAAAAATTACACAGTGCACCTTTAAAGGAGCTGTACCTGATGTTTACCGTCTCAAAAATGTAAAAAACTGAGTTTTTTAAAAGTTTGCAGCGGTCCGAAACGATTCCTTAAACATTCCCAGCATTTAATAATTTACCACAATTAGTTTAGAAGCACTTTTCACACATTTCAGAGCCAGCGGGTACAGCCCTTTTAATTTGTAATTGCCACTTTGTCACTATTTAAAGTAATATGAAAATACTATCTCTACCATGTCACCATGTTTTGTCACAGAAAACAAAGTCAAACAGTACAAAACAATTGATTAGAACTGAGTATGCAGTCCAGTTGAATGTTCTTGTATTTTATTTTTTAAGAATCTCTGCTGTTTCTTTCAGGGCTAGTGTTATGTTATGGGATGATGAGTGGGAGAGACATTAAGCAAATTTTTGTAGCTGGGAATCAAATAAATAGTGCAATAAAATAGTTTACCCAATAGAAAGTGCATGAAAACAGGATCTGCCCACTGCTGAAAACATTGCAGTGACAAGGGCCATTAGAAAAGAGGTGTCTGAAAATAGAGGTGACCACACACTCATCTGCTGTGATCAGAACCAGCATTACCAAGAGCAGTATTCATTTAGTTTGACTTTAATATGAATAGTTGTATTTACGGTTACAACTATGAATTCATTTGATAATCAGAAAACACATCTGTAAAACACTTTTTAGGATAATTTTTGTATGTCCAGTCTCGGTCCACTGAAGGTGCAGACTGTGATGCCAGATGACGTCTTTTTTCCAATGTCTTCTGGGCGTCCAGTGTTGACGTTTGTTTTTCCTACAGAAAAGAGTGTGCCACTGTCTGTGTGAATCTTCATGTGTCAGTCTGTGGTTCAGTGGATCTGACCGCTCAACCAATGATGTTTTATATCAAGAGTAGGATTTGAACTACCAACCTTCAGATCAGTGAACAAACACTCTACCAACTGAGCTACACTCCCACTCACCAGTGCTGCTCTTTTAGACCATTTTTATTTAACATATTTTGACTCAAAGGCCCGTAGAACTATAATAATTTTTGAATGAGTAGGCTGTAATTTCCCAGAAAATGCATTTCCAAATAAATAACATACGTAAATACCTAAATTAGTTAATTAAACAGATAACAAAATATCATGTACTCAAATAAATAATTTGTAATAAATGTTTAATCACAAATAATAAAAAATGAATATTAATGAATAATATTGATAACAACAATGTAGATATTTGTAACAAAAAAAATTAAATTAAAAAGAAAAAAAAGGTATTATATTCATTAATAATAATGTCATTTTCCTACTCCTGTGTTAGACATCCTGATGACGTCCAAAAAAGTCACCTAGTCGAGGGTTCAAATGTATAACTACATACTGATGTCCAAGTGGGCTCAGAGTTAGACTTCCAAATAGTGAATGTAATTTGCCCGTCTAAGACGTCTAATGTTTAGTGGGTAAATGTCAAAAGAGAATAAATCATGTCACATTTTCACTAATAATACACTTGCAAAAATTCTCTCTACAGAAGCTTTCAGCAATCAAATTTCAACTTTTATTGGGTTAAAAAAATCTAAAAATATATCTGAAAAATTTCATTGTAAAATATGAACTTTTTGATTACTATAGTTAATTAATTGGAAAAAATCATCGCTGACTTGTTGACTTCTAAAATAATGGTTAGTGGCAGCCCTAGTCATATTTGAGAAAGACATTCAAAAGCATATTTTAAATACTAGATACAGGACAAAGAAAATATTGTAGAAAATGAGAAGTGGTGTGCGAGTAAGGACAGACTATGGAAATGATGAGAAGCCCTTATATTAAAGTGAATTAGATATGATTTATTTATTGTAGATAGACGATTTCTGCTATTATGCTTAAGTCTTACTTACATGGTGACATGGTGGACCTATACTCTCTTCTCTGAGCCTAGATAAAGGAGTCCGTCTATTTTCTCCTTTGGGCCGATGGTGCGATCCCGTCTACAGCCCACAGAGGGCGCTGCTGCTGCTGCTGTACTTCTGTGTGTACATGTGTTTACTTGTGTTTGAACGTGCTGCACCTATATTCACACGCACTAGGAACACTGTGTAGTTTATAGAGATGTAAAGCTATATTCTTCTACTGTCCAGAGCTGCATCCACCTTCCTGTGAACTCTGAGTCATGTGACAGTGTCTTTGGCTGCTATAGTAGAGAATACTTGACATATAAACACTATATAATGCTGCCTGTCCTGACAAAAACGCAATGTGAACAGGGTTCGAATGTAAAAGACGTGCTTGGACCATGGGAGGATCAGAGCCCTGTCTGAGCCTAAAGCACCAGAGGAGAGCCTTCTGAATGTAACTTATGTTGATGTGAAAAACCAAACCCACGTTTGCAGTATTTACCACAATAAATGTTTTGCAGACACACTCCAGGTTATTCTGTGGTTTTGTGAAGGGGCAGGGCTATTACAGGGCCCATGTTACGTATTTTCTGGTCTATGTTATAATTTTTCTCCATCAAAAAGATACCTGGAGTGCTAGTCCTATGAGATTCATTTGGTCTTCCGATATTTTATGTTATTAGGTTCTTTTTTCAGACCAAGAGTTTGTTTTCAAACCTGACAGTTTCGACTGCTCACTAGTGGTCTTCCTTAGAGTGGTCATGTGATGTTGCTGTGACGTGTCCGGTCAGCTGATCTATACAGGTTTTAGTGCTGTCTTCCTACTGATGGAGGCAGGATGACAGAGGAAAACATTGGGACAGAGGAAAACAAACACCATCACTGGATTAAAAAGGCAATCGAAATATGCAAATGTGCCCACAGGACTATAAATCGGGATGAGTTTTTTTTTTTTTTAACTCTCGCACACCTGAGATACTGCCCTAAGGAAGTTGGACTGCAGAGGGCGCTGTCATCCTGCCTCCACCAGTGGAAGACAGCGTCAAAACCTGTATAAATCAGCTGCGCGGACACGTCACAGAAACATCACGTGACCACTCTGAGGAAGACCACTACTGAGCAGTCGAAACTGTCAGGTATGAAAACAAACTCTTGGTCTGAAAAAATAACCTAATAATATTAAAATACCTGGACTGTTGTTTAGTTTTTGTCCACCTTGTGATGTCATGAAGCGGTAGTTTTAATGTTAACAACTACTTTTTATCTTTAGCTCAGTCAGATTTGTCAATTCCAGGGCTTAAGTTACATAAATGATTTTAGTGATGGTGTATGGAGTTTAAAAAATTTAACACTTCTGTGTTTTCCTTTTGAGAGAAGAACTCAGCCCAAATATGCATTTGTTTTATTCACACATGTTCACACAGTTAAACCTGTGTGATTGAAACAAAACACAACTCCAGGTATGTTTTTGTTGAGGAAACAACATTATAACTTAGATCCGAAAATAGCGTGATATGGGGGGGTTTATGCATAATTAACCTTTTGGAGCTTTCTATCATGTCAAGTGCCCAGAGCACCCACCCAGGCACAGGGAGAAACATGCAAACTTTGCACCCAAAGGCCTGGGCGGTGTTCAGTTAAATATATAAGAAAAAAAGTTAAATACAATTAAATTTTTTAAAAAGCAAATCATAGAAATCAAGGATTACATAATATTAATTAAAAAAAAAAAACAGTAAGAACTGGCCTTATTTTTTTCACTCTTGTTTCCAGTCAATGGTTGGAACGAAGCCTTCTCGAGACACTGATGAAACACATCTGCTGAACCCCTGGAGACGACCCCACACACAATCAGCAGCTTTAAAACATTATGTAACCTCCATCATAAGGTCGCCATTGGTCAACAAGACAAATAGTTTGGGGTTCTTTTAATAGTTTCCTCCCTAACACTCCCTTTCCAGAGAAGTCCCCCTCTCTCCGGCTCTTGCTGTAAGAGGAGCCGGCCGTTCTGCAGCCAGCATCTCTGCATTCACCATGAAGGCAAGTACTCAGCTCATTTTATCTCATAGTTTACAATATTAACACTAATGCTACAGTGATATTTGATCAAATTAGCATGTTTTGGAGATGAGTATCTATGAATAATGGGGGTAGTTACATTGTGCTTTTTTAAATTGATAACATTTACAGTTACATCTCTTTGACTAACCTTTTGAACATATTGTACTTTTTATAGTAGTTTTGTCACCTCACTTAAAAGACCCATATTACGCTGTTTTCTGATTAATGTTATAATGTTGTTTCCTCATCACAAACATATCTGGAGTTGTGTTTTGTCTCAGTTGCACATGTTTATTACACAAAACCTGCATATTTAGGCTGAGTTCTCTCAAATTGTTCTGTCATGTGAAGTTATGGGGTCGTAGTGTGTTTTTTAAACTTCATGCATCTTCATTAGTATCAGTTGGATGATTTCAGCCCTGAAGTTGCCAATCTCTACTGAACAAAAGGTAAAAGGTAGCTGTTAACATGAAACCTACTGCTTCACAAGGTGGAACAGAGCATTTTGAGCTTTGGAGATGTGGACGGACTGAAAATGCAGAATTGCTCAAACATGGGTGTAATAGCCCAGCCTGATTCATCAGCCGGTTTCACTTTGTGGAAACCCTCTGACTCCGCAACATTAAGATTCATTCGCTCGACTGTAGGCGGGTACTTTTTTAGTTAACCAAGCACTGCTATTCGGTCATGACATATGTAATGTGCCGCTAATGGGGTTAACTGGTATATTAAGCTTCTTCCAAATCCCGTAGGAAGAAGGAAATAACGTCTTTCCCCTTGATAAAATTCACCAAACATTCTCTTTGTTCCGGTTTTAAATCCTCAATCTTGGGAATTGTTGCCAACAGAGAATGTATGGCTTTTTACTGATTGGCTGGCGTCTGGACTCGCACTTCCAGGTTTCTTGCAAACCCTCCAGTGTATTCTGATTCCTGACCTAGTCGCTGGAGAGAAATGAAATTGAGCAGAGGCACTAGGTGGCACCAGCTTGGCTAGGTGTAATGTAGGACCTTTAATAAATGTTATTAACCATTACTCCTATTTCCTGTAAGATTTTGTCAAGTCAAAAATGTGCTTTTCTTGAACCAGCATTAGATATGATTTCATTTTCTGTGTGGTCAATACGTACAAAATCGCTGTATTTTATTTATTTTTTCTTTAATGTTTTGCTTATTTGATTACATTCACTCTAAATCCCAAATCCCATGGTATGTCCCAACAGTTATTCTGTACTGTTACTTTCACCAATTGCTTTGTTACTCTTACTACAGTACTCCTACTTAATATATTATTTGACATCTGCTTATCTCTGATAGTTTCTCTGAGTATTATTTATTTTCTTATCTTCATCTTTAGGGGCGAGTTTGCCTGACTGTCTTGCCGTGGCTTCTGCTCCTGCTCTCCTCTAAAGGGTAGCCATGTTTTTATACATTCTTCTGTTTCATAGCTAAAATCAAAGCACGTCTTGTACCACTCACTGTCTCGAACTCACATTTCAGGTTTTGTCAGAGGGTGGACTGCCAGTGGGGGCCATACAGTGAGTGGAGCTCATGTCTTGGATGTCCCACAACACAGGTCAGCTTAACTAAGTAAAAAAAAAAAAAATCTTCTAAAGCCTTAAAAAGATAGAAAGCACTAGGGATGTAACAATAACTGAAAAATATTGTGATATTGTATCGTCAAAAGTCTCACATTAATATTGTGGGCTGTCATAATGCAAATTAAGAGTTCCTTTGCTTAAATGCATGGTTTTACAGTAGCAACAGCTTATGAACAGCAGAAACTACATATCCCATGATTCATTTCAGTGCAGACAACATGAAGATATATGTTTTTTTACTTGAATTCTTGGGATTATGATGGAAATGAGACATAGTAGAGGGAATTACATAGATTATGGTCATTTGGTCCTTTTTAGTGACTTCAATTATTCTTCAAATTAAAGAAATCGGAATCCTTTGACAGCAGTAAGATTTCTACAGTACCTTCACTATCACAATAACATTACATTTTAGTGAGGTAAACAATGCACATATCAAGAAAATATTACATATGTCTGTAAATTAACCTCCAATACTTCTTGTTATTTGGTTTGGACAATTCAAATTATTTTTATGATCCTTTTTGTGATTTCGTATATTTAGACCAGGACCCGTTCGATTGCCGTGCACGCTCAGAATGGAGGGAACCCGTGTTTTGGAGAGAAGTTTGAAACCAAGCCTTGCTTAGAAGTTCGTCTCATGTTTTTTACATGGAAATGTCCAGACCCCCGAGTGCACTGTAGGTGGGGTCCTTTCGGAGATTGGTCCGAGTGTGACGGCTGCACCAGGACACAGGTCAAGTCTGTTTTCACTGTGCATTTTTGCATTTTTGTTATCATGTTGTTTACTCCTAAAAACTTACATGGATTTTGTTGCATTGGCACATTTTGTACATGATTTATACTGCTGTGCGCTATGTTGCTAATAGTTTTAATTGATCCATGATGAGTTCTAAGATGTGAATACCAATCCCAATGTGTACAAATAAAATAACAATAAAAAAGAAATAAATTATAATTATTTGATAAGCTTGATAATATGGGATCTCAAACACTGGTGAATCATAGGAAATTGCACAACCAAAACACAACTGCATGAGGGAACAACACACAGTATGAGTTCCTGCAGTCTGGGAGGAGATACAGGGTTCCTTTATGTAAAACAACAGGTACAAAAACTTGTTTAATGTCCATATAATTTATTATTTTTAGATTGCATATTGGTGATTTTCAGATTTCAAGAGACAGATTGTCCTTTCATAGCAAATTTACAAAAAGGAAATTTACAAATGTTGAATCTGATTATTTCTATTAGTGACTAAACCCAAGAACTCACTGTATTACAACACAATTCTGCATTTTAATAATATACATAATAATAATATACATTTTTACTGCCCCCAGAGGTGGAGACTTGCAAGTTATGACTACTTGAGTAACTATTTTTAGAAATTGAGACTTGACTTGATAAAATGGACTAAGACTTGAAGGTCAATGACTTAGGACTTGACTCGGACTTGAGAAACACTGTTAACTCTGAATTCTTTCTATTCTGACAGTAATGATTCACACTAAGATCTTGTCAAGACATTTAAAAAGGATACATTAACTAAATTATTTTCTACGATTCTTATATACTCTATAAACACTCATATACAAATATACTATGACTTTTTAAGTACAATTTATCTTAAAGTCATATAAATGGCAAAAGTCTAAGCTATATTTGATACTTTGGTTTAAAGGCTTGAATTGACTTGAAGCTCAAAGCAGACGATTGGGACTTGACTTGGACTTATTGGCCAATGACTCGAGACTTGACTCGGACTTGAGGTCAAAGTCTTGGTTCCACCTCTGGCTGCCCCCATGTGTTTTAAATAATATTGGCCTATTGAATGATGTGATGCCATTTGAAAACGAACAAGTCTCCACTCTATTGTAAAATCGTGTATGTGTGTATGTGTTGCAGACTCGTTATCGGACCATCGCGGTGTACGCCCAGTTTGGAGGGAACCGCTGTGGTGGAGATCGTTCTGAGACCAGATCATGTGAGCCCACTAAATCCTGCCCCCTGGAGCAAGGCTGTGGGGACCGATTCCGCTGCAGATCAGGTATAAATCAAACTTATACACGAGTTGTACCTTTATTTATTAGTAGGCTGTGGGTTAAAAGCACATTATATAAACATTCAACGATTCACAGCAGCTTCTAAGATCAGATATTTCATTACAGGTCATTAAAGGTCCTATATTACACAAAATTGAGCTTGTGAGCTTTAAACCATGTTAAAATGTTTCTATACCCGGAGTTGTGTTTTGTTTCATTTACATGTTTGAGTAATTCTTTATTATTAGTCTGTCTGCATCTCCAAATCTCAAAATGCTCTGTTCCACCTTGTGACATCATGAAGCAGTAGTTTTCAAGTCAACAGCTACCTTTTTCTTTTTGTTTAGAGATTGGCAGTTTCAGGACTGAAATTATTAAAAGATTTTTAGTGAAGACATCTACTACCGGTCAAAAGTTTTCCACATTTTTCCAGTTATTTATTGCAGTTCAAGTCATGCAAGTCCAATGAAGAGCTTGAAATGGTACAACGGTAAGAACTGAACAGCCAGAGGTTAAAAAAAGATAAAAGATAACAAAACACAAGTCCAAGCTCTGCCAAAACTACCTCAGGAAAAAAGAACATGATGGTAAGTTTGAAACTATGGAGTGACCAGCACAATCTCCAGACTTAAGCCCCATCGAGCTGGTTTGGGATGAACTGGATAGAAGAGTGAAAGCCAAGCAACCTACAAGTGCCACACATTTATGGGAACTTTTGCAACAGACTTGGGAAGAACTTTCTGAAGAATATTTGATTTTTGTTGTAAAAAGAACGAGCCACGAGTGTGTTCAGCTGTTATATCTGCCAAAGGGGGACACTTTCATAAATCAAAAGTTTAGTTTTTTGTCAGCAGTAAACAGTGAACACTAAAAAACTGGAAAAAGTGTGGTGTACGGAGGTTAAAAACACGGTGGACCACTTCCTGTATTCTGTTTGAGAAGAGAAGAATTCAGCCTGAATATGCAGGGTTCTTGTGTTAAACGTGTGAATGAAACAAAACAAAACTCAAGATATGTTTTCGACGAGGAAACATCATTAAACAGATCAGAAAATGTCGCAGTATGGGCCCTTTAACATCAACACTCTTCACTCTTTTTACATGCTGCTTTCTCTCCTATAGAAAGCATAATCGACTTGTTCTGTCCTCAGGCATGTGCATCCCCCAGACTCTGATGTGTAATGGGGATCAGGATTGTGAGGAAGACAATGAAGATGAGAGTACATGTGAGAGGAAGCAGCACTTCGTCTGTGATAAGCAGAGGCCGCCACCCAACATCGAACTGCTGGGCACCGGGTAACACACTCACCTATAAACCCAGTGATGCAGAATCATGTATTAACATTAATGCCATTCATAATCACCTACAGAACATAAATCATAGGCTACAACACATGAACCAGGACTGAACCAGGACTAAACCAGGACTGAACCAGGACTGAACCAGGACTAAACCAGGACTGAACCAGGACTAAACCAGGATTGAACCAGGACTAAACCAGGACTGAACCAGGACTGAACCAGGACTGAACCAGGAGGACTAAACCAGGACTAAACTAGGAATGAACCAGGACTGGACCAGGACTAAACCAGGACTAAACCAGGATTGAACCAGGACTAAACCAGGACTGAACCAGGACTGAACCAGGACTGAACCAAGAGGACTAAACGGGGACTAAACGAGGACTAAACCAGAACTAAACCAAAAATGAACCAAGACTGAAACAGGACTAAACTGGATTTAAACCAGGACTAAACCAGGACTAGACTGGGAGTAACCCAGAACTAAACCAGTTTAGTCCTCCTGATTCAGTCCTGGTTCAGTCCTGGTTCAGTCCCGGTTTAGTCTTCCTGGTTCAGTCCTCCTGGTTCAATTCTGGTTCAGTCCTGGTTCAGTCCTGGTTTAGTCTTCCTGGTTCAGTCCTCCTGGTTCAATTCTGGTTCAGTCCTGGTTTAGTTCTGGTCCCCTCATGTCACAGGTCACTATAGAACAGTACTTGACTTTGTGAAGTTAAAATAAACAACATTGATGGGTTTACATTTGGTACACAACAACAGAAAGAAGATTTAGAATTTTGAACAAAATAGACCAAGATACTTCCTTATATGAAACTATCAGAGCGCTAAATGCATTAGAACAATACCATTTTAAAAAGTAATTGAAAGTTTACAGGTATGTATTCAGAAGCCAAATATTTTACTGCAATTTTACACTACATTCCTCCTTGATAAAATCTACTAGATATTATTTGTATTGACGACATAGAAAACAGTAACAAAAAAGAATTGAACACAGCAAATTCATGAGTGTTAATTCAACTCGTATATTGTTAATTTTAACACTTTTACCGTGTCATATGAGGTCCACAATATGAGTTAAAACTACACGTTCCAAAGTGTAGAAGGCTCAACACGGGTAAACTCATGTAACCACAATCCTCATAGTTGAATTTGACAATGATTAAGATTAGATTTTTTTTACACTAATGTATAGTGAAAAACTAACAACTCTATATTGCTTTGTTTTAACACTTTATTTTAGCATTACAATGACCTAATGTATTATGACGTAATACATTTACTTGAGTCACTATTTACAGATATTGTGCTTTCTTCCCACTGTGAAAATATCAGACATGAGTACTATTTCATGTTTCATCCTCGCAACTGCATTAACTTTAAATGACAAATTAGATGTTTTGTCCATTTACTCTTAACTTAAGTTACTTGAGGAGTAGTTTCCTGAATATTTTTACTCTTAGGTACTTAACACATTATTTGGACGAATACGTTTTACTTAGACTTGAGAAATATCTTTTTGAAGTAACGTTACTCTTAATTTAGTACAATTTGTGGCTTTTTTACCCAATTTTCATGGACATCAGTGACAGCAACATTGACTGTCACAGGTAAGTTAGCTTACTACTACTCAATACTACTACTAGTATTAGACCAAATATATTTAGTATTTTTATGAATTTAATTAACTGCAGAGTGTCCTTAAAAGGTAAAGTAATCTGACCAGGGGCATGTGAGAGCTCAGGTGGTTGGACTTGAGGCTTGTTGAGTTCAGTTCTGCTGAAAAACAAACAATATTAGCTGTTAGCTTTGCGCTGTTAGCTTAGGTTTGCTCCGGACGGTGAAATATGAAAATGTTACAAAAGCCCAAATCTGATGTAGTGTAATATTTTAAATAGACACTTTCTAAGTGTTTTTAGCTTCAGCTTTTGAATGAAATCTTATACTTTTACTTGTTTTTATTGTACACATTCTATTATATTCAGGCATATTTTTTAGGATTTCCAGTGTTTCCTCTGTGGGAGCCTCTGCATCAGGAGTGGAGGTCGGCTGCAGCTGCTGGGTCTGTCATGTGGGCTCCTGGTGGAGGGGTGGTGCTTGGGCCTCATGTGCCTGGGCTTCATCTCTCCCCTGGACCCTGTGGCGGTTCCTGGTAGTGGTGGACGTCTCTCTGCTCCCGGTGCAGACAGCTCCTCTGATGGTGCTTTCTCAACTGGTTCGCCTGTATTCAACCTCACATTTTATTATGTCCGGTTATGTATTTTAGCATGTTAGTGTGTGTGTGAGTGTGTGTGCATGTTTGTGTGTATGAGTGTGTGTGTTTGGGTTGTTTGATTGTGTGGGGGTTGGGTTGGTGGGTGGGTGGGTGATTGGAAATGTGGGACTGTTTTTAATCACTGTAAAGCACTTTGTGTTGCATTTTGTATGAAAAGTGCCTTATAAATAAAGTTTGTTTGTTAACGTTAACACTGTGAATCAACAACTACTCATTTTACAGCACTGTCATAGTTGAAATAACTCTTTGAGTATGTTGAATCTGTTAGCCGTGTTCTATCAAAAATCACTAGACTCAATCAATTTAAATTACAAAAATTTATTCCCCTGCCAATACAATTCTAATACAGAGCTCTGGGTCAAATCGCTGTCCCTGATGGCCTCCACTTACGGAGGTCTTACACCAGGCAATCTGACTCCCTGCCTGTCCCTCAACCCAGTTTATAAAACACAACAGTATGAATATGCATATAATATGTTGAGCAGGTTCACACCTTGAATCGTTCTTGAAGTGTCAGCATTTCTCCTTTGGGGGAAGTGACAACCCCCACCAAACCATTGTAGATCACACCAAGTCTTCTTAGATAACTCCAGCCTGGGTTATCTCCAAAGCCTTATCTGCAAAGGAATGTCCCTAAAAGCACACATCTGTTTCCCATTATTTAGGACACATAGAGCATTACCTTTAAACTTTAAACAATGTTCAACTCAATGTATAACTTCATTAATCAATATTCAAACCACCACTTGATACAGCCTTCAAATCACATCTGGATTTTCTTCACTTTACTCACAACGCCAGCACCGTTAATTTATCATTTTTGAATTTGCTGTGAACTCTTCATTTTAATTCAGTCCAGACAGATACAGATTTTGAAATGTTTTTATATTGTTGATTTAGAGTCGACTTAGCCACAGGAAAGAACAGAGGACTCGTCATCAACACCAAGAGCTTCGGAGGCCAATGTCGCAAGATGCACCATAATGCCTACAGACTACCCCAGAGCCTACTCAAGTACAATTTTGTGGTGGGTTTGTAAACAAGAGAACTATTTCAAACGAGAAAGACTTAAAGCCCTCATTTCATCCAGTAAATGTAATGACGACTCACTATTCCACAGAACTGACTCGTAACTTGGCCTAGAGGTGGGGAGGTGCTTGTCACCTTGGAGTTGTTGCAGCTTTGTCTGTTTGATATTCATGAGTAGAACATTTGAAGTTATACTATTTTGATAATCCACTGCCAAAATAGGTTTTAGTAGAGTTGAGTATTTGCTTCTTGCATGTTTTCTTGTATCTGTATCTTAAAGGTGCATTGTGCAACTTTTGTGAAGGGGTCTACAAACTCTTGATCTCCATGAAAATGTTAATGTTTGGTTTGGTATTATTATTATTATTACTATTATTATTATTATTGGTATGGTATTAAACGAATCTGTCTTGCATTTATTCAGTTACAGGTGTTATAGGTCAAAAACATACATTCTTACTGTGAGTGGAGACACCCTGTAATATACCTTTTTCACAATGGCTGCGATGTAGGGTAAATGAGTCTTACATTATTGCTTTTCTATGGCAAATACCTGTGGAAATGTCTTGCGTATTTTCCACTAGCTTCATAAATCAGCCCCATCACCAGATCTTCATCTAACAAGGTTGACAAAGGACAAATTCTGTCCATGAAGAATTTATCTACAACTATGATGATAAGAAAGACGAAAATGTAAAGGCGACTAGCATTACTGAACTGCTCCTGAGCAAAACTAACATTATGGTCATGAATAAAACATAAGTAATAAGTAATTCGTTAATAAGTAACTTGTGAACTCAGACTGTTTCTAGAATTAAAATTAAAAATTGATTTCCTGATGTAGACATTAGCAAAGACAGAGAGATTTGTGCAGTTCTAATGCTACAGATGTTCACAGATTACATGTCTAGCATTTCAACTGCACAAATCTCTTAGTAGCACTAATACTAGTTGCTGTTCGCCTTTACGTTTTTGTCTTTCTTACCTTGACATTTGTGGATAAATTCTTCATGGACAGAATATGTCCTTTGTCGACCTTGTTGGATGAAGATTTGGTTTGGTAATTCGGTTGGCAGATTTATGAAGCTGGTGGAAAATACACGAGACATTTCCACAGATATTTTGCCATAGAAAAGCATTAATGCAAGTGACGTTTACATTTCTGGCCATTGTGAAAAAGGTTCTATTTGGCTTGCAAGTCTCCACAGAGATTCATAAGTTTATGGCCATAACTGTGGAACATTGTAGGCACATCTCCATGGAGACACTCTCCATAAGCCGAGTTACTCAGTGCACCTTTAATATATCTCTATGTAACATTTTGTGACATCTTTAGTTGTAGTATAGCACCATATAACCTGTAATGTTCCACAGTATGGCTTTAAACAGACACATAAGAGAAACTAGCAAATAGAAAAGAGTGACGTAGACTCAGGTGGTGTTTAATAGAAAGAGATGAAGAAGCCTCGGTGGATATGAGGTTTTTAAATATGAATGACTTAAGAGGTGATTTAGTAGAAATGGTAGCAGGCTAAATTTGGCTGACAGTGAGTGACAGGTGGCAAGTGACAGGTGAATCTATCTTTTCTCGTGGAGGGTATGTCACCTGCTTGTCTCCATGGAGATGTTATTGCTATCTCTAGAAAGCCCCACAGTATAGTATTAAACTTAACTATCTCTTTGAAAACAAGCAGGTGATGCCACTGAGCTAAGGAACTGGCCAGATCTGTGGAGAGGAGACCCCGTTCACAGTGCGAATGCATGTTTCAAGGTGTTTCTGTTGTCAATAAAAACACCTGTAATTGGTTAAATGCAAGATAAGTTTAAAGCGCTATTGTGGAACATTCCAGGCAAAGCAATAACATCTCCACAGAGACAACTTGGAGGTTGAAGTCACATCATAGCTTTATACTCTGCAATATTTTCATGTCATTTATTGTTTGTTTGTTTGTTTGTTTAATTTGTGTTTTAGGTTAAAGTTCAGAACAATTTAAACGATCAGATGTTCCAGAGTGAATGGCACTACAGAAAGGATATTGTCAAAAGAGAGACGGTCACTGGGACAACTAAGGGGTACAGAAATTATGACTACCATGAGACCGATGATCGAAAACGGGTTTGTAAAATAGTGTAATAATAATCATAATAATGCATGTATATATAATAATCTATAATTCATCTATAATGAAACTCAAAACAATGACAAAAGACGTGATTAAAGTACATATGTTAGATTAGAGTAATACTAAAATTCTTCCCTAGTTTTTTAAGTTTATAATTTTCCTTCCTGGTTGGACACGGTTAGCAAATAAGACATGTGTAAAGGTATTTCCATAATCATTTTGTTTGTAAATTGTCCCTGCATTATGTTGGAGTTTTATGTTGATGACACTGGTGGAGCTATTCTGTTTTACAACTTTGTGTATTTTTGTACTTTTATTTTCAACTGCCAACTATGGAAACTATGAAAAATACTTACTACATTTACTATCCCACCAAACCAAGAAATAATTTGAAAAACATATAAATGTCATATATATCATACCCAGTGGTGGAATGTAACAAAGTAAAAGTACTAAATTACTGTACTTAAGTAAAAAATGGTGGTATCTGTCAGAGGTGGGGACTTGCAAGTCGTGACTTGGACTCAAGTCAGATTTGAATCACTATTTTTAGGACTTGAGACTTGACTTGATAAAATGGACTAAGACTTGGGACTTGACTTGGACTGCAAAGTAAATGACTTGGGACTTGACTCGGCCTTGAGGCCTATGACTTGAGAAGACTTGAGAAGCAGGTTTAAATTTGAGTTCTTTTTATTCTGACTGTAATGATTAACACCAAGATCCTGGCAAGACATTTAAAAAGGAAAAATTAACAAAAAAAATTTCTACAACTCTTATATGCTCTATAAATACTGATATATAAATATACTATACTTTTTTTTTGTATAATTTTTCTTAAAAGTCATATAAATTACAAAAATCTGTGTTACTTTGGTTTAAAGACTTGAAATTACTTGAAGTTCAACGCAGACGTCTTGGACTTGGAATTATGGGCCAGTGACTCGAGACTCGACTTGGACTTGCCTATATTTGACTTGGGACTTGACTCGGACATGAGGGCAAAGACTTGAGACTTACTTGAGACTTGCAAAACGACTTGGTCTCACCTCTCGTATCTGTACTACACGTTGAAAATTTGAGCAAACAAAAATATACAAATAAAAACAGCAACAAAAAAGCAAATTAAATGGATTCTACTGAAGAAAATTCATCACAAATCTTTATCAACATCTCTACATTTTAAGTAGTTTTATTAGAGCTCAAAATATGTATGAAATGCTTTTAAATTTTACTCTTTAAGTACATTTTTAAATGGGTCCTTTAATATTTTTACTTTGGTAGATTTTTTCATGTGATACTTTAACTTTTACTTGAGTGTTGTTTTTTTCTGTACTTTTAGTTAAGTATCAAAATCAAGTACTTCTTCCTCCACGAACCATACCAATAAACATATATATATATATATATATATATATTTATATTTATATATATATTTTTTTTTCAGAATTTCCATCTTTTGATCCTGAAGAATAACATTGAATTAGCCAGTTTCCAGGCCACATCTCCACAGTACATCCCTATAGCAGAGGAGTTTTGGAAGGCCCTCTCAAAGCTCCCTACAGTGTACAACTACGCAGCCTACAGAGCACTCATCTCCAGGTTTGGGACCCACTACCTATCAGAGGGGACACTAGGGGGCTCCCTCTCCGTCATCGTGAGACTGGATTCTGACGTGCAAATACACAAAAGTAAGTTCAATCCTCATTTTTGAATACATGTTATCTCATTGAAATCCATGTTATTTTGTTGGTAATGTTGCCAATTAATTCATATTAGAGGGGGGCCCATGTGAGACCTCTTGCCCAGGGCCCCCAAATTTCTTTTTGACGGGCCTGGTACGATGTAACATAATGGCAATATTGTGGTTATAAACGTATTTATTGACAAAAAAATCTGAAATTTTAAGCATCAAATTCTCAAAATTGTCCCCTAAAAGAGAAAAGTTGAAGCCACACTAAAAAGTTGAAAGTCATTTATTATGTGCTGATCTCTGTTATAATGTTATTTCCTCATCAAAAACATTCCTGGAGTTGTGTTTTGTTTCATTTGCACATTTTTAACAAACAAATCCTGCATATTTAGGTTAAGTTCTTCTCTCAAATAGAAAACACTCTGTTCCACCTTGTGATGTCATGTGGTAATACAGGTAGTGCTCCACTGCATTTTTCATCTCCATACACCTGCATTAGAATCATTTGTATAATTTCAGCCCTGGAATTACCTATTTCTACTGAACTAAAAGTAAAGGGTAGCTGTTAACTTCAAAAACTACCACTACATGACATCACAAGGTGGAACAGAGCATTTTGAGCTTTGGAGATGTAAACAGACTAACAATGCAACATTATTCAAACATGAGTGAATGAAACAAACCACAACTCCATGTATGTTTTTGAGGATTTAATAAAATTCTAATATGGTTTAAAGCTCACAAGAGTCAGTTTTGCGTAATATAAGACCTCTGTGTACTTACAGCAGACAGAAATATGTTTAAAGTAAATTAATAAATTAGATTTGAATAAATTTTGAATTAAAATTCATTCATTCATTCATTTATTTCTTTGTTTGAATCAGTTGGGCATTAACTTGTTTCTTTTTGTCACTTGTTTCTACAGTCACTGAGATAGCTGAACATAACGAGTGTGAAAGAACAAAGCACTACTTTTTGTTTTTCCCCATATATCGTGAGTCCTGTGATCGTGACTACAAAGACCTCTCCAGAAAGCCTAACAGTGAGCACAGCACTGTACATTTACAATATATTTAGTATTAGGGTTAACATTATTGTTCACTATGGTGTCTTTCATTTAACAGTATTCAACAAGACCGGTTTTGTGGGCAAAGTAACACCAGAAGGGGGCAGTGACGCTCTGATTGCACAGCTGCAGAACATGGAGATCAGTACACCAGAAGCTAACTGGAGGGCCTACACAGACTGGGCCGACTCTGTGAGGTCATTCCCCAAAGTTATTAATTCAAAGGTGAGCTGTTTAAAATACTTTTGTCTTTCAGGGTGTTTGTAGGGGTGTGCATTGTTTCTAATCTGGCAATGGCATGTTACCATTCACAAAATATCCCAACTGATACTTTGCAGTGCCAGTGATATGATTCTCTGAGGTTGTGCATGTATGTCTATGGCAGAATGTTAGAATGTACCATAGTGACACATTGCACCTATTAGCAAAAAGAGACAAATCAGGGGATTTACTAGTCTAATCAATATGTAAATACTTTAATAAGACAAACATACTTATTATATTGTTTTTTAACGTTTTTTTTTTTTACGTAATTCTACTAAATTGTGTCATCTGTGTTTTTAAGTTAAGTTCACTTATACCCACAATAGTTCCTTTTAATTGAGAAATATTTGTTAAAATTACACAAAAAGAAAAACATGTTAAAGCAACTTGACATAATTGAGTTAGTAGAACTAGTTCTAAAACTTTGAGTATACGCAACTTAATCAATTTAGTTACTTTGAACACTCAGGTTTATTTACAACAGTGACTAACTGAAAAACTGCCAGCTAATGGTAACTAACCTGTGACTATAATTTTATTTGAGAGGATCTTGCTTAATAGGATAATTCAGCTCCCCTCTAGAGTAGTCTGCTTTTTATGGTCATATTGTCTTAAAACAAAGCTCAGATTAAAATCTAACTAACTTCAGACAGAGCAGTGCCTCTAGTTAGCTCACACACCCAGGGCATGTTGATGGCATCAGATATAACTGATCAATACTAACAACAAAGACCATTTTATAAGAACCATTTTGAGACCAGAAAGAAAATGCATGTGCTATATTAGTGTACTGTTTTATCTATTTTGATACTATTTTTAATATCAATTAGTATCAGAATTTCAATACTTTTACAGCCCTATCCTTTATGGACAATACATTCTGAACACCCAGACTGGTACTGATACTGCATGACTCACAGTAATGGGCTGCTTTGTTAAAAATGAGCAAGTTCTGTTTCAAAAAGGAAGACATCACTGGTCACTTCTTATAAATATAATAACTATTAGAAAATAATTGCATTAAAATAATAAAACTAAAACTAAAGGATTTGAGGATATAATGTTATTTCCTTTAAAAATGTATTTTTCAGCTGAGACCTCTCTGGGAGCTGGTGAAGGAGGTCCGCTGTGCCGGTGTGAAAAAGCTGTACCTCAAAAACGCCATAGAGCAGTACCTGTCCGAGTCCCACCCGTGCCACTGTCTGCCCTGTGAGAAGAACGGCATCGCTGTCATGGACCACGACGTCTGCAAGTGCGTCCCCAAACCCGGATCTGAGGCTCAAGACTCTGAACGTGGTGAGTCAAAAGCACACTCTCCTCACAGTAAGAGGGTCCTGCGTTCAACTCCCAGACTAGATCAGAATGCCTGTCTGTGCGTGTGTGCATGCTCTTCTTGTTTAGTTTAGTTCAGTTTAGCTTCTGTCGTTGTGCCTAAAACAGGAGCAATAGACAGTGAGATACTCAAAGTAAACTCAAGGTCTGGAGCTGCGACCACCGTAGAAGGTATGGAGGATTCTAGCAGGCTCATGACTCGACTATTTCATTCACATATGCCGCCATAGCAGACTGCTGGTCTGTTGGGCGTATACAGATTCACACACCTGAGTAAACAAGCTGCATGAGGTGGAGGTAAAGACGTAACACCTCCACGACGCAACAGAGGCTCCCACAGACACAAAGTATGGGATGGATGGGGCCATTATTCACTGCACAAACTCAACCATAAAAATCTATCAGTGAAGACAGTCGAAGATAATACATTCTGGTCACGCACCGCACACGCAGCTTCTGTATAAAAAGAGAGTGGTCTTCTGTGTTTCATGAGCAGCACTGTAAATCCATTTGAAATCTGTGTTGGAGATACAGGTGTAAACTCTTTGCCCTGATTTTTTCTAAATCTAAACATTTTAAATTCATTAGGCCATAAGAACTTAAACTTGAAAAGAGGAAAATAATGAGTTGTTTCCACAGCACCAGTAATAAAGAGACACACTTTACCTCTGGCCCTGACTCTCGTATTCCACAGAACAGAGCGTTTCACAGTTGCCCATGTCCATCAAACTGGCTTTCACACGTCAGTCTCACGTCCTTAGAAAATCCTGACCACGGAGTCTGAGGGCTCCAAACATCACGCATCGTACTGGTAACAATGCACCGTCCGTGTGCGCAGTGTCCGCATTCATCTCCTGTTATCCCGCTTTTGTTGTTTGTTTCTGCTTCAGGTACTCCATAGTCTTCCTGGGATTCGGCAGCATTATGTACTGTAGCATGTGTTCTTTAGTGATTTGGTCGTGTATCTTATTATGCCAATGAATATATCGAAAGACATAGACATTACCATAAATACAACCACTCTTCCGAGAAATGTGCTGTTCAAAATTTGTGAACATGAAAATGATGCTGTACCCTTTTACCTTTTTAAATAAAAAATATAATAAATATAATAATAATAATAATAATAATAATAATAATAATAATAAACTATACTAAAACTCATCTAATGTAGAAGGCACAAGGATACATTCCACCAAGGACAATAAAGTACTGTCATACCCCGAAGTATTCACAGGTAAGAACCAGACGCCTTGATCTCCTCAAATGTGCTTTATTAACAAGCTGCTAGTTTTACGACGCTGAGCTCTTTAACACCCCGGACTCTCAGAACTGAGCCCTACTTCTTGAAAATCCAAAACAGAAGTCTAATTCTCGGCTTACACTTCCCCCAACCACAACAGAGATAAAAGGGAATCAGGTGAACAGTAGAAACTACAGAGCTCTTACTATACCTTAGAATAATATAAATAATAGAATAACATTGTAACTGACCCATATTTAGCTTTTAAAATCCATAGCAAGGCCCCAAAATTTATCTTAGGTTCAAGTATCACAACTTACTCAAATTAACTTTTCACTTTTATAAAAATATTAACAAAATTATTTATCTGGGATCTAAAATAATTTGTCACATGTTTTGGTCAACATACAGCCACATTGCTGGGTTTCAGATGATATGTCACATTATATTTTTTAATACAGATGGGGGCAGCTAAAATGAATATTGTTCATTTGCAGATTTGTGTTGTAATACAGCATGGTCATGGTCATGGCAAGGTAAAATGTAATCAATTGCTGGGTTTCAGATGACGTCACAGTATTTTACAGGCCAATATTATTTAGTACAGATGGAGGCAGCTAAAATTAATATCGTGAAAGTCGTTAAGGGGTCTAGACTCTAGTCAGTAAGAGAAATGACCAGGTTCAACATTTGTTACTTTTAGATATTTCATAATAAAGTACAATGTAATCAGTAGGGAAAATGTTTCTTGACCCCCATCATCACATCATCACATTCTAGAAACTGAAAAATCTATAACACTCTTCTATTTCCATTTTTGCTCATTAGTCAGTTCAAAAGGAGCAATCTAATGCATACAGACAATGAGACAGGGTCAAAAATGATTGGTATCGAATATCTGTATTGAATATCAGCATCGACCAAGAGAGTTGTTGATATTGTTATTGGCCAATACCGATACCGGAACTGACACATCACCTCACCCTTACACCATGTCATTGCTTTCTGGTCGATGTACTTATTTTCATGTTTTATTTGTTGTGATTTGTTTGTGTTTTGCTAAAGTGGAGGTTGATGGCTGTTGGTCATGCTGGTCTGCGTGGTCCTCCTGCTCTGGGGTCCTCCTGCTCTGGGGGACGTAAAACCCGAAGTCGCTCCTGCACTAACCCAGAGCCGAGGAACGGAGGACAAAGCTGCATCGGAAAAGCTACAGAGACCGGAGACTGTGATGATGAAGAACTGGACTATCTCAGGTCTGTTAAAGAGCCTACTTTATATTACACAAAATTGACTCTTGTGAGCATTTAGTTATGTGTATGTTGTTATTTCCTCAAAAACTACATCTCTAAAGTTCAAAATGCTCTGTTCCACCTTGTGATGTCATGTAGTGGCAGTTCTCTCAGCTACCTTTTACCTTAGTTCAGTAGAGATTGGCAGTTCCAGGGCTGTAATAATCTAAATGCTTCTAGTGAAGATGTATGGAGTTTAAAAACAAATGGAGCACTTCCTGTACTTCCATATGACATCACAAAGTGGAGCTGAGTATTTTCCATTTGAGAGAACTTACTTTAAATATGCAGGATTTGTGCGTTAAATGTGTGAATGAAAAAAAACAAAACTCCAGCGGGTATGATTTTTGATGAGGAAATAAAATAAAAATACATCAGAAAATAGCATATTATGCAATTTTTGAGATATCTCGTGTTAAATTATGACATATGTTGACAATTATTATACATTTAGATAATTTGTTTACATTTTTTGTTCTAAAATAGCTTAAAAATAGAAACTGCAGAAGTGACAACCTCCTCTTCATAGTAAAATGTCTGTACATTTCACTTATTTTATTGTTGAAAAACTGACTATGGGATTATTTTTACCCCTATAGGTATATTTTTTTGAATACATTTTTGAATAAGGTACAGAGCTGTGGGCGGGGACAGGGGATGGGGAAAACAGAGGTTTTGAATGCAAGACTATACAGAATAGCTAAAAAATGAAGGGATGAAATGAAATACAACTTTGGGTGAGGTAATGATGAGGGAACACCATTATAACATGTTTAAAAACTCATAGACAGTGTCAGTTTTACACAGTGCTGTGCGGGGCCAATGAACCTGTCAACTCTGTAAATGTAATGTAAATTTCTTGTTTCTTTTTCTCATACAGAAACTTTGAACCAGAATGCTTTGACTTCTCCCTCTCACCCAAGCTGAAGTGTGAGCCTCCCCCAACTCTAATCAACGGCTACATCCTGGTAACCACAAAAAATTGACAACAGTTTCTAAAGGATAGAAAATTTACTACAAAGCACATTTTTGAAGGGTCCATATTACGCTATTTTCTGAGGAACATAGATGTGAAAATAACGTAATATGGGCCCTTTAAAATACTGAAATCTAAATACCATTATATACCCTTTATATGATGATATAAATTCATACTTATAACGCTAAATCTATTTTAACACATGTCCGTGTGTGTTGTGTTAATCCACTTGTTTTTGTGTGTTCTTGTCTTTTTATGCATTTTCTGTCTACAAACAACATTCCAACCTAATCCTTTGAGTGTGTGTGTTTAGGACCCCAAAGACACATACTTGGTCGGGCACCGGGTGGAGTACAGGTGTATAGCAGGCTTCCATCTCTCTGGTCCTTCCATATTTGAGTGCACTGCTGCTCAGACCTGGTCCGGCACACCTGATGTCTGCCAAAGTAAATGTCTCATCTCACTTAAGCATATTACATTAGATATTTATAACACAACTATTATTTTACACTACCCTTGATACTCCATTAAGTATATTATATTAAGTATAATTATATTGTATTTAGGGTTTAGGTTAGAAGATAGATATAAATGACAGTAATTAAAGGTGCACTGTTTTGCACTACTTTTGTGATGAAGGCTCTGTCACCTGCTTGTCTCTATAGAGATATTATTGCTTTACCTGTAATGTTCCATAGTATCACCTTAAAAATACACTAATTGAATAAAAGCAAGAAAGATATGTTTAATTTAATGCAGGGATGGCCAAACAATGGCAAAAAATCAGACCATTTTTATTGGCCTTTTGTTGAATTTGCTCAGTTACTCAAAAGGAGAAAGTCTTACAGAAACTCAAATTCTAGCACATCACACTGCATTGTGATACAGACCTAGAGTCAGGGGTGTCAAACTCAAATTCACAGAAGGCCAAAATTAAAAACTGGGACTAAGTCGTGGGCCAAACTAAATATTTATTGAAAAATTTCAACAACATCTGCATGTTTTCTCTTCTTTCGAGATGTAATGTTAAACCTTTTCTTATTAAAATAAATGTTTAATAATAAATTTGTTTAAACACTGAATCCAGAACAAGCATAATATAAAATAATAACATTTTAAATAAATAACGTCTCTATAGCCTATCTGTAGTCGGCGGGCCAGCTCTAATACATATTTGATATGATCTCGTGGGCCAAATAAAATTATATCGCAGGCCAAATTTTACCCCCAGGCCTGAGTCTGACATGTCTGCCTTAAGTTAATGTTTCAAACCTTACTCCAGGTACAGTGGCTCTGTGAAAGCTGTGTGAAATCCACTCATCTTAATGAAGTACTGTATTCACGACTAGGCTGCAGCACTTAGATTTTGAATTTGCTCCAGTGTGTGGCCCTTGATGATAAAAGTTTGAACACCTCTGATTTAATGTCATACTGGAATATTATAGACTAAGCAATTGTATCTCTAAGGAGAATAGCAGAAAAGTTACATAGTGCACCTTTAATATCTCAATTTTTTTTGTTTTAGCCCGATGATATCTGATGTTTTATCCTGACCACATGCTGACAATATTATGCAATTAAACAGAAAAGAGCTCATATGTGCCTGAAAATGTCTTGGTTCAGGTTCAAGTATTACACAAAACATGAATGGACATTTCATATGTGATGTTTGTGATTATACTGATGACGCTGTGAGTTTGTTTAATTTTTATTATGAATCAACTTGTAATAACACGTAACTGTAAAAAAGCTGTTACACAGTCCTTTTAAATTTACTTAATTAGGTAATAACTATGTAATACCTGTATTTCTTTCCCTTACAGTATCAAACTGCATGATGCCCACACTAGCTGCTGATGTCCTGGTATCTCCAGATAAGTCGAGTTATGACATTGGAGATTCTGTGACTTTGTCGTGTCCAGAGGGAAAATATCTGGAGGGAGACAACACCGCAATCTGCGACCCCAGCCTCAACTTCTCCCCTGACCCCACCGAAGTCACCTGCAAACAAGGTGCACTTTATGCATGAATAGTCTGTCATGACATTACAGGTGGGTCTAGAAGTACTTGGACAATTCATTTTATTTATTTATTTATTTCATTTTAATTACAATAAATAAAAATATGTTTTTTTTTTTTTTTTTTTTTTTTTTCTTTTCTTAAAAGAACAGTGTTTCCTAAGACTGAAATACTAAGTGCCAAAAATTTCTTTTTAATTTTCCCACAGTGATTTCTAAGAAGTCCCGTGAACCAGTGAATCCTTCAGGGCAGTGTAAAGTTTGGGAGAAAGACGTCAGGGGCAAGTGTGTGTGTAAGCTGCCCAATGAGTGTGGGTAAGCACTGTGTATGCTTGTGACTTGGTTTATTAGCTTTTAGCTATATCAAAAACATCATTCACATGTCTTCAAGTCTTGCTGATTCAAAGTCATTTTTCAGCTCAAAAATATTCCAAAATAAAAGCATTTTTATTGCACTGAAGAACTTGAAAAACATGCAAAAAAAATGTCTTACTGTGAGTGGGCTTGCACTTCCACAAACCTGAGTCTGGAGAATTGAAATGTTGTTCCATTGGCTATATAATCTTCCACAGTATGGTATAAAACTCCTCAATCTCCATGGTGAATATTCTGAAGTATGGATGTATCTTTCCATTTCCATGGAATTTGACACTTCCAGGGAGTTAAACAGTGTTGCTTTAAAGCTGTGTTTCTCCAGACCTCAAATTGCCTTGAGTGATATTGTTACTTAGAAATCAAGAAATGCTCCTTTGTGCTTTTAAAGTCTTTCAGCCTTCAACTCATTTCAGTTGTATAGTGCCCTATGCATTATTTAAGATATAAAATATGGGATACCAATCCCTGTCCGAAAAGCTCTCATGTTATTTGCTAACTGTTTTTGGGTGTGTTCAGCCCGTCTCTGGAGCTCTGTGCGTCAAACCCGGTGATCGGTCCCATGGTTCTGACTGTGTGTAAGTTGCATGCTCTGAAGTGCATGAAGAAGGCGCACGCTGTAGCAGAGAACAGTCTGTGCACGTGGCCCGTGCGCTCTGCTGACTCAGGCTGTTCCAACTGTCACCCATGGGAGACCTGTGATGGTGAGTGTCCCACCTATTTGTGTCAGAGCTCATTTTGTAGAGTAATATATATATACTTGTCACAGTTTTGTTTTGTAAACATATTTTAATATAATTTATTCATTTCAATCACAGAGGCCCAAACTCTACATGCATCATGCACACAAACGATGTCTCAAATGTGTCCACTAAAACTAGAACAAAAGTAGAAATCATTATAACACTGTGCTTAATTAGCCTTAACAAAACATGAACAAAGATTAACTCATAATGAACAAGTTTATTAGGCTTATTAACTACTTAATTAATATTCCTGAATTAATATTTATTTTAAGATATTAATTAAGTAGCCTACCATAAGCCTTAATTACTCTTAATAAACTATTTGCTTAGTATAAGCCTTTGTTCATGCTGTATTAAGGCTAACTGAGGTGAAGTTATAATGAAGTATTTCCAACTAAATATAAATTGGTTGTCAAATTAACACTTCATGTAAATAAAGGCTCCATATTATGCCATTTTCTGATCTATGTTATATTGTTTTTTCCTCATCAAAAAGATACTTGGAGTTGTGTTTTATTTCATTCATACATGAATTAACAACATCATAGCATGACTAACAGCTCACAAGAGTAAATTTGGTGTAATTTTACTTTTAATAATCGGATTTGTTGCTTGGCTTTTCCAGAGCAAACCAGTACATGCAGCTGTAGGGCCTCTGCAGACTGCTCCTCCCCAGGTCTGAGCGTGTGTGTGCGGGTGGGCTCTGACTCCGACCCCCTGACCCTGAGCGAGTGTGAGGCTGGGCTGCGCCGGTGCAGAGGAGAAATGGTCACTGTGGTGGACATAGATCCGTGTCCTCAAAACTGAAAACTGCTGTATAATCTGGTGCTTAAAATTATTTACCATTCACTGATTTTTCTACTGTTTTCTACTTGTTATGACTTTATTCTTTGGTAAACTTAATATTAGGATAATCACAATTACAGTTACATTCTTTTTTTACTGTCACTTCTGCCTCAGTATATACAAAAGTGCATTACGTGTGATCAAAATTGCAACAAAACTAAGTGATCTATGTCATTAAGTAACCAAATATACCATGTCTGAAAGCTTTTATATTTTTGTTTTCATAGTATTTGTCTCCATCTTGTGGCCAATTATGCACATTAACTTCTTCAGTGGTGGAACAATATTAAGATAATTACAACTAATTACTAAAACTTTATTTTCCATACATACATATACATATAATTAAAGCTCTAAAATATGAAATGTAATACGCAGATGCCTTAATGTAGTTCAGTACATAATTAAAGACACTGAAGCACATTTTATGTTGTTTTTTTAACCTAAGCTGAGTATTTTTACAATGTGTATCTACTCTAGCTCTTATGAAAAAACTATATATGATTAATTATACTTGATGATGATTACTTTGCCTGTAATGTTCCACAGTAGAGCATTAAACTTATCCTGCATTTATTCAATTACATTTTCACTGCTAAAAACACTGAAAAACTTGCGCTTGCTCTTACAGTGAGCAGGGTCACCTCCCCACAGATCAGACCAGTCACTTGACCTGGTGGAGTCACTATTTTGCCTTGAAGATAATGCCATATTGTGGAACATTCTAGGCAAAAGTTGCACAGAGTTCCCTTATTGCAGCATGTTATAATGATACATGAATAACTCCACACAGTCAAATGTAGTTTTTCATAACAAAAGTTTATTAACAATGTAAAATGACCTATCAGCATTGACTACGGTACCTTCAGCGTGCCCTACACAGACGTCACTACCTTTTGAAGCTAGAGCCATGCTGCCCGCCCCGTAAGAGCCAGGCCCTCCGCTCACTCCCCCTGCTCACTCCCCCCGTACCCTCCTCTTCTCACTCTGGAATAATAGAGAGCATTGCGTAAAGATTATGTTTATATACACAAATCTAATGTCTCGATTTATACATAGATATCGTGTGCAAAGTCTTTTCATGTATTGTATCATATATTCCATTGTTGAAGCTGAAAAGTTAAAGTTGGGTATAGGTTCTTGGTTCATGGAAGACTAAATTAAGTACATTTAAGAGAAAAACAGCAACTAACAGAAAGACCGCATTACACGACAAACTCCCTCAGCTCAGAGAGGATTTTGTGATCCAGGTGAGACGCTGAGTTTCCACGGACAAAAACAAACAAGAATATTCCCTTTTTTTAAACATGAATCTTTGTATCATTCATTCAAGACTTTAAGGAGGTAACCGGACACCGACCTCTTACATTGGACAAGCAAGATTTGGGACTTAGTTTACCAAAAAAGAGTTGCAAAGTATCTTAAAATATAGGTTCATGACTTTTCATTACATTGCAATTACAATTCTTTGTATTACAAAATAAAATTAGAAAATGGGCAGCCTTTAAAAAAAAGAGAGAGATAGAGAGATTGGAAAATGGCAGTAATAGATTGGTGGGAGACACACGTGGTGAAGGATTGTGGGTAATGGTGTCTTTGTGGCCCTTAGCTGGTTACTAGGCAACAGAGGCCGAAGAAGCGCCTCTTCCTCTGTCGGACCAGTGGGTAGGGAGTCAGGTTCAGCAGGCTGCTGTCATCTGCACGGGCATAGCACAGGGTCAGACCTCAAGTGCTTTATATAATGCTAAATATAGTGTTAAAAAGTACTATACCAAAGTACTTTATATGTACTCTAAATACTGTGTACTTTAGATGCACTTCAGTGTACTTTGAATGTAGTGCATGTATGTATTGAGTGGAGTACCTTGGTTCTTCAGTGGTAAAGGCATAGTCTCCCTGAGTTTACTGAGAAGGTTCTTCATCTCCCTCATATCCCTGAAACACAGATACCAACAACACAAATGTTACGTTCAGTTTGTGGTGATGTTTTACTTGAGTTTGTTTATACAGTGAACTACCCATCAATCTCCTCCAATTACTCATAAACTGCAATTACAGTTTTGAAACCAAGGCTACGTTCAGACTGCAGGGTTTAATACTCAATTCCGATTTTTTTGTGAAATCGGATGTTTTTGCGAGGTCGTTCACATTTCCAATTGAATGCGACTTGTCTGTGACTCCAGTGTGAACGGTAAACGGCCCGAAAGTGTCCCGCATGTGTACTGCAGGACACGATGACGTCAACCTCATGCGTCAACTGCAGCAAGCGTGCTCTGTGTTTACGGAAGTTGTCCAAACATGGACGCGAGCACTGAGCACCTGGCGATTTTACAGCTCCGGCTTCCGCCTGCTTCAGCGCAGAATAGTGATGTTTGTCGCTTGTTGATGACGTGTAGGTCGGATGGATGCGCTTTGGCTGTTCAGACTGAAGTCGCATGTCAAAAGATCGGATATGTATCGGTTTCAGGACAACATATCCAAGTGGCCTAGGTCGCATTTGAAAAAATCGGATCTGTGCCATTCAGACTGTCATTAAAAGATCGGATACAGGTCAAATAGAAGCCAAAAAATCGGATTTGGGTCACTTCAGGCTGCAGTCTGAACGCAGCCTAAGTTATCACTTTACCATTATGGACATACATGTCCATAAGGTTAGGGATAGCCTTTGTTGTCCCCTCAGGAAAGTTTGTCCTCTGCCTTTGACCCATTCACCAGGGGGACCCATCTTTTACCTAATAATACTCAGCATATCCTATGTGTACCAACTGGTATTTTTCTATTTGTAATAGCCTGATAAACAAAGTGCTGACAGAGTGCCCGTGTAGTACTGACTTTTCGATGTTGTCGATGTCAGTGGCGAGCAGCCAGCAGAGCTGAGGACAGTCTGTGGGGGAGGAGGAGGTGTCCTCCAGGATGGGGATGTCCGAGCTCTCGTCCAGACGAGTGTCCAATGCGATGGGCCCACACGGCTCTTTACCTGCACAGAGACATGGATCTGTATCTGCACACAGGCAGGAGCACTTACGAACACAAACTCTATTCATACTCATGCCTTTAATGTAGTCATGTGTTGTAGTGCAATGTGTGTCCAGTAGGGGCATCATAGAGCACATGTGTTGTAGTACAGCTTGTGTCCTGTGGGGGTGTCTGACCTTTGCGGTGCAGTTGCAGAGAGCCGAGCAGACACACAGACTTGAGCATCTCAGTGATGTACATCTCCAGACAGCACTGCAGCTGGATGAAGAGCCGACAGATCTCCGGGTGGATCTCTCCGTCCTCTGGCCTAAACACATGTTTAAATGGAGTTTAAAAAGACTTTTAAAAGCTTTTAGTTGTGTTATTGTGGTGTTCTCTTATCATTAGTATAGTCCCGAGTCCTGCAGTTGAGATATGAATGCTCAGAAAATGTCTGTTTTCACCTACCCCATATCCCCACCCACAGCTCTATATCTGTATTTGATTGCAGTTATTCAACAGATTCCGACCCCAGGTCAAAATATGGATTGAGAAATATCACACAGCCTTTTTCAACAATAAAAATGCATAAAGAAAAATCTACAGCTCGAAATTTTCTAATGAAGAGACATGGCCTATTAGGTCAGCACTTAAACAGAAAGTCAATGAACATTTTGTTGTTTAAAAAAATATGTATATGTAAATACCTTTAAAAAAGCATAATATAAAAAAAGTGTGATACAGTGACCTGAACAGTAAAGCTATGAAGTACTTAACAGAGCATTGTAACTGTACTAACCCAGATGCTAATGCAGAAGCTTCTGTATAAAAACAGTATCGTTGAAAAGGAACTATTTTCATGTTAATATTTGTATTTTTCTGTATAGGACACTGAGTTGAAAGTTGAAAAAGTAGTGTGTGTACTCCAGCTAATACCAGTATTTATCTGTGCTCCTTCAGGTAGTAAATGAATGTCAGTTCAATTATTTGCTAAATTTAGTAGTAAATTGAATTCACATTTTGTCCTCCTTTGGAGTAGACCCCGTGTAGTCCTATTTTAAGACCTGGTTTAGTCCACATTTAGACTTATAATAGTCTGGTTCAGTGGTACTCAGAAGGCCAAATATTTTCTTAGGTAGTACATGCTGTGAACAAACATGTACTGTGTACATACATTATTAATAGTCCCTTTTTAAATATTGTAAAGCACAGATATCAGTACAATTGATCGTAGAAAACATTTTAAACACAATAAAAACAATCATTAAAATAGACAGATAACAGATAATAAAGAAGCTCTTTGTTAATATAAAACATAATTTAGCTTGAATGTTCTGTAACACTTGGGTACCACTCTTTTGATATATAGACACAATAACATCTATTCAATGATTTCCATTTTGTTCAAATTTATTTATTTTTTTCCATACAAATAATCAATTTCATTACAAAAAAGCAACATCTTTAAGCTTTTACAGCTTTGTTCCCTGCACTCCTGACTGAACATGGCCTATATGAAACAAAGTTACTTCTGACACATTTATCTTGTGATTTCTGTGCGTTCCTGTTTACAGCTGTGATCGTGTCAAAGTGTCACGCACATGTGCTGGCTCCGCCCTCTGCACATTAAATGGTAATATATGAACTGCATGTGAGGCCCATAGCACACTATACACCACACTAGAGCAGCAAATGAATTATTGAACCAGAAAATAGGTTACAGCTTAGAGTGCCTCTCACATCAGGGCAGGAGGGGGAAAGTGACCCTGTGTTTGCGGTTGGATAGAGTTATTTTGCTATTCAATGCAGATTTTTATATTCTAGTTTAAAAACGTATATTGAATCCTATGGCTTTTTAACCCAAAACATGCACAAATTGTAAAAGTCTTCCAGTTAAGGTAGTCCTGACCAAGCCTAGCTCAAGATCTAACCCTGACACGTTTAACCCAGAGTGGCTTTGAAGCATGGGTCAAATGCAGAAGACAAATTTCTCTATAGGGACAACAAAGTGTATTTTAACCTTATTTCCTGCTAATGTTCTTGTAGTTTGCTGTCACACACTGACGTTTCTCCTTAGGTCGGATAAACATTTTGTTATCTTAATTCTGGAAAACCTTTAAATACATTTCCGTATACCTAATTCCAGTTGCATTAAGAATTTGAATACACAACTTTTACTGTACGTTGAGGGCAGTGATACCATAGGAGGTGATATTGGCTGCTCATTTCATTTCAGCTATTGTTGTGTTCTTTGGCAACACATTTTACTAACATTGCCTAATCCCATTATAGAATTTCGAACTAATTTTGTGCCATTATGGGCCTCCAAAAGTAAAATTCTACTTTAAATTATACGTTTGACGTCAGATCATTTAGGAGATTTCAACAAGAAGTCATAGGCATTTTGGAAGATAATAGAATGCAGAATATATATTTTCACCTAGAACAAACACAATTAACTTTATAAATAGCTTCACACTTTAAATTAGGATTACTTCTTACTAAAACTTAAATTTTATTGATGCACAAGGGGAATTACCTGGACACAGTAGCTCACACATCACAAAATATCATAATAACAAAGAGCAACAATGTAAATGGTAATAATAAAATCAAAATAAAGTAAAGCATAATTATATAAATGTACATGTACAAGTAAAAATAAAAAGTATACAATCTCCTATCCTCCTTAAATACTGATCCAGGCTAAAGCAGTAGACAGTGTTTTGTATCAGGTCTGTACAGTGCGCTATCTTAAACACATGTGCCTAAAATGGAGGTACTTATGCTAATAAGATGTGCACTTTGGTAAATTTAGTTATGACTGCAGGCGCTGCTGTGGGGCCAGTTGTTCAGGCTTTTAACTGCAGGAGAATCAATGTTTCAGCACCACGGAGAGCGCCGCACCTTTCACTGTGGCTAATCCTGGCTCTTCTATAATATCTCAAGTTTATTTTTATTTTGCATTTGAGTATTTATTTATTTATATGTATGTATCTTTATTTATTTCAAATCCTGGATAACTTATCTTGGCATGAGGCAAATGACTGAACCTTTGGGAAAAATTGATAGCTCAAGGTATTGTAGTTTCGGTGCTGTTTCTTCAGTCATTATCATAAGACTAAAGCATATTTATTAATGACTTATTTCCTACTGGCTGCACTAAAAGAGCAAAGGATTATTTTCTATAGAGTTATATTTTATTAGTAGTATTTTGTTTTGTTTTGCTTTAACTTATTTTTATCATATTGCAGCAAAACAATGCATTTGAGGTGTATATATGCAGAAGTTCAGTATTTTCAGACCAATTTTGTGAGCTACAATTGGTAGTAAATAGTAAAGAAAGTATTTTACTATTAATTAAAATAGACACATTTAAAAATAAACTCTATTTTCAACAAGTCCCTGGTGCGGCGCTGTCCGTGGTGCTGAAACAGAAGTTCCCCAACATTTGACTAGTTGTCTAGGCTCAGATGATTTGCTGATATTTTACATTTCTATATATGTTTCACTGTTAGTATTTATATTGTGGTCTGGATTGACAAATATGGAAACATGAAAAGTGATCTGGATTAGTGATGAGATAAAAAGAACATTTGTGGTAAAGTAAACAAACCACATAATCAGTACAGGAATTGCTTGGTTTCAGATTACAACCGAGTTTGATAATATTAGAAACAGATGGAGGGCTGGGCAAATGTCGATGTCCATTTTTATTGTTGTAATATAGCAAGGAGCTTTGTTGTTTATTTTTTAAACGTGTTATGGTATTATTAACAGGTCAATGTACAGTCACATAATGCCCAAGGCCAAAGATGCTAGTACCAGATTTTACTTTAGGATGTTGATTTCCATCTGTAGTCCTTATGGATTTTGTTTTTGTACATTCGATACTTTAACTACTTACTGTATTGTACTTTAGCCCTTTTATTCAACTATAGAGTTCATTTCAACTGGTCTATTTTTGTATCATTATTTAGATAGCATAATATATTTGGTTTTCATTTCTGCCCTTGTACTTTGCCATTGTTGCACTGGAATTTACCCATTTTGATCGTATCTTGTATCGTTTCTATAATAATGATGAACAAGTCATAAACTAAGGTAACCATCAGTTTTTGGGAGATACATTATTGGAGTAGTTTAATATATTTGATCTTACACAACAAGAACTGTAATGAAGAACATTTTGGTTTACAGTAACGTTATCCTTTGTGTGCATTAATAGTTCTACATTGTTTTGCATGGTCCTTACCCTGAAATAAGCGAGAGGCTGTGGTGTGCAGCACGTGCCATCTCGCAGCCTTTGGTCCTGGTCTTGAGCATTTCAGCGCGCAGAGACGGACAGTCCACCGTGATCTCCCCGATGGAGATCACCAGCTCCCGGTACAGCGCCACCAGAGTGTTAAACTCCTGCACGATCTGTGAAAGAGAGGAAACAACAGCTGTCAATGCAGAATGCATACTTAGACTTATGCACAAAAATACATTAAAATCAATAAAGAATAAATATTTAATGTAAGAGAAAAATTAAATAGTAATAATGGCTTCTACAGGGCCACCAGTGTGTCAAACTCCTGCACGATCTCTGAAAAAATACATTAATACGACCAAAAGATACATATATTAAGTAACAGAAACATTAAATAATAATAATAGTAATGTTTTGAACTTTTTATGTAGCATCTTTCAAGATACTCTACGCCAGGGGTTGCCAAACTAAGGCCCGTGGGCCCACTCTGGCCCTCCAAGCCCCTTTGACCAGCCCCTTGGTCCCTCGGCCCCTCGGCCCTCTGATTTTTTCAATAAAAAAATTGTATTTATATGAAGTATTTATATTTTTTATTAAACTTATTATCACGTATTTACATTTGCCGCTGAATTTGCCGCCTAATTTTCATCATCTGACAAGCTCGGGATCAGTGAGAGTCAACGCACGTGCAGAGTTCTGTAGTGCAGTTAAGGACGGCAAAATGGTGAATGTTAAAATACGAAAAGTTGACAGAGAGTGCAGAGTTTTCAAGGAACAGTGGACGGCCGATTATTTTTTGTTCAGTGTAAGGACCGTGCAGTTTGTCTGATATGTAAAGAAAGTGTGGCATTTTTCTAAGAATATAATCTGCAGCATCAGGGTTGTAAAATTCTGTTATACGGCTAACCTGACCCCAGCCCCCGTCACAGTCAGGAGCGATAATGTGGCCCCCAGAGAAAAAAAGTTTGGTGACTCCTGCTCTACGCAATAGGACTGTAGTCATCCAGTCGAGTGATATTTAAAGGTTCAGTGTACAACTTTGCAACTTTTCCGGTGGACAGTCCGTCACCTGTTTGACTTCAACTTTTTGCTTTGCTTTTTGCTTGAATGTTTCACAGTAGAAATCAAACCTATCAACGTCAAGGGGGACAACTATAGGCTACGTTACAGGTTAAATCTGTGGAGAGGCAACCCTATTCACAGAGAGAATTATTGTATTTTTGAGAAATATAAAAACACCAGTAATGAATAAATGCTAAATAGATGTGTTGATGTTTATGGATCGACAACAGCAGAAAGGTGAAGGCGGTGATTGTGGAGTTTTGGGTGAGCCTGGACAGTTTAACCAACCAATAATTTCTTTAGTCGACTACAGTCCTACGAAGCCTTTTATTACACAATATTTTATCACACCTAGCCACAGTTGCCCTGGAGCAGACTGACGAAAGCACTGCTGATGATTTGTTCCATCGGCCTCTCCAAACACTCACTCGCCACCTTCATACATGTGGGTGAAGTGTCTTGCCAGAGGACACAGTGACTATACTGGTTTAAACTGCCAGCTTTCGAGTTAAAGCGATGATTTCTTTAAACATACTTGACTCTAACATAAAACATAAACTTAAGGAACCATCAGTTTTAGAGGGATACATTATTAGATTTGATCACAGTAGTTTAATGAAGAATATTTTGGTTTACAGTAACTCTATCCTCGATGCAATTTCTCTGGAGTCTCTTTCTCTTTCTGAAAAGTCTGGAGTCTGTAGCAGTACTTCAGACTTTTTTTTTTTTTTTTCCGCGAGACCTACATTTCAATAAGACAAATGAAGCACGGGCCAATTCTGCTCGGATGACACCTCACCCCTCTCCATCCTCTGTTCCACTTTCGGCTCCATTTTGTCCCATTTTAGCTCACACTTTCTTTTTAGATCAAGTTCAGTGAAGGTGACAAAAATACGGTCTGTAAGAGTTATCTGTTGACTTCAGTTTGACTTCTAAGGAAAAGCACACAAGGGGAAACCATCCAATGCAGTTTTTCTTATTATTTCTTGGAATTATTTTGAACATTTTGGCTATTAGTATAATATCTGCAGTATTAGATGTAGTAGTTGTTTTTTTACAGTAGTACTTGTTGATTGACGTGTATTTTGTTACACAATACTTAATACTTGCCATGTATTTTGTAAAATATTCCAATCAGAGTACTACACTGTGAATACTTAGAATACTCTCACTTGCTCAAGCTGGGATTTAAATGGCTCAAGTTTTGTTTGAACTTTGTTTTTACATTTATTTATCACTGATTAGAAAAGGATAATGCACACATGTATTCACCAAAACAGTTTTTTCTTGTAAAATAAAATATAAAATGTAAAATAATACTGACGGAAACCCATTAACACCTGTTACAAACCCCCCAAAATATTTATAGCAAATGTGGATATACTTTATTAATACTTTTATGGAAATTATTATCTTATTTCCTATGTATCTCCTATAATGTTGTGTTGCTATATTTCTTTCTGTTTTTCTTCTTATTAGTTCTATGTATTTATTTATTTTTTTACAGTGGTTAACTTAAATTACTATATGCTGATGGTAGTTTGATCAGATTGACAAGAGCAAAAGTACAAAGTCAGCTTCTGTCTGTATCCTGATGGGGACTGCCAGGTCATTTTGGGTAAATGAAAAAAATAAAAAATACTGCAAAGACTTTTATAGGTATCATTGCTCCAACAGAGAACAGTGGATCACATTACGCAATGAAAGAATCACCAACAAAACAATCATGCCTCTATTTTAGTATTATAAGCGACTACAAGCTCATGTAGTACTTATTACTATATTTAACATTCTTGTTTTTTATCTGTCTTAAATCAGCAATAATGTGTACTTTTTATTTATTTTTTACTATACCAAGCGGGATAACGATAATGCTTTTTGAAATCTTCCTTTTTATTATGAGCGGGTGAAGTCATTATCAAAATTACACTGAATTTTATGTTAATAATATATCTTTTCAATATTTTTTATTTATTTATTTGTAAAACCAGTTTAAATAATCTGTTAAGGAAGACATAATGCATTTGCTCTTGACTCCATCTAGTGGTTCAAAGTGGTATGACAGTTATTATGCGCAAAGTTATTAAAATTTCTTTTGTTTATAAGTTATTGTCAGACACAGATGGAAAATGTCAGTATTTATTTTAAATTTCACACCTTTACGTCTCCAATAATGCATAGAGTCCTTGTACACAGAAGGAAAAACTACATTTGAAGGGGTATAACAACAGAAAATGTGATTAAAGGGGGTATTTTGAATAGAAAGATTATTCTGAAGGACTATGTAGTTAAAACACACACACACACACACACACACGGGAGCACATTCTTGTTTATATATTTCAAAGTTCAACTAAATGTAGCGTAATATGTCCTCTTTACGTGACCACTGTCCCTATGGATGACGGGTAATTGGATCGACGCTGCAGCTTTAAAGAGGGCGAATCCTAAGTCTTATATGTGTCCCGTATTGATTCCACATAAGCCTCGATTGCTTGTATTCCATTACACGGATGGGACGGGGCCATTAGACGCTGCAGAGTACGGAGGTTACTTGGGTGGAAGTGCGTGTCTCTATTGTCCACTCACTGTTTACTCCCGCGTGTCCCCCGGGTGCATTCTGGCGCTGCATGCCCGGATGACGTGCACCTATCCGCGCTCTACGTCTGACCATCCGCAGCCCGGTGTGAATCTGACACAGCAGAGGACATCTGTGTCACGATCACACGCGCACACACACACGAATACACGCATGCATGCACGCTCACGCACACGGACGCACACGCACAACCCGGACCCTGGCGTCTTCGCTTCTGCTGCTGCTGCTTCTTCTGTTATTCTGATCAGTTGTTTTAAAAAAAAAAAAAATCACTTATGTACCACAACTGAGTCTCACCCCTGCGCTCTTTTCGTGCAGCGGCACACAAACGCCAAGGGGGTCTATTTTTAGCTTTGGCCACGCCAGGTTTACAGTGGTTGCAGCAGGGGCTATTACCGCTGCGGGATGGGAACAAAAGCGAGCTAATGCGAAACGTTTAGTGACGTGTCGTGCTCAGACGTACCATTCTGCAGTCGGCCACGGCGCGCTGGGCTTTGCGGCTGCTCTCGGTGCTCTCCCTCCGCTGCGGGTCTCGGTACGGAGGCTTGCCGATCTGGAAGACGCTCGATCTGGGGCGGTTTTTGCGCCCGTTCGATGCAGAACTCATGCATACACATCCACTAAGAAAACAGCCCCAGTACAGAACGGCGTTTCTCCTCTAAGGTGGAGAGGATCTATGGAGATGGTCCGTGATGTCCCCCACCCCTCCACTTCTTCCACCCCACAGCGGTTCTCTTTCCCGATCACCTCAGTCTGAAAATCTGCCCCAAACTCCGGTGTGGCTCGCGATCTTCTCTCGTTTTACGCTCCTCCTTGACGTGCGAGTCCTCTCCGCATTGCCTTTGACTGCAACGGGGTGCAAAGCAAGTCACCTTCACTCCAGCAGCGCGCCGACAAGCACTCAGCTCAAACCATTCACGCCCCAAAATAAAAAATAAAAAACAATAAAGTGCCGAACAGGTCCAGCTAGCTCAGGGCTCTCCTCTCACGAAGCGACGTCGACGGCACTCGCTCACAGGTGTCCTCCAAATGCAGCCATTTCTTATAATTACGCGTTCCCATTAAGAAAAGCGAGAGGTTTTGCTTGAGACGCACAGCCCCTCCTATCGCGCTCGCTGGAATAACGTCCTCCCCCCGCTCTCCCAAAACTTCAGATGAGACGTGCGCGCGGTGCCTGGGGTCTGTTAACCTTGGAAAAAGCAGAGAGGAAAAAGAGCAGAAGGAGGGATGGAGAGATGGAGAGATGGAGAGAGGAGGCAGAGCGGTTGCTACAGGCCTGACGTGGATGAGGAGGCTAACACTGCGCACCCAAAGGACGGGAATACTAATGGACCTCCGCCCAGAGCACTATGCTATAGATATATGCACGCAAACGTGACACGAAGCTCCTCTGCGCACGGTTTGACAGCCATCACATTATAAATCCTAAGAGGTTAAAGATCACCGGATGAAAAATATTTGGATGAGAAAAACCTCTTGAGTTCCAAGTAACAATATTAGTTGTAATTTAACTTTTTATTACATTTTAAATGATATTTCAATCTTGTTTAATTACTTCCCCTCCAAATTGGTTCAAGGATTTTGATATAAGACAAACTTAACTAACTAACTTAAGGGAAGATCTTTAAGTTGAGTTGTAGAGGAGTGGAGAAATCACTGCATGTTTACAGTTTCACTCATTGTAAATGTAATAGTTTATAACTACTTTAAATACAAAAAAAGAACAACATATTTTTTTACTATAACCTTAGTAAATTGAAGGGATCAAATGAGATTTGTGAAACAATTCCATTCATTTCCATTAGTTTTAATGTGAATAGACACACAAGTGCTATTGGTTCAAAAATAAAAAGCAAACATTTTATTAAAGAAATATTAGTGATATAGAAAACAACACATTTAGAAGGATCCAGTTAAGTCTTTTGGTCACTGACAAATTACTCCAAAGGCCAAACAATCCTTAAATCCATATTACACATTGAAATATCATAGGCAGTCCAATAGAAACATGAACACAGATGCAGACTTATTGGCTGTTAGTGGATTATCGTGGAGCTGAATTAGTGACTTTACTTAAAGGACCCATATTATGCTATTTTCTGATCTCTTATAAGGTTGTTTCCTCTTCACAAACATACCTGGAGCCTATATGTTTTGTTTCATTCACATATATTGAACACATAAATCCTGCATATTTGAGGTGACTTCTTCTCTCCAGCAGGAAACGCCGTGCTCCACTTTGTGATGTCATGTGGTAATGCAAGAAGTGCTCCACTGTTTAAACTCCATACACCTTCACTGGAATCATTTGGATCATTTCAACCCTGGAATTGCCCATTTCCATTGAACAAAAGATAAAATGTAAGTGTTAACATGAAAACTACGGCTTCATGACATCAAAAAGTACAACAGAGGATTTTGATCTTTTCTCTAAAGGATTACTCAAACACGTGTGAATGAAACAAAACACAACTCCAAGTATGTTTTTGAGGAGGTAACATTATTCTAACATGACTTAAAGCTCACATGTTGCGTAATATATAGCTCCTCATTATAATAACATTGTGCATCTGTGTGGTCATTCAACCATTCATTCCACATTTTTCTCTTTCACTGTTGTCATAATGCTGTCCCATCATCAGAATATGTATGATACTAAGGACATTTTCCATTCAAAAGGTACAATATTTGGTTTTAAATTGTTAATCACTATGGCAGTGGTTCTAATAATTCCTCATTCTGAAACACAAAGCTAGTAGAAGCGTTGGTTGAGCCGGTCAGAAGGTCCACGGTGTGTTCCTCACAGAGACGGGAAGAAGATGTAGCAGAGGAGGCAGAGAATGAGGAAGCCAATGATCCAGTTGACGGAGTGTAGATGATGACCATGTCCATGTCCAATCTCCAGCCTGCACCCCGCCGCCCCCCCAGCTCCCCCAGGTCCAGAGGGCCCAGCGGGTCCAGGGGGTCCACCCGGAATGCCCCACCATGAGGGAGGAACCTGCGCCGTGCTATTGGACTCCACTGTCTTGGGAAACCTGAGTGGAATTCAATGGAACATGCGTCATGATATTTATAGGTTTCACACACACTGACTGTTATGGGGGCCATTTTGAGAACTAAAGATCCTGTGGTCCCAGTTTTGTGCAATTAAACACAAATTCATCTTAATTTAATCAAAGCTATGTCCAGTAACTGATAATCTTAGTGCTTTTTGAAAGGCCCATATTACGCTATTTTCTGATCTATGTTACAATGTCGTTTCCTCATCAAAAAGAGTTATTCTCTCAAACTGAAGACACTGTTTCACTTCGGCTACATTTATATGATGCCGGTCTGAACAGAAGACGCAAAAGTAGCGCCGCGTCTTCACTTTTTATTCCGCGTTTAGACGAGCGTTGTTGGGAGGAAATCTGATGTAAATGCGTATGCGACGTGAGCAGATCTGACCAGAGTTTTGCGTTTTGGGCAGTGTAGACAGACCACCCCAAAACACTGTCACCATCTTAAACGAAAGGCATTTCAGATCAAATGTTTTGTTGTTTTTACCCGCAAGCGTTCTCGTGTAAACAGGAAGTTCATGATGTCAAGTGATAATAGAGGAAGTGCTCCACTGTGTTTTTAAACTCCATACATCTTCACTAGAATCATAAGAATCATAGATACTGTAGCTGTTAACTTCAAAACTACCACTGTATGACATCACAAGTTGGAAGAGAGCATTTTAAGATTGGGAGATGTAAACTGACTTATAATAAAGGATTACTCAGACATGTGGGAATGAAATAAACACAACTCCAGGCATTTTTTGAGGAGATAACAACATTAGGACCACAATTTTGTATAATATGAAACCTTTAAATGGTGCTGAACTTGCTTATGTTTATTTACACAAAACTCATCAGAATTAAACCCTGAAGGTAATATTGCTATAATTACTTGACTTTTCCAAGTGAAAGAAAAACTATAAGTAAAGGTAATGTTTCCTCTCCAAATAACTAAGGTGAAATGACTTATTATTGATGAACATATCCCAAATGAAGGTAACACAAAGGCATAGTGGTGGTTAACAGATACACACAGTGTAGTGAGGTTGTGGATTCAATCACTAACGAACGAAACCAAATGTTAACTCATTAAAAAAGAACTGTAATGGGACAAGACAAGAAAGTACAGTAAAAGAAGAAAAGATAATTACTCTTATAGTTCTTACAGTCAGTTACAAATAATCCATCCAATCCATTATTATTGACATTTTTTGCATTAATTTTGTGACTTCTCTGTAAAATAAAGACTATGACTTCTGCTGGTCTTTCTTAAAGGTGCGTAATGTAACTTTATTTGCAGTACTGTCCTATAGTGACCTGAGACATGAGGGATCCAGGACTGAAACAGGACTAAAACAGGACTAGGAGAAAAAAATGGCACAGAGCTCCACACCTGACCGTGCTTTGCAGACATCCTGCGGGCTCGGGGTTCTTTCTCTGTTTCTCTCTCAAGTCCAAGATTAGTCCTGGTTTAGTCCTGGTTTAGACCTCGTTAAGACCTGTTTCAGTCCTGGCTCCATCCTGGCTCCGTCCTGGTTTAGTCCTGGTTTAGTCTTGGTTTAGTCCTGATTCAGACTAGGATTCATATTTATTTCTTACAATCTTTTTGTTTTATTGACATTTTTTAAAGTAAATATTTGTGTTGGCCATATTATAGGCTCAATGCTCTGAATGTCATGACATATTTCAGCCACTAGAGCGGGCAGTGCCACCCCTGACCCCTGACCCACCTATGCCTGGAATGTTCCACAGTATGACATTAAACAGGTCTGCCTTGTATTTTTTAAATTACAGGGGGTTTTATAGCTCAAAAAATACCTAGAAAAACAGGCATTCTGACTGTGAACGGAGTCGCCTCTCCGCAGACCTGACCTGTAACTTTGTCTGGTTTGGTCTCCATGATGCTAGAAAGGTTTAATACCATACTGTAGAACATACCAGAGTAATAACATCACCATGGAGCAAAGCATTTGATGGACCCTCCACCAGAAAAGTTACACAATGCATCTTTAACCAGATGAGCTACATTCCAGACAGCTGCCATGTTACAATGAAGGATTTAAGTGGATTCTCAAGGTTAGTCTGTCACTCCTTTACAAATGTGGATTAGAAATAGCTTTACAAAATGATAAAACATGGTCTGTGTATGACATTTAGAGAAGTGAATAGAAAGAACAGAATAAAAAGACAACATAATCAGAGAAGTCTTATTCCACATAAAATAATTGTTTTTTTTTCTACTTTAGAATCAGAATCTTGATCACATCTTGAAACATTTGGTGGAATTTACGCTTGATGCAGGATTTTAACAGAACATCCATTGGTAAGTGACTACTACTAAGTATTTAACTCAAATACTCAAATAAAACTCAACCTAAATATGCAGAATTTGTGTGTTAAATTTTGTTAATTTAGTGTAATACTGGACCTTTACGATAATATTTTCCTGACATACTTAAAGGGACAGTACAGAATTTTTGACAAAGGGCCTCATTTCCTAGTGAGCCAGAGTGTTGAAGACGTGTGGAGACACTTTTTTAAATATTCCATCCAGTCCTTGTAT